AGTCACGTGGGGTCCGGAGCTCTATAGGCTTACCTAGTTATGTTATTGATGTGAGCATGAAAAGAAAGTGAGCTGTCGAGGATGACACCCAGACTCTTAAACTGAGGTGAGGAGAAGACTGTGGCGCTGTCAATAGTTTAGAGAAAAGCTGTCAAATTTGGAGATGGTGGATTTGATACCAACAAGAAGAAGTTCAGTTTTATTGCCGTTGAGTTTGAGGAAAATAGAGGCAAACCAAGATTTCTGAGAGGCAGAGGGTAAGGGAGGAGGGTGGGAAAGTGGAGTTAGGTTTACTGGAAATGTAGAGCTGGGTGTCATTCGCAAAGCAGTGAAACTGGATACTAATTTTGCGGAAGACATTGCTAAGAGGGAGGAGATAGATTAGGAAGAGGAGGGGCCCCAGGACAGAGTCCTGGGGCACGCCTGACTTGACTGGGGAGGGTTTTGAGGAGAAGGATTTTAATTGGATGAACTGAGTGCGGCCAGGAAGGTAAGAGTGAAACCAGCGGAGGGGTGTGTGAGTGATACTTAAGGAAGAGAGTCTATTGAGGAGGATGGGATGAGAAATGGTGTTGAAGGCTGCACTCAGATCGAGGAGAATGAGAATGGAGATCACACCAGAATCAGCAACAATGAGTAGGTCGTTGGTGATTTTAATGAGAGCTGTTTCTGTGCTGTGGTGGGGATGGAAGCCAGACTGCGGGTTATTGCGGGTGAGATGGGAGTGGAGCTGAGATGCAACGGTTTTCTTTAGAATTTTGGAAAAGAAGGGGAGATGGGAAATGGGATGGAGATTATTTAAATCATTTGGATCTGAACCACGTTTTTTCAGTATTGGACTGACTGAAGCAGATTTGAAGAGGGTAGGGGACTGTTCCAGGTGATAGTGAGTAATGAATAATGGCTGTTATAAAAGGGAGCAGGGGCAGGACTTAACTAAAGGCTGATTCATGCTTCTCCGTCTGCATCAGTGCAGAGACACGCAGCGCCATTATCCGTCCTTGCACAGGGCCCCGGCAGGCACGCAAGTACATACGGAGTCGAGCCACTTTTTTAAACATCCGTCGAATGAGACAGAGAACGCAAGCTTGTGATTGGTCAGAGCACCGCTGTCGTCTACACCGCTGCCATTGCGTCCTCAAAAACATAAACAGAGCCGAGCATAACTAGTGGCAGACACGGAGAAGCTTGAAGAATACCTCGTGAAAAAACTCTAAAATAAGAACGTTTAATTCCCCCGTGACTGGATGAGTGAAAAGGTACGCAGCAAGTATTTTATTTGTGGATGAAAATAATAATAATAATAATAATAATAATGCATTGAACTTATATAGCACTTTTCTAGACACCCAAAGACGCTTTCACACACTCTCACATTCACACACTGCTAGTAATGGTAAGCTACTTGTAGCCACAGCCGCCCTGGGGAGGTCTGACAGAGGCGAGGCTGCCATTTGGCGCCGTCGGCCCCTCTGACCACCACTAACACAGGCAAGTTGGTTGAAGTGTCTTGCCCAAGGACACAACAGCAAGATATCCCTGGCGGGAGCTGGAATCAAACCCATGACCCTCCGATCATGAGGCAACCCACTCTACCACCTGACAGGAAACGTGGGTTTAGAGGTGGCGAGCTCATGAAGAGGTGGAGGAGAATGAGAGACAAATTTGTCCGTGTTAAAAAGTCACTTATATACGCCCTCTGTTGTCCTGCCGGGGAATTGCTTTGCAACACTCCCCTGGAGACAGATAAGTATGAGAGCAAAAGCTTCCGTCAGTCCGTGGGTGTCTGTCCCTTGCAGAGCTGACGGAGAAGCATGAATCAGCCATAAAACTGTTGGAAGGGGATCTAGCTGACAGGTAGAAGGTTTGAACTTAGTAATGAGATGTGATAGTTCTGAGGAATGGGGAAGTTTAAAGGAAGAGAACTGAATGGAGGGTTTGAAGAAATCGGGAAAATCGGAAATTGAAAAACTGAAGGAGAGAGTTATAGGTTTCTGAAGAATAAAGATGGATGGGTCAGGAGGCTGAAAGATGCTGTTCATTATGGAAAATAATGTTTTAGTACTGCTGGAGTTGGAGCAGATGAGACCAGAGTAATACTGTGATTTGGCGTGAGAGATGGAGTCCTTGTAGAGAGAAATCTGAGTGGAATACAAGTCTTTATGGATGGTGAGAATGGGTTTCTTGTAAAGTCTTTCAAGCCTTCAGTTTGTGGCTTTCAAGGAGTATAGAGCAGACTGAGTGAAATAGACAGAAGGGGATTTGATAGGAGCAAATGAATTGAGGATGGAAGCCAGACGTAGGGTTTGGTAAATTGAGTGCTTTAAGAGCCCAATATATATTACCTCTACTTATGACCAATAAGCTGTGATATCTAAATATAGAATATCAATCTGCTTGGTCTTTACGGTGTTTAATCAGAAGAGTCTAGGATTCTTTATTTATCAAGGGATTGTACACACTTTGAAAGTAAGAATTTATTTTATAAACAATTAACACATGACAGGTTAACTAACATTTACTGTGATGGATGGAACTAGATGTGGTGTATGAAGCCTATGTGTGAATGTGATGTTAGTCAGAACTTCCCTGTCTAGGAGAGCTGAGTTCTGGATGCAAAAGAATTTGGTTTGCGTTAAGCTATGATGTTGTTTATTATCAAAAGCACATCAGACGCTAAATGTGTGTCTACTTCACCCGTTCTGGAGACCCTCTTGGTGGATCCGAAGGTCAGAGGTAGGATGACCTCAGCACCGAAGGGCTGTAGAATACCGTGGCACTGACTCTTCAGTCCTCAGATGTCTCGGGTCATGACAGATTGATGGAACCGCGCGCCTGGGACTCTTTAAGGAGTCAGAACAAGATCAGTTCATTCTGCAGGAACTGTTTGCTGTGTCAGCTTTACAGGTGCAAAAAGGTTTTGACGACGTGTTTAAAGCTTTGATGGGTTAAAGAGGGTTTTGCTTCAGATGGCCGGTCTGAAGCTTTACTCAAGAACTGATGAATCACCAGAGTGATCTGGTTTTAATGTTCTCATGTTATGATTTGTGTAGCCAACCAGAGGTTGACAAGTTTGAGGAATATTACCAAAAATCTCAGAAACACGCCTTCTTTGATCTGGAGGCTCTGATCTGGGGTAAAGGACTATTTATGTGTCATGAGTTTAATACTACTACTACTACTACTACTAATAATAATAATAATAATAATAATAATAATAATGCATTGAACTTATATAGCGCTTTTCAAGACCCCCAAAGACGCTTTCACACACTCTCACAGTCACACACTGCTAGTGATGGTAAGCTACTTGTAGCCACAGCCGCCCTGGGGAGGTCTGACAGAGGCGAGGCTGCCATTTTGTGCCGTCGGCCCCTCTGACCACAACTAACACAGGCAAGTTGGGTGAAGTGTTTTGCCCAAGGACACAACAGCAGGATACCCCTGGCAGGAGCTGGAATCGAACCCATGACCCTCCGATCATGACGCAACCCGCTCTACCACCTGAGCCACTGCTGCCCCGAACTTTAACTTAACCTTACTTTGTTCTTGTGTGAGTGCAAGTGGTGATGACCTTGTCAGGTAAACATGCTGAAACATTTCAATCACTGTGATCACAACATAACATTCATTTCCAACTTCAATCATTGAGCACAGATTATTGAAACATTTCATTATATTATAGTTATTATAAGTAGCAATAAACAAACGTTTAATGATTATCTAGCTTATAAGTTGTAGAATTTCATATTTAATTTAGGAAATCATTCTTTGATTTAGCAACTGATCCGAGCTGCGAGTGTTAGGCATGAAGAATCCTGTAGGGCGATAAGGACGGACCTTGAGGTGAGAACAGTATTGTTGGCAATTCGTTATCTGTGTTCAGAGAGGCTCTGGGCTCCAGCTGATGGGATGAAGGCAGGCTGATTTAAAGGGGACACATGCAGTCTCGTGTCTCCTTTTTGACCAGATGTTGAATGGTCAAACTGTACCTAAAAGCTGACCATTGCTGGACATTACACAGACCATTATTGTATTGAGCGACAAGATCGTCGAGACTAGAGGATAAATCTGGGGTCAGGGTGGTAATGCTGGAGGAAAGGGAGATTAGATTAATGTCCTTGATATTACGCAATGAAATGAAACGGGTTGACTTGATGATGGAGAGACAGAGGGGAAGTGAAAATGAGATGAGGAAGTGGTCCGTGAAAGAGAGCTGATCAGCTGTACAGTTGGAAGGGGTCAGGCCGGAGCAGCAGATTAAATCCAGGGTGTGACCTTTAATGTGAGTGGGATAATTGGCATATCAATGAAAACTGAAACTGTCCAAAGATGAGGAGAAAGCTTTGGTGAGGGGGAGAGCCGTATTGTCCATATGAATATTAAAATCACCTAGTAAAATTACATTCGGAGAGAGAGTGGAGAGATGGGTGAGAAGAGCCAAAAATTAATTTAAAAACAGAGGAAAATAGATTGTGGCAATGATTGTGTGGGGGTCGGGCCGAATAGTTGACAGGCGAGGTATTCCAGCGTGGTGAGAGGAGGCAGACATACAGGAAGGACCTTCCAAGTCTCGCGATAGACCGCCGCAGCCCGTTAAACAATCGGGCATTATGGTGGTTGACAGCAAGGCAGTGATAATAAAGGTTGATATAAAAATGTCATCAGGATGAATTAATCTATGAAGCTGCAAAAGTGTCAAGGACTGAAACTGAGAATTTGTGGAAAGTCAAAGCCTCTGGGCTGTGACCCCCAAACTGGGAAAGTGACTCCAACAGATTGGAGGGACCACCATGGAGACATCTGTCCAGATGAGCTTGGTTTTTAGAACAGCTAAGATACCATGAAGCTCTTCCAGGTTCCCAGGCTTCTGGTAGAACTACAAGTGTTGAAGTAAGAGTGAGATAAACTTTTATATTTATTAATTAACAAGTGAAAAACAAATACAAGAATAAAACTGTATTTTTTGTATATAACAAATAAATTTCTGTCATCGTTTAAAAAGCCAAAACATGAAAACACTTCATTTGAAACACATTTCAAGTATTTTTATAACCTTTTTATTCACTTATTTGAACCGAAGCCACTTCATTGTTTCAGTTCTGCCTCTCAACCGGGTCAAGCTGTGATGTCATCGTCACCATAGCTACTAAACCCCTGAGATTCCTTAATGTCCTCTCTCTCATGCTCACCTTTAACCCTACATTTTATCCCTTTTTCAGATCAACACCCTCACAAGAACAATAGACAAATAAATAAATACAATAAATAATCAATAAATACAACCAATAAATAAAAATAATAAATAATCTGCAGATAATAAATTATCAAATTAAGCCTGTTCAATAAACATCACATGATTCAAACTGATGGATGAGACAAAAACTAAACGACATCATGATAATCTCATTCCCTGCAGCTTTTAACCGAAACAGAGGATTTAGCTTTTATCTCCAGAAAAGAACCTTGTACTGTAGAGCAGCAACAGGAAATGATGTGTGTGAACGCTTTATCACTGGGTTTGTTTTCCACCAGCTTGTCTTTCTGTAAAACCTAAACTGATTTTAAGCAGAACAAATGTATTGATAATTAAAATAATCCAAGTGAAATGTTGATAATGACGATTAAATATGAAGACGTGAAAGTGTTCCAGGAGGTTTTGATTGCAGATTATATTCCATCGGGTTCCAGGTCTGAACCAGAGAAGGAGCAGCAGGCGCTGTTCTGCTGCTCACCAAGCAGGTCTGGACCTGCTAGTTGGAAAATCAGCTGCTGTCACATTCCTGTTAATTCCCCATTGATAGCGCAGCTCAGTGGGCTGGAACTCCCACACACCATTTGGGTGGCTCTGGTGCAGAAAATAAGTGATCAGAACCCTGGTCCTGGTGTCTGAGCTGCTGTTCTTCTCTGTCTGGTTCAGTAAAAGGTCACGGTGAAGATCTGTTCACACAGAGTCACTAGAGAACAGACCCCAACTTCGTCAGGACCTCTGATCCATTCATCATGTTAGAACTTCTAACAGCTGCTGGGAATTTGTTGCATTTCGCTGATGAAGCAACATGAGAGACAATCAATAACTGGTGCCTGATCCATTTGGTCCTGCTTTGACCCAGTCAGAGATCCTGCAGGTCTTTGGGTCAGTCCCGTGTGTCCTAGTGATCGGGGCTTATGGTCTGTAGGTGGACAGGACTCTGAAGGTTCGGATCAGGTCGTAACAGAAGGAGCGCAGCTGGGTCAGAGTTAAGTGGACTGCCACCTGGACTCTGTAGCTGTCCTGGAGCTGAGAGGCCAGGTCCAAACTAGGGTTCTGATCCAACCCGTCGTCAGGGACATCAGCCACCTCCTTCAGCTGAAACACAAAGAGAGTCTTTAGCCAATCACATGTTCAGGTCACATGACCAATGAACACACACCATGAGAGTCAGAGCTTCACCTTGTTGATGTGGGTTAGCAGGTCTCGTAGATCCGTTCTGACATCCTCTAGACCACTCAGGCTTTGAGACAGAAGCTCCAGAATGTTCTCATACATCTGTATGCCCGCTGACATCCGACTCACACACATGTCCTACAGGGAGAGATGCACAGACACACACCCTTCAGCACCTGTTCTGGTGGTACAGTCAGAGTAAGAACTGGATCAGAACCACCAAGAACCATTCTAACCCACACTCAAACACAACCTTAGATTAACTCTTTGTATAACAGAAGACCATGAGAAGACCTTCAGACTTCCACAGAAGTCAAGATGACTTTCTCAAGCATCACCGTATAGAAACTATCTTGAGTCATCATTTCCAAGACACTCAAACCTCTGGGTCACCGCATAAACAACCCAAGGAACAAAAAAGGTCTCACAAGAACACTCCCAACACCACCATGACCCCATGACACCCCCTAACACTCTGCAGACTGACCAGGGTGAAGAGTTCAGAAAGTATTTTGAGGACAGGGGAGGCAGGTATTCCCATGGACATCTCCATCATCTGAAAATGGGACGTCTGAGGGGATGAGTCCAGGCTGAGACCCTGAGAAAGATCAGACGGAAGTGTTATTACATCATGAAGAAGAAGAAGAAGAAGAAGAAGAAGAAGAAGAAGCAGCCAGGTAAGAGCAGCCAATCAAAATGTCTTTACTTGGATGCTGACAGTAGCACTGTGCACTGCATGAAGGTTGTTCAGGATCTTCTCAACGATTGTGTTGGCCTGAGAGACCGTCTCCACGAAGGAATGTGGGAGGCCAGATGCAGGGACTGGAGATGATTGGATCAAAGATGCAAACAGGAAGCAGTTCATCAGGAAGACAACTGGGAAATAAAAAAGAGATTATAAGTTAGGCCATGAGATGATCCAGAAACAGGAACACTGTTGAAAAGTGAAAAAGATCACATACATTAAAGAAGAACCCACATCAAACATCAGGTCATTTAAGATCATTGGTTAATACCAACCAATATGTGACTAACATGAACCAATCAGTGATTAGTATTAGCTAGTGATCAGAAGAAACATCACCCCAATTTACTATTAATATGAAGTCATTAGTTATTAGAATCATCAAATAAGAGGTTATTATTATCCAGTCATTAGCGTTAACCAGTTAATAACCAATTAGTAAAAAAGTATTAATCATTCAGTATTACCCATCATTTATTAATCTTTTATTACTAATAAATTGCTGATTAATAAAAAGAACTTGTGATTAATATGAAAAAATAGATATTTTTATTACCAAATTAGTATTGATCAATTACTGGTTAGTACTGTCACATTAGAGATTGGTATTATCCAATCAGTGAACATAATTAAATTAGTGTTTATCACCAGTGACAAGTGTCAACCAGTCAATGAGTAACATTTAGAGGTAATTCATAACCAATCAGAGATTAGGATTAGCCCATCAGTGATCAATAACTCTAAAATGTTTATCAATTCACTTTGTCCTGCTTTGGCTCCAGGAACTCATGACACCCCGCCCCTAGAGCCGGGGTCTTCCTGTGGCCCCCAGACTCTCTGTGTCCCCTCTGCCGCTTCAGGTGTGCTCCTACCTGTGGCGGTGTCCATGTCTGTCAGGGCGGCCGTGCGTGTCGGTGAATCGGTGCTTGCGTCCCGTGCAGTTCTGGAGCTTCTGTTTCAGCTTCCATTTGTGTCCGTTTGGAACTTTTATGAGCGTTCTGGCTTCCGGGGTTTTCCATTGACAGTCACCGGAGTCATACCGTAAACCCGGAGTTACGAAGTCTCTGAAAGTCTGAGTGATTCAGGATCGGAACCAGGTCCTTGGAAATGTGGGACGCGTCGTTTAGGGGCTTGGCTGTCAAATCACGTGACGGCACACCTGAGTTTAAAGAGTTTAATTAGTTTCTTGCTGACGATGAAACCAGTTAAAACGAACAAGAACCGACAGAACAGTGGAGTGAAACCGGACACGGACCTAAGTGCTTCACATGAAAGAAAATAATAATAGGACACACAATAGAGGTTACGATCAAAGATATTATATAAAACCTAAAAGCCAATGGCTAAAGAATGAAACAGCACGAATAAGACAAGGAAAGAACAGCAATAAATAAAATAATAAAACAAATAAATAAATAAATAAATAAAACAGCAAATGCAAGCTTCAGAGAGTCTTGTATCTTGTATATGTGACAAAATATAATATAATATAATATAATATAATATAATATAACATAATATAACATAATATAATATAATATAATATAATATAACATAACATAATATAATATAATATAATATAATATAATATAATATAATATAATATAATATAATATAATATAATATAATATAATATAATATAATAGGTATAGCTAGTCTTTGAATTGAAACTAACTAAATTAAAAATTTGTTTGAAATATAGCGAAAATCAGCTGATAAAAATCAGACCAAGCCTTTGCATTGTGGAGTGACAGAATGAAAACTTAATGAAACTGGTCTAAACTAAAATAATGGAACCTTTGATGTAATGAGTTTAGTGGGTGTTTCTGTAACCCACAGTTGGACTTGTCACTAGTCACTGACAAGCGGTTCACATGTTCTGGTCCATTCTGCTGCAGCTGTCTCAGGTCTGAAGGGTTCATTCTCCTGGTGTTTCTGCTTCTTCCATAGAATTCAGTCTTTCTGACTCTGACCTTTGGGTCTAGAACAGTTTTAACATTTCATTAGACCCAGTAGACGATGCTTATGTTAAATAACGAATATTACCTATTAAGCTTTCATTTAGGACATGCAGAAACAACATCCCCGCAATAACTAATCAGTTATGAATCAAACAATTCATCCCTCATGCTTATAGAGTAACCTTGCTTCTCTCAGCAGCATGTGGAGTCTCAGACTCAGAGAACTGGATTCAGCTGATTATTCCAAACATGTATATTAATACAAGAACACAATTAAATGATGGAGTACATCAATAATCTGGTAACGGATGTGGAAGTGATATAAAAATAATAAAGATGATTTATGGACAATATCAGGCAAAATTATACTACGACCTACACTTAGTTTTATGGACAAATAAACAAAATATTAATTTAAAATATTGTCGTCTAAATGAACTGGGATGAATGTAGAAGAAATCATCACCAATTTATGATTGTTAATTAATTTGTCATCAACTCAGAGCTCCATTGATGTTCGTCATCAAGAGACGAGAACAGAGTTCCTGATAAAGTCTGCAGATGTCCTCTGTCCCACAGAAGTCCCAGCAGGTGGGTTGTCCCAGGGAACTGTAGATCAGGGAAGGGGTTAAAGGTCAGCAAGCTAATGGTGCTTCAGGATTGGCAGCAATTGTTAAGACCTGAGTCTGACGGTAGTTTTAGGCCTCAGTCATCCAGAGATTTCAGATGAGGTTAGACTGATGAGTTCAGATGGATTAGACATGACAGCAAGAGTTACTTCATCTTCTTATGAAGAAAGTTTGGATCTGACTGTCTGGTACAAGTAACAGTGATGCAGTTAAAATATGATTTATGAATCGTTACTAAAGGTTAGATACGTTCAACCCATCAGTAGATGATTGTCAGGGTAACCATTGAGCATGGTCCTCTAGACTTAGCTTGCTTGGAGTTAGTCTTCAATTCAAAAATCAACTTTTGATTTTCTTTAGTGGGTTTTAAGTGAATCATGTGACTCCTGCAGTTCAGCTTTTGGTCCTTGGCAGGCTGATGTGACGTTAGTGGATTTCACCAACCTGAAGTAACAGGTTGGAAACAGTAAGACAGGAAATGATGTTTGTGAGTCCACCATGACTGAGCATTTTTCTAAAAAGAAGAAAAATGATGACTCAAAAGAAAGAAGGAAGGGATGTTTCACAATAAACACACATTGTTTGCTTCAGGCAAAGTGACCGTTGACCTCTGAGTTTACACACACACATACACACACACACACGCACGCACACACACACACACGCACACACGCATGCACTCACACGCACACACACACACACACACACACACACACACACACACACACACACACACACACACACACACACACAAAATACACAATTATCTACAAAAGCTTCACAGAAATTCAACATGTTTTAAACATGAAACCAGAATAAACCTGGACACACATAAGGACATAGGGGAATATATCTTTTTGTATTACATTTTTTGTTCTTGTGAAGCAAGCACCTTGTGATATTCATCTTGAGAGGTGCCATATAAAAGATCATTTTGTTTCTTTCTTTTCTTATAGAAATCAGTTTTTAGAGTAATATAACACACGGACAAAGGGCTAAAGAGAGATATTGAATGTAGAGTTATAGGGAACATGTGGATGTAATAATAACAATGGAAATTACAATAATGACACACATACAGTGCTTTTAGCCACGCTGCCTAAAGGCACACAGACAGAGGTGAGGCTGACACACAATCGATACCACATGCCCCTCCGACCACCACCAGCAGGTACGGAGGGACGCGTGGACAACACAGAATTAAATCTGACACACACACACACACCTCTCCAGCTCAGGTAAAGCTCCATCCCACTGTGGTTGAACAGTAGCCTTGTTAATCTTCATGATTTTCCTGTATCAATCGTTGGTTGTTACGATACATGTTTTTTGTTAATATATTATGTAGGAGACACATGCAGTGATGTTTGAGAAGTGAAACAAAGTTTATAGGATTTACAGAAAGTGTAATAATTGTTTAAACAAAATTAGGCAGGTACATAGATTTGGGCACCACAAAAATAAATGAACTAAATATCATAGATCCTCCTTTTGCAGGAATAACAGCCTCTAAACACTTCCTACAGCTTCCAATGAGAGTCTGGATTGTGGCTGAAGGTATTCTGGACCATTCTTCTTTACAAAACATCTCTAGTTCATTCAGGTCTGATGGTTTCTGAGCATGGACAGCTCTCTAACTCACACCACAAATGTTCAATAACATTCAGGTCTAGGGACGGAGATGGCCATTCCAGAACGTTCTACTTGTTCCTCTGCGTGGACGTCTTAGTAGATGTTGTGCAGTGTTTAGGGTTGTTGTCTTGTTGAAAGATCTGGCCCCGGTGAAGCTTCAGCTTTGTCACTGATTCCTGGACATTGGTCTCCAGAATCTGCTGATGATGAGTGGAATGCATGCATCCCTCAACTTCAACAAGACTCCCAGTCCCTGCACTAGCCGCACAGCCCACAACATGATGGAACCACCACCATGTTTTACTGTAGGTAGCAGGTGTTTCTCCTGGAATGCTGTGTTCTTTTTCCTCCATGCATAACGTTCCTTGTTTTGCCCAAATAACTCCGTTTTAGTTTCATCAGTCCACAGCACCTTATTCCAGAATGAAGCTGGCTTGTCCAAATGTGCTTTAGCAGGCCTCAAGACCTCAAGCTGCTCCGTTTGTGCTGTGGGTGGAGAAAATGCTTCCTCTGCATCACTCTCACATGCAGCATCTCCTTGTGTAAAGTGCACCAAATAGGTGAACGATGCACAGTGACTCCATCTGCAGCAAGATGATGTTGTAGGTCTTTGGTGCTGGTCTGTGGGTGGACTCTGACTGTTCTCATCATTCTTCACTTCTGTTTATCCCAGATGTTGGAGCATTAACTAGAAGTGAGCCTGTGGTCTTCCAGTTCCTCAGTATGTTCCTAACTGTGGAAACAGAAGCTGAAATCTCTGAGACAGCTTTCTGTATCCTTCCCCTAAACCATGATGGTGAACAATCTTTGTTTTCAGCTCATGTGAGAGTTGTTGTGAGGCCCCATGTTGCTGCTCTTCAGGGCACATTAAAGAGGAGGGAAACTTACAACTGGCCCCTTAAATACTCTTTCTTATGATTAGATTCACCTGTTTATGGAGGTCAAGGGTCACTGAGCTTACCAAACCAATTTTGAATTCCAATAATTAGTTCTAAATGTTTTGGAATCAATAAAATGACAACAGAGCCCAGATTTATGCACCTGCCTAGTTTTGTTCAAACAAATATTACACTTTCTGTAAATCCTATAAACTTTGTTTTACTTCTTAAATATCACTGTGTGTCTCCTATATGATATATTTAACTGACATTTTTATCTTAACGAACGATTTATACAGAAAAATCATGAAGATTAACAAGGCTCACCAAACTTTTGCGTCCCACTGTGTTTTATATTGTCTGTCTTGGGTGTGAGGATGAGTTCCTACTGGGCCACCACACAACCAACTGCACCACCATGCAGACTGGTTTCCTAAAAGCCGACATGATGGCTCCTGACAACGGGAAATTGTTTTTCACCAAAACTAGAATGGTCAATGGTCTGTATTTAATATAGCTCCTTCTAGGGTTCTCACACACACACACACACACACACACACACACACACACACACACACACACACACACACACACACACACACACACACACACACAATCACACAATCACACATGATGTTGATAAGCTACAATAGCGCCACGGTTGCCCTGGTGCTCACTGACAGAAGCGAGGCTGCCGAGCACTGGCGCCACCAGTTCTTACGACCACCACTAGCATGTGGTGGTGTCTTCTTGTCTTGGGCAGCAGTAGCTCAGGAGGTAGAGCGAGTTGTCCAGTAACTGGAAGGTTGTAGGTTCGATCCCAAATCCCACCAAAGAATGCTGCAGTTGTGTCCTTGGGCAAGAAACTTCACCCAATTTGCCTGCAGGTGGTGGTCGGAGGGATCGGTGGCTCAGGTGATAGGCAGTCTCACTTCCATCAGTATGCCCCAGGACAGCTGTGGCTACATTGTAGCTCATCCCCACCAGTGTGTGAATGTGTGTGTGAATGACTGATTGTGTTGTGAAGTGGCTTGGGGGGTTGTATAATCCTCAGAATGCGCTATACAAATACAGGCTAGTTATCATTTACTTGGTGTTAGTTTTAGTTTATTGCTGCATTCATGCTCAGGACAGGTCAGGTCACAGTTGAAACTGGTGTGTGTCTAGTTGTGTTTATAAGAGCGAAAACAGGTCTGAACTGGAACCACAGAAATTAAAAGCATTTACACACAGCTGAGAAAAAGGAAATGAGTTATTAGAAAAACAGAAAGTCATAAAAATGGAGTTTCCCTGTGGATCAGAACCAGGTTCTTCAGGTTGTAATTGAAACGATTTTGTAACTGATGAGCAATAAAACTGAACATCATCTGCATCATGGTTGCAGACACTCAGGACCAACACCTGATCCTTGATTGTGCTCCAACCCGATTTATCCGATTGTTCCAAAGTCCAGATGGGCTGAACTGGTCTGAGTCAAGACCAGAAACATCAACCCAGTCATTAAGGTGATCAATAAGGACAAGTTTAGTTTAGTGGTCAAGTTATTGGTGATGTGTGTGTGTGTGTGTGTGCGTGCGTGCGTGCGTGCGTGCGTGCGTGCGTGTGTGTGTGTGTGTGTGTGTGTGTGTGTGTGTGTGTGTTGACAGTCTCCTGAAACTTCTGAGTCAGCATGAAACAGCTCAATTGCTTTTGCTTCCTGATGGATGACAACTTTACATATATTGAAGACACAAATAGTCTGGTTTGAGATCTGATCAGAGTTGTTTGAAGTACGCATGTGGAATGTAACATGCTGTTGCATGTTCTGACGTGTTGTCGTGTTTCACAATCTGAACAGATTCTCGCAGTCAGCTCTTTCATTAGTTTTCATAACAGAAGTAATCTCCGGTTAAAGTTTTCCTTCTCTAGACCAAAGTCTATGTTGCAGTTACTATGTTTGTTCTATTGAGTCAAATTATTGGACATAACTGAATCAATTGTGGATTTTATGCTCATGATGCTCTGTTCTGATCATCCATCTGGTGAATCTAATCGGCTCATCAAAGTACAAACATGGCTGAAAGGTCAGGGGCTTCATTTACAAAGCTTGCTTTCACACAAAATGGGTTCTGAAAATTGCCCGTCATTTCTAAGCAAAATTTGTGTAAAGAAAAACTTGATGGAGAAAATGTGTGCGCAAACTCTGACCCTGGAGTAAGCACGTTATGTAGATGGGTAAACTGGGAGCGCAGTCGGTGAGATGGTCACATGGCGAATTTAAGGCATATTTACAGAGACCCTTGTGCACCCACACAAACACACACGTTGTTGAACTGAGAATAACAATGAGAACTTGAATGCAATTATGTTGCTTTTAAGATATCACTACCTTTACATGTACGTCTGTCAAAAAACTCATTTGTACATTCATTTTTGATGAACAACAGTGAGTTTATGTAAACCATGCCATCAGTCAGCCAATTCGTTCATATTCAGGTCCTTTGCATTAACCATTTATGGCAGAAAGTGTGTGCCATAAATGTAATTACCATGGTAACACAACAAGTGCATAAGTATATCCCCAAACATGTCTTATTGAAATAAATGTGAAAAGCCTAATATTGAGTCTATAACATACTGCTGTTTCTTGTCTTTCTGAGCTCTATACAGTTAAAAGCATAGCTGACATTTTAACACTAGTCAGAAGGCAGGAACCGCCCCCTCCTCCTTCGCTGCTCTCTCATTGGCTGAGAGTTTTCAATCATCTTTTGCCTAAAAGGAAATGTGCACCCACACATATGATACATCAATTCAACTTGCTTGGTCCCAGGAGTCTTGTATTAACTTGATATTGTGTTCTGCGTTACCATGGCAAAGTGCTTAGCAACAACATTTAACAACACTTTAGACACAACTGTATCAACATACTTTAATATAGAAATGTTATTCAAAGTTTAAAAGAGTCATGTGACATTGTACATTGCTTAATTAATGCAGACTCCTGTCATCTTTTACCATGGCAACACAAGGAACTACAAATCACTTTAACCAAGTCTCATAGGAATGAATATAAAAAGCTGAATATTGAGCCAATAACAGACTCCTGTTTTTGATCTTTGTGAACTTTCTGTACTTAAAACTAGAAACAAGTTCAATTTGATTGACCTTCAGAAGGTGGGAAAGTGCCCCGTTCCCTCCCAGCTCCCTGATTGGTTGAGAGAGTTCAGTCATCTTCTGGCTAAATGGAATTACACACCCACGCATGTGAGACATCAAATCGATCGTCTTGGCCTAAGGAATCCATCCATCCACATATAAATTCATACATGCTTCTATCCATCCATCCATCCATCCATCCACCCATCCAATAAACCATCTAACATCCATCCAACAATCCATCCGTCATTTCATTCATCCAACCATTCATCCATCCCATATCAAATCTGAACATTTGTTAATCTATCAGTTTCAGATATCAGCAAATATTTCTAAATTCACAGTACAGTCAATTGTAAACATGTACCCGGTAAACTATTCTCATTCAAATGCCAGCTGTTTAACATTTCAAATTTCAAGTTTTTAATCAATGTTCAAAGATTAAAGTTTTCTGCTGTTTAGCATTTTTTGTCCTGTCTTCACCTATATTCTGAGCTTTATTACACTTGTTGGTGATTTTTTCTTCTAAATCTTTAAATACATTCAGCTCATTTTGACAGTTTAGCTTAGTTTCAGCAGCTTCAGCAATCAGTTTCTGAATTCAGCATATGATGCCAATTTCACAGTTGAACTAAATTTAAAAATTAAACTGTTAAACAAGTCCTACTGAAATAACAGGTGTTTACACGTTTTAGCGGTCCAGATTTTTAAACAATGTTCACAGATTTCAGTTTTCTGCTGTTTAGGATTAGTTTTCTTGATTCTTCACTTACTTTTTGTGCTTTATTTGCTTGTTGGTGCTTTTTGCTTTCACATCTTTCACTACATTCAGCTCATTTGCCAGTTTAGCTTAGTTTCAGCTTACTTCAGCTATTCAACAACTTCAGCAATCAGTTACCAAATTTAGCATATGATGCTAATTTCCCAGTTCAACTAAATGTAAAAATTAAACTGTTAAACAAGTCCTACTGAAATAACAGGTGTTTACACGTTTTAGCGGTCCAGATTTTTAAACAATGTTCACAGATTTCAGTTTTCTGCTGTTTAGGATTATTTTTCTCTATTCTTCACTTACTTTTTGTGCTTTATTTGCTTGTTAGTGATTTTTGCTTCTCCATCTTTCAACACATTCAGCTAATTTTGACAGTTTTGCTTACTTTCAGCTTCAGTTCAGCCATTAAGCTGATTCAGCTAACAGTTTAAGCTATCCAGCATTCAAACAGCATTTCTGCAAGAAATGCAATTTATCTAGTTATTTTTAATTTTCAGGTAAGAGGCTGAGCCCTTTAACTGTTTATTCTTTCTCTGGGTGGTATTAACGTGGCCTCCAGCACTAACATGTTATAGATATTTTTGTTGCGAATGATCCGACAGAGCACCTGGCTCTCAGCCTGCAGGTGTACTTGTGGTTCCCAGAGCTTTCAGTTCTCAGGCTCCTCTGGTGGAACCAGCTTCATTTCCATCCATGAGGTAGACTTAGTATTAGCTTGAGTTATCCTGACTCATTTAAGTTACCTTCTTTGTGGACTAGTTTTATTTAAAACCAGAAAAAGGAACAGGTCCAATAAAGCCCAGCCAACCCTCATCCAGTCCGGTTCAGATTCTGATCCAGTTCGTCACTGACACAAAGGGTTAAGAGCTTTTAGAAGACACATTCCAGACATGTTAGTTTCAGATCTACAGAGTTCATCATTTGTATCAGCTGGAATTATGGACATGCAAAGCTATGGTTTATCAGAACCAGAACTGGTGTTCAGATGGGTTTGAGTGCACCTGGAACATCTGGTTGTGCTTCCCAACTCAGAACGTTTGCATTAAAGCAGTGTTCCTACATGTTGGTGATGTTCGGGATGGGCCAGCAGCAACCAATGACACATTAGACTACACACATTTAGATCTGGAGACATGTTGACCATGTTTAAAGGTCCCTGCTGAGATTTTTTTCTGGAACATGTTTTGCCAGATTGCTCTTCACATACCAGTGGCAAACCGTGAATGAAATCTTGTCAAAAAAAAAAAGAAACATTTTGGTCATCTGCCTCTAAAACGTACAATCCAGTGCTGGTTCCTCCTATGATTGGATCATAAACCATTAAATCACTTCTCTGAACGTCTCACCCCACTGCTGTGCACAAAACGTTCCTTCTTGGTGGAGTCGTCATACAAGAACTTCGCTGTGCTGCCTAGTCATTGACAACGTGTCCTGTTTTTATTGGGGGGGGGGGCAAATGTAAGGATTTGTTTTCCATGTTCTGTTTAGTCTGGTTCTGTTGTAGAGAAACGTTTAGGAGATGGGAGTTATGGTGTTTACACATTAGCGTTGGTACGACCGGGTACGGGACCGGTACGGAAACGGAATTTGGTTTCACACACAGGTCAGATATGAGTTTTCTGTTCGGACACTTTTTTTAGACCTCCTCCCCAGCGGTCCGACTGAGACCGAGGTAACTGATTGGCCGGATGAAATTATGCCTACTACCTCCTATTGGCGAGTATAATTAGCCAGTGGGCGGTTCCCACACGCGAGATTCATTTTCATGCTGGAAACTTCTGTTGCACGGAGCTCCCACTCAGTGGGAACGGAAAAAGAGAGCTGTGTGAGGCCCTGTTCTCGGCATATCGGAGCTTTTGCCCCAGCAACTCGTCAGACAGCTGCTCAGTGGGAGAACAAAGCGGTGTGTGTGTGGCCCACAGCAGCAGAGGACAAGTCTTATGAGGACACACAGCAAATTAACAAAACGATGTGGTTCAGTCTCTGAAAGCAACATAACTCATGCCCGTCTTTGTTTATCTTATTACGGACACTGCAGACTTTCCCACGCGTATTAAACGCCACCCACAAGATCGGGAATTTCCAAATTCCTGAGAAGTCCTTCAGATTTATGTGACTACACGGCCCATTCCAAGACCATGCCAAAGCAAATGTGTAAGTGGCTTTATTGTCTTGGTCTCAACTCTGTTTTTTGCATGAGAATGAGTATCCGTGTGTGTGTGTGTGTGTGTGTGTGTGTGTGTGTGTGTGTGTGTGTGTGTGGTGTGTGTGTGTTGCTATAGCAGGCAGAAAGGATGGAGTTTGGTTAGTGTTCTGTAAGTTTTGTATCTTCAGGATTTAAATAGTGGTGAGCTCTTGTGAAGTTCACCACTAAGTGCTAGCGTACTAGCACAAAGCAAGTGGGAGGAGGTTCGGTTGAGGGTGGTTCTGGAAATTTTGATTACTCCAGAGCTGCGTGTCTGTTTGTGTATGCCCCAAGCAGGTGTTGTACCATTTTCTGCAACCATCAGATTTTGTGACTCTACTGAAGAAAGGGGTTGGACCTTTCTTTGGTTTGTTTTAAAAATGAAGCTTGCTTGAACGGCTTTTTCTAAAAAGCAGTACTGCATCTTTAACGTTGGGATCAGATTTCCTGCAACTGTACAGTGTTACACTTTATTCTGAATTCTGGAGTGAAGAGTCCATTATAGAACTTTCCTGAGTCTCAGAGGAACCACTTCGATGGACAGGCTGAGACCCATGAGGCTGCTGGGCTGGTTTACTTCTGAGGTAAAATGAAACACAACTCAGGCTCTTCATCAGACACCAGTCTTCTGAACCCTACTGTTCCTTCTCGTTGTTCCTGAGGCGCCATCTGCTGGAGAGTTCATTAACTGCTAACAGGCCTGTTAAGTGTCTGAGGAATCCTGACTCATGATTCTGAACAGATTAAACAAAAACAGTTTTATTCTTTCAGAAACATCAAAACACAAGTTCTGAGTTGCAGTGCCTCAAAACCAAAAGGGAGGAGGAGAGGGGATTGTGGGTAATAACTGATCTGTTAACACACATCTACTTCCTGTCTGCACAGGAAGTCAGCAGAAAGGCTCATGGGAAGCTGTCATCATCATCTTCTGCCATTTCTTTTGCAAATTCCAAATCCTGCTGCTCGCGTTCTCGACGCTCCTAAATACATCAAAGACAAGAAAATGGAAAGATGAAGATTGGATTCAAGGCTCCAATTGGATCAGAACCACAGAAACCAGGAATCTGGATCACGGTTCTGATGCTTTGAGAAATATTTATGACAAACAACCCCGTCTCTGTCCTCACATACCCTCTGCCCCGTCTTGTCTGCCCCAGTGTCCCGCTCACTCCCATAACCCTGCCCATCTCCATTTCCTTCACCCTCTGCTAACGTTTCCCTCTCAGGCTGTCGTCATGTCCATTGCCCTTTTGTCCTTGTGTCCCCCCACCCAGTCACGTCCCTCTCTCTCTGTATTGCACCACTCTGTCTTTGTCTCTCTGTCCCCATGTCCCTCTGTCTGACCCCGTGTTTTACCTCGGCTGACTCCAGGTCCTTGTTGTAAGCTTTCGGAGGAAACCTCATGGCCTGCAGGAAGACACATCAGTCAGTAGACTTAATGACCTAAACAGAACAGAACCAACTACCAAATGGACCTCTGAAATCTGCTCTGAATCACCAGAAACTCAAACCTTCTGAAGGCTCTGAGGATCCAGAAATGGTTTCTGAAAGGCTGCGGCGTTAGGAGAAGTGGGTGTGGCCATGTAAGCATTACCTTGACAGACATGTTGTGAATGTCCAGGCAGAAGGAGATCCTCTGGTGGAACGCCAGCTGAGGCTCTCTGGTGCCGTAGATATCCATGGTCTCTTTTGATTGGACGAACCCTTTCTCATGGTTAATGCTAGCCTCAATCACGCCATCGCGGATTGCCTGCACGTCATGGGTCAAATAACAACGTCAGGTTAACCGACATCAGAGTAGACTTAAAGGTTTTAACGACTCGTTACCTTGGCGACAATGAACTCTGCGTCCTCTGGACTGTCGAGCTGCAGCTTCTGAGCAATATCGGCCAGAGAAATACGAGAGTAGGACAAGCTGATCATTCGCACACCTGAAAATGCAATGATGTCCCAGTTACCATACCTGGAACCAGAGCTGTGATGTCAGAGCAGAGGACGCATTTGATTGGCTCACCAGTTTTGATGACATTGTGTCGCAGACGGATGATGAGTGTGTACGTGCCGTCAGCCTGAAACTTCTCCCCAAACTGCTCCAACACCTGGTTAAACTTGGCCAGGTTACCCATCCTCACGGCTGGACACACACACACACACACACACACACACACACACAGACACACACACACACACACACACACACACACACACACACACACACACACACACACACACACACACACACACACACACACACACACACACACACACACACACACACACACACACAGGTAACAATACTTTGTTAGCTAGTCTTGACTTAACTCTTGGGTCTGATGTATTTCAGCCACGTGTAAAAATCAGACGGAGTCACTGGAAAAAAAAAACTGGAAAGTTACAGAATCTGTTGATATCTGGATTAGTGCTGAAAAGAATCATCGAATGATTCGATTCAATAAATTCCTCGATTCATTTTAACCGATTAGAAGCGTTGTTAAATGTGCGCACCACAGCCTGAACACACTTTACTGGCGCACTATGTTGTGATCTAAGTGCTGTGGAGGAAAATAGAGAAACCAGCAACGACTGAAACCATTGTAAAAGGCAGAACGGTCCAATTTTTGGGATCAAGAGTTAAACTATGGGCAGATTAACTAATGCTAAGCTAGCAGGTAGCACAATTACGATCAAGTGGAGCTCAGAAAAATGTAATGGTTGTAAATAACTAAAGTCTACAGGTGGAAGAAATATCCCCACCATCCAGTTTATGTGTGGAAGTCTGCAGCTGCATCGTTTTGGAGCAGAACCACAGCAGCTGCTACCTGGAGTCTGTCGTTGTTGCTACTGAGCGTTAGCGACCAGTGTAGCCAACTGTTTTTGACTGAAAGTAGCTGAAGTTCCCCCCAAAAATAGCTAGATGTCGCCAGATGACGTCACATGCTAATTTACATATCGATTACATCATCACGCCACATTGGCGTTCATTTTCCCCATAGCATCTAAAAGATATATATATATATATATATATATATATAAAAGGGAGGGAAAATAAAAACTATATGTGCTAAAGTTATTAACTAGTATTAGGGCTGCACGATATTAGGAAAACCTGCGATATTCGATAACAGTGCTTAATATTGCAATATTGATATTACTCACGATAAATGAACAAATACTAAAGTATGCAGTGTTGATGTCGTCTGGCGTGTGACGTCTGCTCTGGGTTCAAAGCAAACAAAAACTAATGCATGAATTCCATTACAACATAACATTTTTATTGCAAAAATATGCAGCTGCACCTGCTACTGTATTAGCAGCAAAACAAACTGCATGCATGCAGTTTCTCAGTGACTTTAAAACATCACCACTAACATAAAACTTTTTCTGATGCTCCAAATACAGAAAAACATCCCTTACCAGGGTTTTCTGGATAAATAAAAAAAATCAGAAAATAAGTTTAAATGTTAAATAATAGTTAACATAACTTACATGCAACAGCAAATTCTCTCATTGCTACTGAACATTTTCTCCACTTATGTGGTTATGATATAAGGCTGTTGCTGCTTTTGGGAAGTGAACTGTGCTGGGCCAAACTAGGAGAATATTAAGATTTTCTGAGGGAAAGAGAAAAACAATTGTCTACCTTTCAGAAGAGGAACTGGCAAAAAACTACATGGAAAATATGTGAAAACGTTTGTTTTTAACCCCAAATTGAACAAGTTTACCTAGATCTTAAAAAGCAGCTCAGATGATGAAACTGCAACTATGATTCTGATAACAAGCTAACAAATTGAACTAGCTCCTCTTAAGATAACCGGCTAGCAGAGCTTCTGACTGACAGTGTATGTGCAGCAGCAAATCAACTATCCTGATTAACAAGGTAATAAAAGCTCATGAATGAAAAATCACTTTGATGTGTGGGGGAACTTTTCCAGGCCCTCTTTAGCAGGGTGGGACTGGGAGGAGAGTGCTGTAGCCTTTTAGCTGGAAGCTAACTGGAGTCACCACCTGGTGGAACACTAGCAACATGGAGGTAGGTGGGTTGGTTCACCGGCACGTGTCGGAGTCAGCCCGGTTATTAACAGCTGCTTAACGACACCGAGCGGACTCACGTTCACGTTGAAAGCAGCACTGATTCCAGAAACCTCAGCACAAAGTGCGTTCGTTAATCTGAGCCAGCATGACGAACAAGGGAAGCGAGCTGCAGCGGAAAGCGGGGGCGGAGCGGAGATAGTGGAATTTTGGGGTAAGGGTCTACGTAGGGGGCGGGCGTATTACATGAACGGATCCATCTGATTGGCCGCATATCAGAAGGGCTACATTTGATTGGTCAAATAATACTTCCGTGTAAAAAACAGAGCTGGTTTACAAAAAGTTGATGTATGACACGGATGGAAATGTTTGAACCAAACATTTATCGCCGTTTTTGACGTGCTTTGCGATGGGCCTATCGCACGTCCTGTTATCGCGATGACGATAATTTTTCGATATATTGTGCAGCCCTAATTAGTATGATTAAAATGGCCCAAATTGCTTTGATATGTACAATAAATTCCAAAAGTATCAATAAAGTGACATTAAGACAGATATGGTGTGGTGATCCAAACAGTTCTGTTGTAGGATATAACTCAGACCTCCTGCTCTCCTCATTCTCACAGACATTTTCCTAAAAAGCTGTTTTTTTTTTACACCTCATAGTTTCTCAACTTCTCTGTTGTGTATTCTCTCCATTGTGATAATGACGGCGCACCGAGCAAAAGGGAGCGGGTGTCTCATACTATAACCATCCCTGTGTCACTGAAGGAAATTCAGAGCCACAGAGCTGCGTGTGTAAACGGGACGGTAGTTGAAACTCCCGTTGACTTTATTTGCCAAATGCCGGAAAAACCAAAGTGTCTGACGGCTGCAGAACCAGAGATCGCAGGTTGACGCCTGCGCCATCTCTAGAAGCGTGAGCCTCCAGCAGCAGCAGACGTAAATCGGCGGTCTCCAGCTCTGCAGCTGTACCGTTGTCTTCGGCGAATCGGCCCGGCCGAAAACGGTTTATGATTGGTCAGTCCTTGTGCACATGTGCAGATTGTCGTTCTCTTTCCTTACTCCCAGAAGAACGGTTCAGATTGCAAATAGTTTCTTTGTTGCCAATCTATAGGGAATATCCATAAGAAAGTTCTACAGAAAGTAGCAACGGGTCCTGAGAAATGTCGCTAGGTTTGTAGCTAGGCGCTTTTTGGAAAAAAAAGTCGTTGAGGGAGGTCAAAAAGTCGTTAGGAACAGCGACAAAGTCGCTGAGTTGGCAACACTGTTAGCGACTCGAGTCTGCTCCACACACCGCAGCAGAGCTATGGCAAGTCATTGTAGCATTCAACTGACAAACGCTTCTATATCTGAATACAATTTAGACTGGATTATAGGGAGTCTAAGTCATGCCTATCTACTTCCGCCCCATGGGTCCCCAGAAAAATGAATGAAAGTCAATGGGGCTAAAAACGCTATTTTCTAAATCCGCATGTTATGTGCCATGGATGATGTCCGTGAATTTTAAAAGACCCCTTTTCATATCAAGAAAGCGCTCATTTTCGAACAAGGTGAAACGTTATTTTAGGTTTGTGTGAAAATAAGTCCAGGACTACAAAAGCGCTTCACGAAAGTGACGTCATCGAATCAGACACGGATAAAAACAGAAGGAAAATGGCTGTAAGTTTAGCAAACTTAAATCCTTCCTTCAGGAGGAAAGATCCACCATAAATCTGGACATGTGGTAAGTAGCAGCTACGCTAGGGGAGAGGAGATTTTGTGCAATGTGCCGAGGTCTGGTGTGTAGTCATGCCAACTACAAACGTTTACAAGCTGATGAATCTCAAAGTATGTGACAGGCATGTTTGAAACACAAAGCATTAATTTTCATATAAACTGCAGTACAACATGCATGTGATCCAGGGCCTAAGGCAAAGCAGATTAGAAAACAGCTCTTTTAGCCTCGTTGACTTGCGTTCATTTTTTCGTTCTACCGTGGACCCATGAGCTGACCGGAAGGCTCCCTATGTTGCCAACCCATATATAATAAAATATATATGGCACCATTACAATGTTGCTATTAGGAAATAAATGTTAGCATTTCCAGGATCTTACTACTGAACATGTTACTGAAATAATTCTGTTCTACTCATCATATGTGGATATTTTTAGATATGTTTAGCCAAGGACGATTGATATTAAACCAAATATTTTAATGAAATATTAGTCTAATTTTGTTCCATAAAATAAATATCAGCTGGGAAAGAATTAACTAAAAGACACCATTTTAATACATATTATTGATTATTTTATAATTTTGTAGTTTTATTTTTTAATTTTTAGCAGCAGATTAAAGACTCGTTTCACTTGAAATGTCTTCAAATAGAATATTTGATTAATGGATGGAGGATTCGAAAGAATATTCAAATACTAAAATATTCGATAGCTGCAGCCCTAGTCTGGATGTGATTAGCCTCAACAATGTTTCTTTTTCATCTTTAACAATTATATGACATTTTAAAGCATTCAATATTCAGCTTTTTATATTCATTCCTATGAGACGTGGTTAAAGTGATTTGTAGTTCCTTGTGTTGCCATGGTAACAGATGACAGGAGTCTGCATTAATAAAGCTATGTACAATAACACATGACTCATTTAAACTTTGAATAACATTTCTATATTAAAATATGTAGATACAGTTGTGTCTAAAATGTTGTTAAATGTTGTTGCTAAGCACATTGCCATGGTAACGCAGAACACAATATCAGCTTAATACCAGACTCCTGGGACCAAGCAGGTTGAATTGATGTACCATATGTGTGGGTGCACATTTCCTTTTAGGCAGAAGACCATTTAAAACTCTCAGCCAATGAGAGAGCAGCGAAGGAGGAGGGGGCGGTTCCTGCCTTCTGACTAGTGTTAAAATGTCAGCTATGCTGCTAGTTTTAAGTGTATAGAGCTGGTTGGTTGGTTGGTTTGTTGGTTGGATGGATTCCTTAGGCCTAGCTGATCGATTTGATGTCTCACATGCGTGGGTGTGTAATTCCATTTAATTCCAGTCAAACAGCTGGCATTTGAATGAGAATAGTTTAACGGGTGCATTTTTACAATTGGCTGAACTGTGAATTTAGAAATATTTGCTGATATCTGAAACTGATAGATTAACATATGTTCAGATTTGATATGGGATGGATGAATGGTTGGATGAATGAAATGACGGATGGATTGTTGGATGGATGTTAGATGGTTTATTGGATGGGTGGATGGATGGATGGATGGATGGATGGATAGAAGCATGTATGAATTTATATGTGGATGGATGGATTCCTTAGGCCAAGACGATCGATTTGATGTCTCACATGCGTGGGTGTGTAATTCCATTTAGCCAGAAGATGACTGAACTCTCTCAACCAATCAGGGAGCTGGGAGGGAACGGGGCACTTTCCCACCTTCTGAAGGTCAATCAAATTGAACTTGGTTCTAGTTTTAAGTACAGAAAGTTCAAAAAGATCAAAAACAAGAGTCTGTTATTGGCTCAATATTCAGCTTTTTAATATTCATCCCTATGAGACTTGGTTAAAGTGATATATAGTTCCTTGTGTTGCCATGGTAACAGATAACGCAATTAAAATTGAATACAAGATTCCTGAGACCAAACTGGTCGATTTGATGTGACATATGTGTGGATGCTGGATCCTGATTGGACAGAAAATGGTTGAACACTTTGAACCAATCAGAGGTTGCTGCTGAAAGCTACAGAGCAGGGCGCCGTGAAAGAATCAACAGCAGCAGAGAAACGTCCTCATCCTGAGAATCAACATCATCCTCCTCCAGAAGTCTCTCCCTCACACTATACCTCTGTCTGATAAAGTTCTGCTGGGCTGGGTCAGACTATGGTGGGGTATCTGGACACTTACCCTGAGTCAGCAGGAAGTATGGCATCAGGGAGTGTTTGAGAGATGGCTGTCTGAACTGAAGTCTGTCAGGAATCTCCCCCAGCAGCAGCTCCACCACGATCAGCAGCTTATGGACCTGCAGACAGACGCAGAGCCAGTTTCACATCCTGCTGTGTGTGTGTGCGTGCGTGCGTGTGTGTGTGTAAAAGCCAGAGAGCATACTGTCTGTTTAAATCCCACTGCAGTGTGTTGAGGGGCTTTTCTCAGAGCGTTAGTCAGAGTCCTGCGAGCCTCAGAGTACTCCAGCTGGATGGCCTTGATACGACCTACATGAGGTCACATGACACACAGGTGAACAGTCTGCCCCCATGACCCTCTCACCTGAAAGAGACAGGTGCAGTCTCACCTGTGTAGTAGAGGTATCTGGCCCACTCATTGTTGTTGGCGAGCTCAGGGAACACCGATTTAGAGACCAGTTTCTCGGCTTGGTCGTACAGGTTGAAGTGCAGGTAATTCCTCAGCAGCAGGTTGAGCAGCACAGCCTGACCGTCAGCATCGTGGCGCAGTGTCGCCGTGCGCAGCCGGGTGTGCAGGAAGCTGAGGGGCCAGAGAGAAAGGTCATGGGTCAGTGTTAACCCAGACAGCCTCAGCAGTAGATAGAGGTGTGTGTGTGTGTTTACCTGCGGATGGTGTCCAGCTGGTTCAGGAACTCATACACACGGGCGTGATAATAATAACATTTAGCAACTACCAGGTCCAGGGCTCTGCGGTTCTTGGAGCTGACCTTCTGCATCAGGTCATCTGACACCCTCTGAGCCTAAACAACAGGAGACCAACCAGACTTTTAACTCCCGTCAGCTTCTACAGACTCAGCTGAGGTGTAAAAGACCAGATAACAACTGAGGATCTGGTCAGGATTACACGACCAGGACCCTGGTGCTACCTCAGAGTATCTCTTGCTGTTTGTCAGGTGGATCACCAGCAGCAGCTGCAGATATGTCTCCACCTCTGGCAGGAGAGGAGCAGATGCTGCTTTCCCCGTACGAGGACGAAACTGGACATCTCCATCAGCCACGTCCATGGGCTGAGAAACACACACACACACGTCAGATGTCACGTGCTGCTTTTCATTTCTGGACAGAAATCACTTTGATCACAATCAGACAAGAATAAGTTCTGGACAGTAAATCAAAGAAACCGGTTGTGTTGTCACCTCCTCCAGGAAGCCCAGAAGGAAGTCCCTAGTGGTAGCATTGCTGGTGAAGAAGCCAGTGAGGGCTTTATGGAGCACATTGACGTTGAGACGGCGGCTTGTGGACGGCAGCGCTCGGAGAGCACGCAGGACGAAGCGCGGCTCCTTACCCAACACTGCCTTCTCTATTTGCTTCACATGCTCCTTGATGTCTAAAGGGGAGGGGAGACCAGGTGTTTATACATAAATCTGAACATCTCACTACAGAATTAACCTGACCTCTGACCCGAACCAACCAAAAAACCCGACTGAAGATCAGAAGAGTCGGCTCAGCGTGTTTCAGTCCATAACAGATTATTTAAACTAATTTAAGAATTAATGTTTTAATCACTAAGTTAGGAGATTAGTGATGAACAGCAAATGGAAGTAAACAGAACTGGTGAGATGATGTGATATTTAAGATCAGAGACCTCAGAGGTAAGATGATAGAGGAACCTGAGATCAGTGGTCTCCTTCATAAAGCAGCTCTAAACTCATCTGGCTGGCTGGACTCCTGCAGACCCACCGCCAGCCCTGAAGTTAATTTTCCTGTTTGTGTTAGTTTTGGATCGTGGAGCACCTTGTGATCTCCATTTTGAATAGAATAGAATAGAATACACATTTTTGATCCCACAGTGGGGAAATTCACTTGTTACAGCAGCACAAAGACTTAATAGAATAATTTGAAAATAATAATAACAAATGAACATGTAAATACGCATAGGCAGTAAGCTATTATTGTAACCTTCGACCACTAAAAACCACGAATAAAGAATAAAAAACTTCCATAACTACGCAGCACACTGCAAGGGACACAAGACATACTACGTAAATCTGGTATTGCACAAGTATTGAACACACACAGAGTATTACACTGGTGTTAATGTGTAGCAGGATAATGCCAGTACCAGTTAAACTGAGGAGTTATACACTCTTACTGCAGAGGGGATGAATGACGTATGGTAGTGTTCTGTTTTACATCTGGGATGTCTCAGTCTGCCCCTGAAGGAGCTGTCTATGGTGGAATGCAGAAGGTGGGAGGGTGTTTTTAAGATGGAGATCATCTTCCTCAGCATCCTCCTTTCACATGTCTCCTGAACTGTATCCAGTTGGCAGTCTAGAACCGAGCTAGCTTTGTTAACTAGCTTGTTCAGTCTCTTCCTGTCTCGGTCAGAGCTGCCTGCACCCCAACAGACCACAGTGGAGTGGATAACAGATCCAAACACTGAGCGATAAAAATATTTTTGCAGATTGGAATTAACTCCTAAGGACCTTTGCCTCCTCAGGAAGTGGAGGCAGCTTAGGCTCTTCTTATACAGAACATCTGTGTTGTTGGACCAGTTCAGTTTACTGCTGAGGTGAACACCCAGGTAATTCAAGGTATCCACCACCGCTCAATGTCTGCTCCCTGGACGCTTACTGGTGAGTGAGGAGGAGTGTTTCTCTGGAAGTCAATCACCATTCCCTTTGTCTTACTGATGTTCAAGCGAAGGTGGTTACGCTCACACTAGTCCACAAAGTCCATGATAACCGGCCTGTACTCCAGGTGCTATACAGATAAAACTTTCATTAGTTTTGCTGATTTGTAAACAGATGATCAGAAATTCTTTGGGGAAACCGGATCAGAACCAGCAGTATGAACTGGTTTACTGGATTTATCCGGTCAGTGGTTAGGGAGCTGAGTCTCGGGTGGGATTCTCTGATTAATTTCACCTCCTTGGAACAGTTCTAGATTAAAAAACAACTAATTTGCTCTTCTCTGAACACGATTATTGCCCATAAATCGGTTTGAACCCGAACCAAAAATCACTTCTTACAGTAGAACATTTATCTGTTCAGGGTTCTGCTAGGACATTGTTTACTTTAGGGTCTTAATTCTGAATCTAGTCTTGGTGTGGACTGAGGCTGCTATGGTCTGGACCTAGTCTGGGACTAGACTTTAACGGGATCCGGTCTGGACAAGTTTCTCTACGGTTATTTTCTGTCTGTTTATCTTATTTGACTGAAAGCAGAACGCTTAGCTTCGTGCTAATAGGCTAAAGGCCGATGGGTCGTACTTGTTGATAATCGATCCTTCTATAGAACCGGCTCCCGTCCCAGGCCCTCTACTCGGTACTACCACAACATTTAAACTGGGCTTACCGTCCAGTGTGAGGCTGTCAAGCTCTTTGGGCTGCTTAGCCACGTTAGCTGGGTCCTCATCCGGCATCTCCACGTCCTGCGGCTCGGCGGCCACGCTCTTGGCTTCCTTCGCCTCTTTGGACTTGTCGGACCTGGAGTCCTTGTCCCGACCGCCCGCCTTTTCCCGACGCTTGGACGATGTCTCCTTCATGCTGTGTAAAAACAAAATGTGGAGTTGAAATGGGTCTAATGAACGGAACTAAACTTTAACTCAACAATGACTGGACAGAATCAGCAGACAGAAGCAGTTGATAACGAAAATAAGAGCGCAGGCGCAAAGAGTCGAAAAGCAGATAGCTCGCTACTTTACGTTGCTGGACCAGAAGCAACAGAAGGGTGTCGTTCAAGGACAATTCTTCGATTTTATTTATTTATTTTTTTGGTGGGCGATTACTTGGGAGGGAGGGACAGACAGACATTCATTTATTTGTCTGTGGAGATGGGGGAGTAATCCCCCCCCCCCCCCCCCAACACACACAGTTTTTGCTAAATTCATTATTTCTAATTCTAACCTATTTTTTTACTGAAATTAAGCGGAACTTTTTTTACAAGTGAGGTCTGACCATATTTTTCCAAAAGGAAGTGGTAAAATCTGGATGTCTGTCCCAACACTCAAGCAATTATTTGCTGTGGGTAGTACAATTAAAAGCTCTGTTGCAGTGAATTACAATTGTGTTTAATTGTGTGATTTTATTGTGAATTTAGCCAAATTGAAAGAGAAAAACAATGTTAGAGCGACTTCCCCTGTTGATGAAGCAAAATGCCATAGTGTTTTTGAAGACTTTACAGAAAGTGTTTCTACTAATTATTGTAATTTTATCATGTAGTTCCCTCTTCTCCTCCTCCTCCTCCTCCTTAATATTAATATTCCCAGGCGGACAAAGTAAATAAGTACAAGATAAAGGTTTCATGCAATAGTTATAATAAAGTTTGTAAAGCAGTTCCCACACCGTTTATAAAAGTTATACTAAACACCATGGAATATTCACTAATCCAAACTAATCTGCCCCTCACTAACAATTAATAACATTTTATTACACAATACAAAAGTAATAATAAACTGATTACATCATCCTTTTGAAGTTTAAAATCTCCTGACTAGCTCGCCATAATATGTAATGTGATGGAAGTAGTTACTTTTATTGAATGATCAGTAAGATGTGATATTCCATACAAATATGATCATCAACCTTATTGGTCTTCAAATATTATATTTAATATGAACTTGGGTTATTTGGACTGCCAGGGAAACACATACTTCATAATAATTCAGACAGAGTCAAGAATATAGTTTATAAAAATTTATTCAATACTATATTTCTAAACTAATGATGACACAGAACAAATTACGATGGGTGATGGTTGAACAAGATAACCGAGACAATGAATGAAATGATGCAATGTAAACTTAGATGTAATGTCGCAAAACCTAATTAAGTATCTGAGAAATTTGTGATGTCTGGATTGACTGTATGGTTTAACAAGTTATCAGTTATTCATAAAATGATCTGATGCCATCATGCAGGTCTACAATACCCATGTTGGAAGGTCTCGGTGGTCTGGAGGAAAGGCAGCCAGGTTGGTGCGGTCATCGGATGGATTGGCTCCTGGAATCTCAAAGGTCCTTTTTAATTCAATTATCACCGGAGTCTGCTAAGACGTTCCACGTCCGATGAGTTGTTGCATCTGAGCAACTTGCAAGTGTTGCAAAGAAGGTTTTGACCTTGAGGTCAAAACAGAGGATGGTTCCCTGTGCTTTGCTTGCCCCGTTGGCCAAACCAGGAAGCTGGCTAGAACTGAATTGTTCAGGAAGTGAACTCGCTTTTATTAACTATTGTTTATCAATTTGGTCAAATCAGAATTTGACAAGTTAAAGTGTCGAAGACCTCAGACATTCCTAATTCACTGATACACTTAAAATAGGGTATATTTCTTAATGTGTCATAGAAATGATAAACATTCATAATAATATTATTAATGTGTGAATCCATAGATGTTCTCACTTGAAACCTCTAACGTAGCTTAATTTACTTCCAAAGATGTTCTGTACATGGAAAATCTGGACCCTGATATTTCTGAGCCTGTCACCCTTGTAATTATTCTATGTAAATAATGTATTCATACTTGTAAATGTTTAATGACCTCACACACTACTTTACATCTCTAGAATGAAAAAGACAGCTGTTATAATTTACCAAAATATTGCAGAATCCCTGTTGTTTTAAATATGCCTTGCACATGCCATATTGTTGTCTTTGCTGTTTGTAAAAATGACTCACTCCATCTAACTTCATCTATGCTGTGGCAAAAACCCTGCATCTGAAACATCCCGACCCAGTGGGTCACCTGGCTGTGGTTTACCATCTCAGATTGTCATTTGACCATTTAATTGGTTTTGTTTTGGTGACCCGATCCAGATTCTGTATCAGTCAAGAATCCGTTAAGGTTCAGAAACATCAGGCAAACCTGATTCCAGCTGGCTGAAAGCCTTGCTCCCCATGAAGCATAAGAACATCTGGAGTTTGAGTCCAGATGCTACTGAGTTTACTTACCTTTAAGGTAGGGCTGGGCGATATGGATGGCCTAAAATCAATATCATGATATGTTGAGGATTTCACCTCGATAACGATAAATGTACGATAACTACAGGTATGTGCAGAGACAAAGTTGTCCACTAGATGGGGCTGTCACGTGTATTATGTTGAGTCACATTTTTACGTAACTCAAAATGGTACAGCATCTTAAAGGGGCATGAATGTTGCCAACCTACACACACCTTTTCATTTTTTTATTATCAAATTTATTGACATGGGAAAAATGATCTTGATAAGAGTCAGAAATTTCGATAATGATACATTTTTGATTTATTGCCAAGCCCTACTTCAAGGTATCTTTTATTTCAGGCTACTGGAGTCAGCAAACGTTCAAAGACACAAAGAAAAACATTTTGTGTGTTTATTTAGTTTCAGAAACAAAATATATTCATGCGAACTGAATCAGATCAAAGAGGAAGTTGTGTGGCTATTACCATGGCAACAACTTACACACAAGAGTTTTGATGTATAGGTGTGTGGGAAAGGTCTTTTGGCTGGTCTCAGAAGCCCCACAAATATTCTGAACATGTGTTATGTGTACTGCAGCTTATTCAGAATGCTGCTGAGAGACGTATCAAGAACCAAGATAACCAAGCACATCACTCCTGTTCTTAAATCTTTTTATTGTTTGATAACTACATTAACATTCCATTAACAGACAGAATCAGCTGACGTCTGTCTGGTGGCTCCAATCCTCTAAATACTGCTGCCTTGATGAGGTAATTGGCTCCAGCTGGAACCACTCAGCACCTGGGAAAAGAGAGGAACAGCTCCACCTGCTGGATCCTGACACTTTCAGAGGGTTCACTAGTCCAGAAGAATGCTGTCTGAGAAGTTCCTTGAAGTTCTTTGACCAAATAAAGGTTTAGTTTCTGAAGAATATTCACAGGAACTTTACTACATCATTATGTAAGGGGGGTAGTGATCTGTGATAAAACTCTTGGTCAGGTGTTGTACAAAGTCTCAGTGCTGCATAAGGATCTTCTTTAAAGAGCAAGTCACCGCCTACAAGAAACTTACTTCACTCCCTCTTCATGTTTGAAAAATGCAACAAATGCTGTTGCCTAGAAGGCTGAGAGGGGGAGGCGGAGCCACTAACAAATACACACACACACACACACACACACACACACACACACACACACACACAGGCATTGTGACATCATAATGTACCAGTTTACATCATGGCATACCTGTTAGCCAATAGCGATGGCAGATTTAAATTCAAATGCAGTGCAGAATTTTTTTCCTGACGACGGCGCAACACTGACAGTTTTAGGCAGAAATTTTAAATTTTAACTAAGGTGCACTGAAGTACCAAATTATTGACTACACATGTCTGCAGCACAATTAGACACACATTTATATAGTTTATCAGCAAAAAAAAGTTGATTTGGGGGTGACTTGCTCTTTAAGGAGCTCCTCATCTGGGTCGGAAAGGGTCCCGACTTTCCAGGAACTTGAGGTACTCCAAGTGTCTTCGAGCAACTGCCTGGTTCTGCTGAATGTAGTAGAACAGGTAGGAGATGAGCATGGAAAACCAGACGAACATGGTAACCATGGTGACCACTTCACTGGTTCTCCTCACTGACTGGCACAGATCCCAGTCCTCCACCAGTACGACCAGAGGAAGTCCGACAGCTCCTGGAACACAAACGGGGGCCAGGACCATGGATCACATTTTGAATGTCATTAGAATCCTAAACATAGCATTTCCTGTTTGTGAATAAAAACACATGTTGTGTAACTTTTTCTTCAGGTGACATCAGGTGAGCAAGGTCAATGTACCTAGATTCGGGAGGTCCGATGTCTGACAGATGACCTTCTCCAGAGAAGACTGGTCTACATCCAGCTGAGGTATCGACATCTGAACACACAGGAAGTCATCCACCTGCATCACATACCAGCAGGGGCATAACTGAGGCCGTCCAGGTGTGACTCACCTGCATCCTGCAATCACAGTGCCAGGGGTTCTGGGTGAGGTTGGCTAGGACCTGAAGCCCACTGAGCACAGCTGGGTCCAACGTGGTGAGACGGTTGAATGAAAGGTCCAGGTACCGAAGAGAAGACGCCAATCCAAAGAAACAACCGGCTTCAAGAGACGAGAGCTGCCACAGGAAACAGGAAGTGAGTAAACCAGTCAGGTTCTACTGGGAGGTTACTGGTTGCCAATGGGTTTGACTACTGTTTCCTAAGGGGATTACTGGTTTAGTTTCACATGAGTTCTGGCGACTACTACTTCCAGCATGAATTTACTAGTTATTGGGTTCTAAAGAGTTCTATGGTTCATGCAAAGGAGTTACTTGTTTCCGCTGCAAGACTCTACTAGTTCTTGCAGGAATACTACTGGTTTCTGTAGGATTTTACTGGTAAATCAGCGTTTTGCAGATGGGTGAGCACCTGGTTGTGTGACAGGTCAAGCTCATCTAGCAGAAACAATGTGGAGAAGGAGTAGGCAAGCAGGGAGCTGAGCAGGTTCTTGTTCAGATAGAGACGAGTGGTTTGATTGGATAGGCCAGCAGGTACCTGCAGACAAGAACATACAGTACCTGAGCAGACCAGGAAAAGCAAAGATAACCAACTCACCTGTCTGGGTGCTCATTATTTATTACACCTGAGACTTTTCTCTAGGATTTCTGTGAACATTTGACTGTTTCTAACACCCAGAACCAAGCCTTATAGAAACTGTGACCAGATGTGCAGACCTGAGTCAGTCTGAGTCCACTGCAGCGGATCGTCAGGCCTCCGCCCACCGCCTCCATCTGCTGGCAGGCATTGATGGACGATACTCTGTTGCGCCACAGTGCTGCAGCACGAGGTGATGATGTCATGACCAGGCTGGGTGATGGAAGGACTAGGAGGATGAAGAGGAGCAGGAACATCCTCTGTGTGGTTATCACAGAAGATGGCAGCTGCAGACGGTGAACAAATGGTGTTCTGACTTCCTGTCAAACTCTCAGCTGCAGATTCTGTTTCTGGAACATAAATCAGATTATTCTTGAACAAACCTCTGATTTTTCAATCGAATCCCTAAATCTTGAGTGAGAGAAAAACAGGACAAACAAACCTGACTAAACTCAAGCTGGAGGTTTCAGTCTGAAGGTCAAACAGGGTCATCACATGTTAACCTCAGACTGACCCCTGAAGAATGTCACTAAACACATTTCACAGTAAAAGCAGACAGGAGGCAGAAACATTTACTCAACTGAAGAAGTTAGTCAATTCTATTTTTCGAATAACATTTAATAATTTTTCTGAAGTCATTTTATGTTTTTGGGACAAAGCAAAAACCAAATGCCCACAGCCGGTAAACAAGAAGAGAAAAAATAAACAGATCAAAGAGGAGAACAAGATGACAGAACCTGTAGATAAAGATAACAAAGAAGATAAAGAGAAAAGATTAATGAAAAGATGCAGATTGAGTTAATCCTCCTGCAGGATTAAAACAGATTTACATCTTCAGCTGCAGGAGGAAGAAAGTAAAGAGTGCAAAAGAAATACGTAGATCTATAACCGGTTTTATTGGTTTTATTCTGTTTTCTTCACTTCTGTCTGTAAAACGGACACAAACGGATCAAAGACAGGCATGTGAATTGATGTAGAACAGCTGTTTGACTCCTGTTTTAGTTTCAAAAACAAAATCTGTGTTAACAGAAATGTTTGTATGTTTATCAGATGACTGAATTAATTCAGCTACTGGAACTCTTTATATTGACAAAACGCTCCAGCTTAAAACGTTTCTTCATTTTTCTGTTTATTGTTCTGAAAAGACTTATCGCGTTTGCTTACTTTGATGCCAGACTCAAAACAGATTTAGAAACAAAACATAAAAACATAATCAGCTGGTTGAAATGGAGTGAATGTATTTAAATGTTCTAACATCTTTTCTAAAAGCAACATCATGGGTCATCCTCTTTCCTTCTGTCTTTTTAAATTTAATTCTAAACATTAAAAGCGGAATATCAGCGACGAGCAGGAAAGATCGTTTCTACTCACTGAGAGGAAAGCTTTGGGCCACTGGCACGTCAACAAACAAACAAACTAGGGCAAACCACAGCTTTGGGTCTGAAAATCAGACAAATAAACACCAGAAAACAGCTGATCAGAGACCAGATCGTATCAAGAAGACAAGCACTCACTCAGCACCGCAGAACCGACCCTGTTCGGTTCCACGGAACTAAGCTACTAAATGTAGAATGCTGACTAACCCCGGCTTTCCACAGCAGCCGTCAGCAGCACGTTACTGCAGCAGCACGTCATAGCTGCTGATAGGAACCGCTGTGGTCAACAGAACCTTTTCCACTGGAGCCGTCGGCAGCCGTCAGCAGCGCGAGTCGGCCGCGTCTCAGGAGCAGCATGTCGCGGCCTTTACGCGCCGGTTCTATTTCCTACGCGCGACGCCTCTGAAACGGGTCAAGTTCGACATTTTTGGGGAAGGAAATACAGGAAATCGGACGCGGAAATGGAGAGAAGCTCCCGAGATTTTCAGAATAAAGAACGTACTGCCTTCCGGTTGCTTTACTTTAAAAAAGGTTACTAACTGTGCGTCCCCGTGAGAAGTTATCACCTAGCTAGCGGTCTCCTTTGTTTTTCAGGTCCGTATTGGCGATTATAAAACGGACAGAACATAAAAACACAAACATTTTGGAGCCATGTTGTAGTTTTCTCCTGCTTGTTGTTGTGTTTACTGACGAAGTCACTCGTGTGACTTCGTGCTCTGTCGGTGACAGCTGCTCCCCTGCTGATTCGCGTCTCGTGGGAAGGGCCAAGCAGCAGCTTACGCGAGCAAGACGTGCTGCTGCAGTAACGTGCTGCTGACGGCTCCCGTGGAAACCCGGGGTAAGGCCTAGTCCACACGTAGCCGGGTTTTTTAAAAAACGAATATCCGCCCCTCCAGAAACTTGCATCCACACCACCGCGTTTTAAAAACAAACTCTGTCCACACGTACCCGGATAAATACGTTGTTAAGGACATGCCAGACCTGTAGGCGGCAGTACTTCCCCCGTTCTTAACCTCGCCCTTCGTCTGTGGTCTTCCGCAAGGAGCAGTAATTCCGCTTGCAAAAACAAACAAGCAGAAAGCGCTTGGACAATTGATGAATTGGGTAGTGACAGAGCGCAGCTCTGAGGGCATCCATGCTGTCGGCTAGTGTAAACACAGGTCGCACAGGTGATGTCAGCATTTTTTTGTCGCGGAAAGTGATGTTGTGGACCTTAAAACTCCGGTTTTGTCTGTCCACACGCAGACACCCAACACGGAGAAAACGCAGATCTTCACTTTGGCCGGAGTTTTTAAAAAGATCCGTTTTCGTGTGAAAAAACTCCGTTTTCGTGTGGATGACAGGCCAAAACGTAAAAAAATATCTACGTTTTGGCAGATCCCCGGCTACGTGTGGACAGGGCCTGAGATTAGAGAGACAGTTCTTAATGTCAGACCAGTGTTAATCATGAATTTATGAATCACATCTGGGTCATATGCAGTTCACCTCTTTATATTTACAAATAAAGCATAATAATAATCAACATTGTTGTGGAAACTATTATTATTATCCATCCATCCATCCGCTTATCCGGAGTCGGGTTGCAGGGGCAGTAGCCTAAGGTGAGAGGCCCAGACTTCCCTCTCCCCAGCCACTTGGGCCAGCTCTTCCGGAGGAATCCCAAGGCGTTCCCTGGCCAGGTGAGAGACTTATAGTCCCTCCACCGTGTCCTGGGTCTACCTTTAGGTCTCCTCCCGATTGGACATGCCCGGAAAACCTCACCAGGGAGGCGTCCAGGAGGCATCCTGACCAGATGCCCGAGCCACCTCAACTGGCTCCTCTCAATGTGGAGGAGCAGCTGGTCTACTCCGAGCCCCTCCCGAATGGCCGAGCTTCTCACCCTGTCTTTAAGGGAGAGCCCAGCCACTCTTTGGAGAATACTCATTTCAGCTGATTGTATCCACAATCTCGTTCTTTCGGTCACTACCCAAAGCTCATGACCATAGGTGAGGGTAGGAACGTAGATCGACCGGTAAATCGAGAGCTTCGCCTTCTGACTCAGCTCTCTCTTCACCACGACAGACCGGTACAACGCCCGCATCACTGCAGATAAAGCACCAATCTTCCTATTGATCTCACACTCCAGTTTTCCCTCACTCGTAAACAAGACCCCGAGATACTTAAACTCCTCCACTTGGGGCATGACCTTATCCCTGACCTGGAGAAGGCATTCTACCCTTTTCTGAATCAGGACCATGGTCTCAGATTTAGAGGAGCTGATTCTCATCCCAGCTGCTTCACACTCGGCTGCGAACCGCTCCAGCGAAAGTTGAAGATCACGTTCTGATGAAGCCAACAGGACCACATCATCTGCAAAAAGCAAAGACCTGCTCCTCAGGCCACCAAAACAGATGCCTTCCACACCTTGGCTGTGCCAAAAAATCCTGTCCATAAAGGTTATGAACAGAATCGGTGACAAAGGGCAGCCTTGGCGGAGTCCAACTCTCACTAGGAACGAGCCTGACTTATTGCCAGCAATGCACTGCAAAGTCCCCAGACTCTGCATCCTCACTGGAAGACGTGTCGGTGGGATTGAGGAGGTCTTCGAAGTATTCTGCCCACCGATCCACAATGTCCTGAGTAGAGGTCAGCAACACTACAAATAGTGTTGGTAGTGCTTGAAATTTCATGAATTACTGTCCTCATTCTCGGCCAGCATCACTGATGCAAAGAAAGCTTTCTACACTGACAAAATTCTCAGCTTTACTGACTCTCAGAAACTATTTTCAACATTCAAAACTCTGCTCAACCCTCCGTCTCCACCTCCTACCAACAATCTATCAGCTGACACCTTTGCCTCATTCTTCACTGACAAAGTGGCAGCTATAAGCAAACAGTTTACTCAACTGGCCACTCCTGAACATTCGCTACCACAAACTCCTTCTAGCCCAACCATCTCAAGTCCTACTGCTTCATTTTCCTCTTTTTCCCCTCTCACTGAGAACTGTGTGTCCAAGCTTCTCACGTGCAGCCGCCCTACTACGTGCCCACTTGACCCCATTCCGACTAAGCTGCTCCAAGCTATTGCTCCTACAGTAGCCGCAGCAGTCACACATGTGATAAACGCTTCACTGACATCCGGTACATTTCCCACCTCTCTCAGGCATGTTCAGGTTAAACCGCTGCTAAAAAAAAATTATCTCTTCCTCCAAATCATGTGGAGAACTACTGACCTATCTCTCTCCTCCCTTTTCTGTCCAAAATCATTGAAAGGGTGGCTTTCAAGCAGATCACCGAATACCTCTCACAAAACTGTCTGCTTGACCCTTACCAATCTGGGTTCAAAAAGGGCCACTCCACTGAAACTGCTCTGTTAGCAGCAACGGAATCCTTAAAAGAAGCTAGAGCAACTGCCACATCCTCAGTGCTTATCCTGCTCGACTTATTGGCTGGATTTGACACTGTCAACCATGGCGTCTTTTTGTCCACACTCTCTAGCATGGGCATCACAGAGAAAGCATACACCTGGTTTGAATCGTACCTCACAGGATGATCATTCAGTGTATCTTGGCTTGGACAATCCTCTACCGTGCACCATCTTGCCACAGGAGTCCCCCAGGGCTCTGTACTAGGACCTCTTCTTCAACATTGCTAAGCTGAGTCCCATTCTGTCCCGCTCTGACCTTGAGACAGTTGTCCACACCTTCATCTCCTCACGCTTAGACTACTGTAACTCTCTTTTCACGTGTCTGAGCAGAACCTCCCTGAACCGTCTACAGGTGGTTCAGAATGCCTGTGCTCGGCTTCTGACCAAGTCCTCCAAATACACCCACATCACCCCACTTCTCCTCCAGCTTCACTGGCTGCCAGTCAACTTCAGGGTTCATTTCAAGATCCTGGTTCTGGTACATAGGGCTTTACATCGACAAGCACCATCTTACATTGGTGATCTTCTTAGTCCCTACACCCCCAGCAGGTCCCTGAGGTCCAGTGATCAAAGCCTACTGGTTGTGCAGCGCACCAGAATAAAGACCAAAGGTGACAGATCATTTGCTGCTGTGGCCCCCAGACTCTGGAACTCTCTCCCCCTGAGCCTGAGATCAGTGGACTCAGTGGTCTCCTTCAAAAAGCGGCTGAAGATCAAGCTGGCTTTTGTATGACCTTCTTCAACAACTCTCTCTTTATTCTGCTCTCCCCACCTATTCCACCTTCCTCAGGATCCACTGATTTCCCTCTTTCCTATTCACTCTCTCTCTTTCTTAACATTTTTTTCTTTTAAATCGCAATTGCTTATTCTTGCTCATTTTAAATATATTTTTAAACATGTTCGAAATGCTATTTTATATTTTTACAATTTTTATATTTTTTGTTTTTGTGAAGCGCCTCGTGATTTTTATCTTGAGAGGCGCTATAGAAATGATATTTTCTTCTTCTTCTTCTTCTTCTTCTTCTTCTTCTTCTTCTTCTTCTTCTTCTTCTTCTTCTTCTTCTTCTTCTTCTTCTTCTTCTTCTTCTTCTTCTCTTTGCCATATACACCACCTCACTGGGTGAGATCATTCAATCACATGGCTTCTTCTACCACTGCTATGCAGACGACACCCAGCTCTATCTGTCATTTCCACCAGACGACCACACTGTCTCTGCACGAATATCAAACTGTCTCTCCAACTATTACGTTCTCGACTCTAGTTATGGGGAAAACTCAGGGAATGAAACGGGTTGTAAAATAATAATTTATCTTTCTTTGTGTTCAATTATAATTACAAGGATTTACAAACAAAACAAAAACCCAGCTGGGACCAGGAAGTTTTACACACAAAACAAACAAAATGTTTGGCATTTCTTTACCCACAAATTATCTTTAACTGGTACCAACAAAACAACTAAGATCCTAAAGCTAATAACAAAATACCACCAAGTTTAAAACAAATCCTCTCCACAGTTTGGACCAGAAGAGTGCAGAGATTTACTCTCATTTAAGATAGCACTTTCTCAAGATGTTAGCAGACTAAACCATTTAACAGAGAAAAGGGAGCATGGAGTGGAGTCAACCCATGGGTAGGAGTTGCTCCCCATGTAATGGTTCCAACGACGTTTTATCCTCCTCATGTGGCAACCGCAATCAGTCCCAATCCGCCTCAGCTGCAGCTTCTGCTCCGGAGCTGTCCGTTGATGTCATTTGGGGCAAAGTTCACACAAGGCTGCTGGTCCTGAACTCTGCAGCCCTTGGCAGAGTCAAAGAGTCCTTGTCCCCAAAGGCTCAGAGGATCCATGATGTGTGACATGAAAAGTAAAACACAACCATAAACTTCACACAAACTACCGGGGAACGTAACACCAACATAGCAAAATGGATGAATTCCCTCCGTCTCCAACTCAACCTCTCTAAAACTGAACTACTTGTCACCCCAGCAAAACCATCCATACAGCACAATATCTCAATCCAAAATGACTTCCTATCTCTGGCTCCTTCAAAGACAGTTCGAAATCTGGGTGTTGTGATTGATGAACACCTGACCTTTAAAGATCATGTTGCCTCTGTTGCTCGTTCATGCCGCTTTGCGCTGTATAACATACGAAAGATCAGACCATACCTAACACAACATGCCACCCAGCTCCTGGTGCAATCTACTGTCATCTCCCGCCTCGATTACTGCAATGCCCTTCTAACTGGTCTTCCAGCCTGTACTGTGAGACCTCTTCGAATGGTACAGAACGCAGCGGTATGTCTGGTCTTCAATCAGCCAAAAAGAGCACATGTCACCCCTCTGTTCATTGAGCTCCACTGGCTACCGCTAGCAGCACGCATCAAATTCAAATTGCTAACACTAGCATACAAAGTCTGAGATGGTATGTCTCCCATCTACCTGAATTCTCTTGCAAGGCTTACGTCTCGGCCCGGCCGCTCCGGTCATCACAGGATCGTCGGCTAGCAGTGCCTACACCACGCTCAGGACAATCCAGACTCTTCTCATGCATCGTTCCACAAATGCGGAATGATCTACCAAGCACTACCTTCCTTTCCAATTTTCAAGAAACACCTGAAGACCCTGCTCTTCAGAGAGTATCTTCTAAACTAGCACCCTCCCTGCACCCGTACCCCCTCTCTACTGTCCACTCCTTGTTCCCTCCTCTCCATGATTGATGTCAAGTTGTTGTTATTGTTAGCGTCAAGGGCAACATGCCGATTATTACTTGTAAGTCGCTTTGGACAAAAGCATCTGGTAAATACATAAACATAAACATAACATAACATACCAACACCTTCTATGGTGGGAGAGATGTGCTGATGACCTTGGCTCAGGTCGTTGTGGAACGGTGTGGGTAGAGTACTTTGAAAACCAAGAGGAATCAGCATTTGGGGACGTTGGGTGGGGCTTTCCAATTTTTGGATTCAAGGTAACAAAACTCTACAGTGTCAAGGGGGTGGTTGAGATCCACCTGGAATTCCTCTGGATGTTGTAGGGCTGTGTTGGTTGACATGGCTCTGCAATCAGAGGCAGTTCCACTATATTGGCAGGCCGGGGTGGTTGCCCTATTTTTGAAGAAAGACCACAGGATGTGTTCCAACTAGGGGATCACACTCCTGAGCCTCCCTAGTAAGGTCTGTTATGGAGTCCTGGAGAGGAGCGCCCATTGCAGTGTCGAACCTCAGATTCAGGAGGAACAATGTGGTTTTTGTCCTGGCTGTGGTACACTGGACCAGGTGTGGCTTAAAGATCATGTCTCTGCTCTTTGCAAATGATGTGGTCCTGTTGGCTTTATCGGAACGTAATCTCCAGCTTTCCCTAGAGCGCTTCGCAGCTGAGTGTGAAGCAGCTGGGATGATAATCAGCTCCTCCAAATCTGAGACCATGGTCTTGAATTGGAAAATGGTAGAATGCCTTCTCCAGGTCAGGGATGAGGTCATACCCCAAGTGGAGGAGTTTAAGTATCTCTGGGTCTTGTTCACAAGTGAGGGAAAGATGGATCAGGAGATCGATAGGTGGATTGGTGCTCCATCTGCAGTGATGCGTGCGTTGTACCGGTCTGCCATGGTGAACAGAGAGCTGAGCTGGAAGCAAAGCTCTTGATTTACCGGTCGATCTACGTTCCTACCCTCACCAATGGTCATGAGCTTTGGGTAGTGACCAAAAGAATGAGATCACGGATAAAAGCAACAAAAATGTATTTTCTCCACAGGGTGGCTGGGCTCTCCCTTAGGGTGAGAAGCTCGGTCATTCGGGAGGGGCTCAGATTAGATCCGCTGCTCCTCCACATCAAGAGGAGCCAGTAGAGGTGGCTCGGGCATCTGGTCAGGATGCCTCTTTGACGCCTCCCTGGTGAGGTTTACCGGGCACGTCCAACTGGGAGAAGGACCAAGGACACGCTTGAAGGACTATGTCTCATGGCTGGCCAGGGCACACCTTAGGATTTCCCCTGGAGGAGCTGGCCCAAGTGGCTGCGGGGAGAGGGAAGTCTGGACCTCCCTGCTTAGGTTGTTGCCCCCGTGACCCGATTCCAGATAAGTGGCTGAAAACGGATGGATGGATGGAAAAAGAAGAGTTATAATAATAGTTGCAGCACTTTCACACACAACTGGAGGGTTGTATTATGTGCTGAAAAGTAGCTAACAGTGTTATAGTCCAGTCAATCATCAATGAAAACATTTTTGTTCCTGCTGTCAGTCTGCATGCCGATGATTGTTGGGCTATAACTTTTTTATGCATTTGTTTTTATAGTTTTACTTTCTCTCCTTTTCATGTCTTGACAGAAACATTGCAAGGAGGTACGGGTAGCAGGCTAGCTCCATCTCGAAAATTTTAGGAAAACAAAGATAGTCAATCAAATAACTTTGATTGAAAAAAAAAACACCTGGAGTATTTATCAGTCCTCTGCAAGAACAGCCTCCACCAAACAGTGCACAACTTCCTGTTGGCAAGGTTGACAAAAACAAAATTTCCATTTTAAATGATCGCACCTCCATAAAAAGGTGTCCGAATTCTCTCTTCTCTGTGACACTGATCAGGCATAACTCAGGACTCTAGATCACGTGAATTCGCTCCTATCAGGCAGGTGACAGGTGCCTGGGGGCGGGGCCTGCAGAAGCTCGCTGTGTCTGTTTGGAGCTGATAGAGCACGGGCTGCGCAGCGCTTCACAGATCACAGAGTAAGAATTCACCAGAGGAGCAGGAGACTGGTATCAGAGGAACAACCCTGGCCGAAACTTCAGGCTCTTCTGTGATCCAGAACTTTTTTCACTTAGTTCCAGTAAAACAGGCGGATACACACACAGTGAGTACATCACACACACACACACACACACACACACACACACACACACACACACACACACACACACACACACACACAAACACACAGAAAAACAATCTTTGTTTACACCAAACATCAGGCAGAACACTCCTGACTCACTTCTTAATAAGGTTTTTTTTATCACATCTAAAGTATTCTGCTGTTATAGAATAACTATACTGCAGTAAAACATAATGAGCATACCAGTCAACATGGAAACACACAGTAAAAAAATCAAGTACAACGAAACCAGTAAAAAGTGCTCCACAAAACTTGCTAAAGAATTAAAAACACAATAAAACTAATGAAAACACAGCAAGAGCACTGTAAAACTCAGTAAAAGATGTTAAACACACAATAAAACGCACTTGAACTAATCACAATAGAACACATCGAAACAATAAAATAATTATTTATTTAGCAGGGTTGAGTTAATTAACAGTTTTTTGATCATTTCGGACCTGGAAAGTTGTTTAACATTTTAAAGATAAAAATCTAATGAACACATTTGTGAAACTGCTGACTAAAATATAATGAATAAATGTGAATATGTTATTTCTAATAATTGTCTACCATTTGTGATCACCATTATATATTATGATTAATCACAATAAAATCATTGAACTGTTAAATCATTTAAATTATGATTTTTCTTTTCTTTCAAATGTCTATTGAACCTAAATCAGATTCACATTGTTTGATTCACAGACAATTTAATCTGACATCCCAATCCTCCAACCATCACCAAGGAGACGATTCAGGAGGCCATGATGGCCTCAACTCCAGACGACACTACAAATAAAAGACCTGAAGAAGAAGATGATGAAAATGAGGAGGACTACAAGCCTAGTGCTTCTCCTCCGCTTCCTCCTGTTACCATGATAACACCAAAGGTTGATCCTGCCAGCCAATCAGATGCTGCAGAGAAAACTCCTGCAGCTCCGGACATCAGCTGGGACTCCAGTGATGACACAGGCCTCACCCTGTCTGACTCTGTCAGCGAGGAGCTACCTTGGCAGAGAAAGAAAGAGGAGGAGCGGGATGAAGAGGAAATTAAGGCGGTGGCTTCTTCTCCTGATGGTCGATTCCTGAAGTTCAACATCGAGATAGGACGTGGTTCCTTCAAGACGGTTTACAGAGGCCTCGACACTGAGACCACCGTGGAGGTTGCCTGGTGTGAGCTGCAGGTCTCTCTCTCACCTACACACACACACACACACACACACACACACACACACACACACACACACACACACACACACACACACACACACACACACACACACACACACACACACCAGCACCAACAACAATAAAATGAAAAAAAAAAAGTTTGGTTCTACTCAGAGGGTGGAATTTACCAGGGTGTGAAGATGGTGACAGCTCTTGAGTTCTGGATGTCTCAGTAGCTGAGCTGGACCAATGTGACGGATCAGATTCCTCATCAGCCGATTGGATCATCACCAAACACCTGGACCAACAAACCAACAGCTGGTTAAACCATCACCTGGTTTGAAAGAACAAATTGTATCAAGGCAGGGTTCCAACTCTTTTCTTGAAATGATTTTTCAGGGCATTTTCAAGACCTAGCTACACACCTAGTGTTGGGCGACATACTGATATTATTATCATATCGGGACACATTTGGAAACAGATATGATTATGTACCTCTACCATTAAATCAACATCATTGTGGTGCAAAGATTGTTGTCTTTCACAATGCAACACAACTAAAACAGAAGTTGTTCTCTACTTTAGTTCAGACACAGCTGTTTTACATGATTATATCAGTTTAAAAGTCCAAACCCTCACAGTCAAGCTGTATTCACAATCAGTCACTAAAATTTAAAAAATTACTATTAATGAACTTTTAAATTAATTGCATCTGATGAGTGGAATGTGGCCCTTTGAGACGACCTGTTACTATCTCAAAGTTGTCGTCATGTTTGTTACGGCTCCACTAGAAGAAGAAGAATAGATCTTTTCTATAGGGCCTCTCAAGATAAAAATCACGAGGCGCTTCACAAAAACAAAAAAATGTAAAATATAAAAAAGAATTTAGAAAATGATTAAAAATAAATTTTAAATGAGCAAAAATAGACAATTGTGATTAAAACATTCAAAGAAAGAGAGCGAGTGAAAAGGAAAGAGGGAAATCAGTGGATCCTGAGGAAGGTGGAATAGGTAGGGAGAGCAGAACAAGGACAGGGTGACGAAGGTCACACCAAAACCAGCCTGAACCAAAAAAGTATTTTGTGCAAAGGCATGAGAGACGACAGTGTCAGAGCACTCTTCAGGCCCTCGAGAGTTTGTGTCACTGCCTTTATTTACCCATCAAAAACAACTCAACTAAAAATACTCAGATACAAAAGCTGTTACTGATAGCTGGCAGGTTAGCTAAAGGACAAACACACATATCTGTAAAAAGATCAGAGATCCTTTGTGATGAACGTGTTCAGTTTTAAAGTTTTCTCTAAATCATTCCAATCTGGCAGCAGCAGACCGAAGGGATAACAAGCCTAATACAGAAGGATGTTTAGGAAATAATAGCAAAATCAGACCAGCAGATCCAGTTTTATGGGCAGTGGATGAAATATGTTACAACTGTTGCAAACAAGCAGGAGACAAACCTAGAAGAGTTTCATAAATCAGCGTAAACCAGTGGATTTTACGACGGGCATACAAGGACGTTTAATAGAGGAATAAAGAGAACACTGGTGAGTGCTAAATAGAGCATTAGTTACAAACTGAATAGAAGAGTGGTAGGGAACATCAAGCTTATGATGTAAACTGTTAGATGCTGATCTACAAATAATAATCCATCATGGGAACATCTGTACCAGAGTTCTTCTCATCTGGTATAGGATACACTTATGTTAAAAAACTTCTGCAGTCATTTATAATAATGATGTGTAGGGTTGGGCTTCGAGCAGATTGGAACCGGTTCCAACTGTTAGTTTTTCCCGGAATCATTCCGTTTTTTTTTTCAATTCCTAGAATACCGACAGAATGGGAATCCGCGGCCGATCTTCGTGAAAAATAAACGTGATCTGCAAATTGTGATCAAGGCTTTCAGAGCTGATCACACCAGCTGTCTGTGAGCAGCGCAAGTCCCTCCTCCCCCCACCTGGTGCACAGCGGTCAAATATAAACAAACGCGTCTGCCGAACTTTTACTCTGTAATGTAAACTTTAACTCCTGCAGTGTAGAGGAAACTTGTTAAAATACGTCAACACGGTGGATTTAATAGAAGCTTTAAAGAACTAACTCTGGACGGTGTGAGGTGAGTTTGTCTCACTGCAGAAACAAAAACACACACCGAGCATCAGCAGTCAGACACAGCCACTCACCAACACTCTGTGTGTGTGTGTGTGTGTGTGTGTGTGTGTGTGTGTGTGTGTGTGTGTGTGTGTGTGTGTGTGTGTGAGCGTGAGCGTCAGAAGGCTGAACAATAACCTGTAGATTAAAGTCATCATGCTAGAGAAACTTCTCCGTGGTGGACCACACCAGCTTCTACCACAATAAAATATAATAATAATAATAAATAACGTTTTTTATTTCCTTTCTGAACTATTCCTGTTGAGAGGTTTAATGTTTAAAATCTGTTAGATTGTTACTGACAGCAGCTACATTTAAGTTTCTGTTCTGACTGAATGCTGCTGCAGCGTGGAGGTGTAGTTCTCAGTCATCCTGGACATGATCATCCTGAGAGTTTTAGCTGAAAACAGCTGGATGTTTCTGGATATGTTAGAGACATTTAGCCTCTCATCCCAGCGGCTTCTTCCAGACTTTGGTTGTGGTCAGAAACAAACACACTGGTTGTGCTGCAAGTGTTTTTCTTTTTTTCTCCAAAACATGTTTTTGTCTAAACGAAGTGATGGAATTGTTCATAGAATTGAAATTCATGTTGAAGTTAAGATTATTTCATCAAGTAGGACCTGTGGTTAGCTAGCTCATTTAAAGCATGTCATGTTTTGAAAGAATTGCAATTGGGAATCGATAGGAACCGGAATCAAAAGGAGGAATTGGAATAATTCAAAATCAAATGATGCCCAACCCCTGTGTGTGTGTGTGTGTGTGTGTGTGTGTGTGTGTGTGTGTGTGTGTGTGCGTGCGTGCGTGCGTGCGTGCGTGCGTGTGTGTGTGTGTGTGTGTGTGTGTGTGTGTGTGTGTGTGCGCGCATGCAGTATCACCAGCAGCAGCCATGTGATAAGCTCAGATACTGCGTAGGTTTCAACAAACTGCTGATTCACAGTGCCCCCCCCTCACACACACACACACACACACACACACACACACACACACACACACACACACACACACACACAAACTGATCAGAAATGTTTATTTTTGGCTCGAACTGGAAGAACTTAAGTCTTCTATTCTCACATTAAGTTAATAAACATCTGCTGAAGAAGTTATTCAACTTTTAGTGAAAGAAAATCACAAACAACTTACAATTAAACTGAATAATAAAGGCAACAAGTAGCAAAAAAATTTGGATGTTTTTTTTTTTGTTAAAACTATAAAAATTGAGACTAATTGAATTTTTTTGAGTGAAACAAAAAGCATTTTAACTGTGTTAGCATCATTTAATCAAGTTGGACAAAAGAGCAATCTCTTTTTCTAATGTGTATTTTTTTATGACTTCAATAGAATAATTGTACTTGCTGACTCACTGCTGCTTGGTCCGATCAGGTCGTTCTTGACCAAAGGAATCTGAAGCCCTTGTCGTCTCCAGGAACTGGATCCTAAACAAATGGCGCAAGACTTTAGTGTGTTGTCATGTCAGCAGTTCATTTGCAGCAGCTCAGTGAGGGCTCGGTGTCCTTCATGCTGCAGCTTTTCTCTCACAAGGTCAGTGAATGAATGAATGTGTTTGCATTTGACAGACTCTCCGTCTGAGCCGATCTGAGCGCCAGCGTTTCAGCGAGGAAGTGGAGATGCTCAAAGGTCTGCAGCATCCCAATATTGTGAGGTTCTTTGATTCCTGGAAGTCAGGGCCGAGGGGCCAGAAATGCACTGTCATGGTGACGGAGCTCATGACGTCTGGAACCCTTAAAACGTGAGACCAGAACCTGAAAAGTCTACTCCTATCACTTCTATTTGATTTGTTTTTCATTATTTGTTGTTTATTATGTTTTACAGTTACTAACCCTAACTATTCAGCTGAGTCAGCACAGCATCCCCAGTACCTGTCTTACTTCTGGATGCAAATTTGGAACAGGTCTAGCACATCAGCCACTGAATTAAGCTTGGTTTATGCTTGACGCATTCACTTTCCGCTTGGTGATGCGGCTCGCGGATGGAACGCGCTTCACAACTTGCAGCGTTTATGGTTCATGCGGCTTGTCTCTGCGGTTAGCCAATATTCTCCCAAACTGTAGGGGGCAGCATGGAGCTCTACGGCATGCATCCAACACTACACCATAGTAGAAGTAAAAATTACTGTTGTTTACAACATGGCATTCCAGCATTTTTTTAACAGTGTCCTCGTCTTTTCCGACAGTGCGAGCTATTTCTCTCCAAGAATTATTAACAACATGTTGATCACAGTGATCTTTCAGAGCTGAATCATACAAATGTCTGTATTTATAAACCTCTGCCATAACTAGTTCTTGCCAGTCCGCCATGTTTTTCTGTGTTCGACCGTCTGCGTGGTTAGAAAATTTCCTAGGTGCGCAGTGCGGAAAGTTTGGGCCGTGCGGAGGCCAGGTGGAGGGGCGTGGTTGTTAAAATGATGCAATTTTGCCGCACGGAGCTGTGCGAACCTCGCAGACGCATCAAGCATAAACCAAACTTTAGATGGTTGACCCAATACAGATGCTAGGGCAATGGGTCTAAAATCCTGAGGAGCATTAGCACCCAGCTTTTATTCAACTGGTCTTATTATTGAAAAGTTCTAAGCTTTTGGTGCCTTCCTCCAATTTAGAAGATATCAACATAACTGTGTGAAAACTCCCTTTAATTGTTGAGCAGAGTCTTTTAACAGACGGACTTTGAGGCCATCTAGCCAAGAGGCCTTATTAAGTTTTAGATTAAAGATGCTTTTTGCAACATCCTGCTCCCTAGTACTTTTTGGGAGTTGTGTAGGAAGATTTTTCCACAACTCAGCACTCACAGTTTGTTTTCTCAAATATGCAGTAAAATGTATTCAATTCCCCATGTAGAGGGTAAACATTGTTGCTGTTAAGCTTAATATATTACCTCTACTTATGAGCAATAAGCTGTGATATTCTATATAAATATAGAATATCAACCTGCTTGGTCTTTGGATGTTTAATCAGAAGATTCTAGGATTCTTTGCTTTTTCAGGGATCAAGCACACGTCGTCTCAATCCAGACAGAGTCAGGTTTATAAAAAGTAAGAATTTATTTTCCAAACAATTAAAAACATGACAAGTTAACTAAGACTACTGTGGTGGATGAATCTAGGTGGATGGGATGTGATGTATGGTGACTATGTGTGAATGTGAGGTTATCAGAACCTTCATATCTAGAAGAACTGAGTTGTGGGTGTAAAAAAAGAGAATTTGGTTTGCGTTAACTAGGAAGTTGATTCTTATCAATCAAAACCACATCAGACACGATCCATGCTGTGTCTACCTCACCCTTTTGGAAGACCCTCTTCACGGATCCGGAGGTCAGGAAGGTCGGATGACCTCTGAGCTCCGAGGTTCAGTAGATTAACCGCAGCACCTACTCTCCAGTCCAGAGATGTTTCCCGAGTCACAACAGATAGATGGAATCGTTTGCATCTAGAAGGACTCTTAGGTAGTCTGAACTGTGTCAGCTTTGTTCTGCAGGAACCGTTTGCTGTGTCAGCTTCAGCGTGTAGCAGGGTTTTGACAGCTTGTCAAAAATGCTCTGGGTTAAAGAGGTTTCGCTCCGAACGGCCGTTCCATAACTTTCTCTAGAACTAACTCACGGTGAAGGGAGCTCTGTTTTAATATTCTCATGTTATGGTTTACTTGTCTAATCGGAACGTGTCATGTTAAGGGGTGTTAACAAGCAAACCTCAGAACATCACGCCTTCTTTCAGATACAGGATGCTCTGATTTGTGAGTAAGAAAATATCTATATGTCATGACGTTTAACTTTAATTTATCTCTAATGAACCTTGTATCTGAGTGTGGATGATGATTACCTTGTCATATCAGACATTACTGACCATCATATATATACATCTTTCAATGTAATAATAACATTAATTTCAAACTTCAGTAATTCAAGCACAGATTAATCAAGATATTATTATTATTTGTATAACATTTGTTCATTCAACCATATTGTTCATTCACTATTATAACAGTTCAGTCCTTTCTTCTGTGCAGGACGGCCTAGATAAGCAGACAGGCTTGGCACAGAAGGACCTTGAGAAGGGAGCATGATGTTGACAATCTGAGTGTAAACACGCGGTGTTGAATCTTTTCCTGCAACTTGGAAGATTAAGAGACGCACAGAGGAAGATTCATGTCTGTAGATGACCGATGGCATGTAGGTCAATATGTAGGTGAGAACTGACCATTTCTGGACATTACACCTGGTTTGCCAATATCAGCTGATTTTAATGGTAAACCGATGATGTTGAAAATCCCTAATAAGAGTCTTTACAAAATTGGAAAAATATTTCCCATTTTGTATCCTCGCAGCAGTCTCTCAGTTGTTCCTTACAAGTTTTAGACCACACATGCACTTATTTAGTGGCAAGTTTGCTTTAAATGCTCCAGAAATGTTTGCCATAGCAGCAATCAATAGATCATTTGAAGCGAGTGGGCCAGTCCACATATTGCTGAACATTGGGCAGGTGCTTCAATAAGTCACATCAATTAAAATCGCAGAAAATTCAGAGCAGCCTGATAAGCAGAGTGGGTGAGTGCCTCATAACTCTCCACAGTCCTTGCTCTGGTGGCCTTTGGTCCGGGCACATATAGGAGAATTATAGTTGTTGGTCCAACCTCTCTGGGTAAATAAAAAGGTCTAAGTGAGAATGAATATTTCACAAAACGGGGTGCACACCTTCTCACTGTGCTGCCTATCCATTGTCAACAACCATGCATAACCTCCTTCTACAGATTTGAGTGAGGTACACCCATCTCTGTCCACGCGTATTGTCGTATACTCCCTGAAGGCGTGGTTGCTCTGTCTGAACTTACAGTAGGAACTGGTCTAAGTGGTATTTCATCTAGCTTGTTGCTTACCGAGCACACGTTAGCTGGGTGATAACCGGCAGTGAGAATCGGCTTTGGTGTTTCCAGAGTCGGTGCCTCACTCCTCCTCCATAGCCCCTTTTCTTCGTATTTTTCTTTCTCTTCAGTGACCAGCTTTCAGTCCACCAAATTCCACCACAGTCTGTGTCCAGCTATTGGACATAGTGACAGTAGACGTTCACTTGTGTAGGTAATGGCATCTTCCCAGCAGTTGCTGCATTAGTAGGCAAAAGAATTGCCACAACTTTGCAAAGTTAATCGATCCACCAAAAAGTTAGTTAAAATCCACAATAAATGATAGATCCAGACAAACATAAAATCTCATCCGCCCAAGCACACTCTGAGAGCACAGAGTCAGTGGCTGACCACGCCCCCAGCACTGGAACTATGTCTTACAATCACCCCACCACCTGTCCAGGTATGTGCGAAGGTTTCGCCCCATGAAGCTGAAACTGCTGCAGCGCTGGAGCATCCAGATACTGAAGGGGCTTCACTTCCTTCACTCACGCTCACCTCCCATTCTGCACCGAGACCTGAAATGTGACAACATCTTCATCAACGGGCCCACTGCCTCGGTCAAGATTGGAGACCTGGGCCTAGCCACGCTTAAGAAGGCCTCGTTCGCCAAGAGTGTAATTGGTACAGAATTACTTGTGCTACTAAAGGCCAGAGGAATTTGCATTGCAATCATGTGCCTTCATATTCTGACCGGTGATGTATTCAGGCACTCCTGAGTTCATGGCTCCAGAGATGTATGAAGAGAAGTATGACGAGGCCGTGGATGTTTATGCCTTTGGAATGTGCATGTTAGAGATGGCCACGTCCGAGTATCCGTACTCAGAGTGTCAAAACGCAGCCCAGATCTACCGCAAGGTCACCAATGTAAGGCCATACCCACCTCAGGTCAGCTGACTTACTGATCGACATTTTTGACTTTCAGTTTGTCCTGCAGGGAACCAAACCAGACTGCTTTTATAAGGTACAAGTACCAGAACTGAAGGAGCTCATAGAGGGCTGCATCCAGACCAGGAGCAGTGAGAGGTAACAGATTGCTGTTAGTTCACTGTCAGGAACAACAGGGAAACACAGACTCCATTGTTAATTTGCGGTCTGTTTTTCCGTACAGTGGGGCAAAAAAGTATTTAGTCAGCCACCGATTGTGCACGTTCTCCCACTTAAAATGATGACAGAGGTCAGTAATTTACATCATAGGTACACTTCAACTGTGAGAGACAGAATGTGAAAAAAAAATCCATGAATTCACATGGCAGGATTTTTAAAGAATTTATTTGTAAATCAGGGTGGAAAATAAGTATTTGGTCAATAACAAAAATTCAACTCAATACTTTGTAACGTAACCTTTGTTGGCAATAACAGAGGTCAAACAATTACTATAGGTCTTTACCAGGTTTGCACACACAGTAGCTGGTATTTTGGCCCATTCCTCCATGCAGATCTTCTCGAGAGCAGTGATGTTTTGGGGCTGTCACCGAGCAACACGGACTTTCAACTCCCTCCACAGATTTTCTATGGGGTTGAGGTCTGGCGACTGGCTAGGCCACTCCAGGACTTTCAAATGCTTCTTACGGAGCCACTCCTTTGTTGCCCGGGCGGTGTGTTTGGGATCATTGTCGTGTTGGAAGACCCAGCCACGTTTCATCTTCAAAGCCCTCACTGATGGAAGGAGGTTTTGGCTCAGAATCTCACGATACATGGCCCCATTCATTCTGTCCTTAACACGGATCAGTCGTCCTGTCCCCTTAGCAGAAAAACAGCATCAAAGCATGATGTTCCCACCCCCATGCTTCACAGTAGGTATGGTGTTCTTGGGATGCAACTCAGTATTCTTCTTCCTCCAAACACGACGAGTTGAGCTTATACCAAAAAGTTCTACTTTGGTTTCATCTGACCACATGACATTCTCCCAGTCCTCTGCTGTATCATCCATGTGCTCTCTGGCAAACTTCAGACGGGCCTGGACATGCACTGGCTTCAGCAGCGGAACACGTCTGGCACTGCAGGATTTGATTCCCTGCCGTTGTAGTGTGTTACTGATGGTGACCTTTGTTACTGTGGTCCCAGCTCTCTGCAAGTCATTCACCAGGTCCCCCGTGTGGTTCTTGGATTCTTGCTCACTGTTCTCATGATCATTTTGGCCCCACGGGATGAGATCTTGCGTGGAGCCCCAGATCGAGGGAGGTTATAAGTGGTCTTGTATGTCTTCCATTTTCTGATAATTGCTCCCACAGTTGATTTTTTTCAAACCAAGCTGCTTGCCTATTGTAGATTCACTCTTCCCAGTCTGGTGCAGGTCTACAATTCTTTTCCTGGTGTTCTTTGAAAGCTCTTTGGTATTGGCCATAGTGGAGTTTGGAGTCTGACTGTTTGAGGCTGTGGACAGGTGTCTTTTATACAGATAATGAGTTCAAACAGGTGCCATTAATACAGGTAACAAGTGGAGGACAGAAAAGCTTCTTAAAGAAGACTTAGAGGTCTGTGAGAGCCAGAGATTTTCCTTGTTTGAAGTGACCAAATACTTATTTTCCACCCTGATTTACAAATAAATTCTTTAAAAATCCTGCCATGTGAATTCATGGATTTTTTTTCACATTCTGTCTCTCACAGTTGAAGTGTACCTATGATGTAAATTACTGACCTCTGTCATCATTTTAAGTGGGAGAACTTGCACAATCGGTGGCTGACTAAATACTTTTTGCCCCACTGTATATACAGCAGATCACTTGAGGTTGATTAACTTTTCTGCTCCTCCAGGTTCACAGTCCCAGAACTGCTGGAGCACAGATTCTTTCAGGAGAAGACAGGTGTCCATGTAGAGCTAGCTGAGGAAGATGATGGTTCGAAAGAAGCACTGAAGCTTTGGCTACGGATGGATGACAACAAGAAGCTTCTGGGAAAATACAAAGACCACGATGCAATAGAGTTCCTGTTTGAGCTATATAAAGACGTCCCCGAGGAGGTTGCCCAGGAGATGGTATCTTCACCCCAATGCTATGAGAAAGATTATAAAACTTGGCAGCTGGTCTTACCTTTCTATGTTGGTCTCTCAGGTGATCTTGGGCTTTGTATCCAAGTCAGACTATAAGGTAATAGCAAAAGCAATCAGACACAGAGTGACGGAGCTAAAGCGTCAGCGAGACAAAAAGCGCCGCCTCCAAGAAGAAGCTCTCAACAACCAGAAGGAAGCTCTCAATGAAGAAGATCCTGATCCTGCCGGCCGGCAACCTGGGCTGGCCAATCAGAAACTAGAATCTGCCTTCAATGCATCTGCTACAGGAAGACCAGCCAGTCAGGTGAGTTTATAGTTGTTGTCATAGAAACAGCATACATTTTTTTCTAAGATAAAAAAAAAGTTAAATTTTTTTTTACAATGCCTTATAAAAAAACTATTTCATGGTTTTTCCTGAGGTAATTTTGTTATGGGTAACAAAAGATTTTGCCCTTTAAACATTAGGTTGCTGGTTCAAACCCTGGCTCCATCCATGTAATTTGCTGTGCCCTTGAGCAAGACGCTTCCCCCTTTCTTGCCTGATGGTGGTTGTTGGAGGGAACAGTGGGGCCAATTATGTGGCACCCTCACCTCTGCCCCTAGGACAGGTGTGGCTGCAATATAGCAATATCAAGGAACTTACAGTCCCTGACCTAGAAAGGCATTATACAAGAGGCACTGTTATTATTAGTAGTAGTAATAATCAGGCCCGGCACTGGCCACATTGGTGCCCTTAGCTGAGTCTCATTTTGTGGCTCATGCCACTAGAGTGGTTGTCGGATGAAGGAAGGAGGCGGGCGCACGTGTGCTGCCAGATCCTCCATAACGGCGAGTCTGACTGACCCGCTCCATATCGGCCAGCGCATAGCCTGATCAGTTGGAGCCCTCCTGGTCACTTGGTGCCCTACTCACAGTGCATGAAGCATATGGGCGGAGTGCTGACACTGATAATAATTGATTCGATTTATATAGCTCTCTTCTAGGCACTCACACATTCACATACTACCGGCGATGGTAAGCTACTACATTGTCACAGCCGTCCTGGGGTGCTCTGACAGAGGCAAGACTGACATTTGCGTCACTGGCCTTTCTGACCACCACCAACACAGGCAAGTCGGGTGAAGTGTCCTGCCCAAAGACACAACAGCATTGAACCGGATCGATCCTGCAATCCTCCAATCACTAGGCAACCTGCAGTACCTCCTGAGCTACTGCTAGTAGTAGTATTCTCTGTAGTATTCACAGAACTGTTTAGTGTTTTTTTGTTTGATTTTAGATTAAAATGTTCAGTTTTAACCTCACAGAAGGATCTTTTCCTTGGAATGTCGACTCCACCCACCACACCTTTGAAAGCTACCGTGTCCACAACTCACGTAATGACAGCCCCGCCTACAAAACTAAGGACAATGGCTCCGCCCACAACTTTGTGGACAGCAGGGACATCAGTGGTGTCTTCAAGCAGTAGCCCAATGGGTTCTGGCAATTCCAGCAGAGCAGAAGAAGACAGAGATGTGGACGAAGACAAAAAGACCACACAGATGTCCCCATCTTCTACTGCCTGTCAGCTATTTATTTCAAATGGCAATATTTTGTGTTTATTTCTATAAACCCGTACATCATACTGATATTAACTGTTTGTTTTATTGCCCTGACAGCAAACTGTGAGACCACTGTGCTCTCCAGTATCGCAGAAAAGGCAGAAATATCTCCTGTTGACCCGAACCCCACCCTTTCCAAAACAGTACCTTTGCCCATTCTGCGTTTCCCAAAGGTGAGCAAAGGAGGCCTTGAAAGGCGGGGGCATGGTTAAACCATACATCTTTTATCATCTGCACCTGATAAGATCCCAAGTTAAACATATCTGTCAACAGTTATGTATTTTTAACTTGATCAGAATGCAGATCCAGTTGTTTGGGATTTCCTGGAAAAGCCTAGTTTACAGTTGACATCGGTCATTAAAAAGGAGTTATGCTGATTTTTTTTTTTCATCTTTGTGCACATGCACGAGGGGCTGGGTGGCAAAAACAAAATCCATATGTTCTGCTATCAATATACTAGGTACACTAAAGTTTACAAACAAAATCCCTCATATATAAACGGTTCACCATGCAAAAAAGGAGGAGGTTTAGAGAGCAGCTTAATGAAGACAAAATGAAAGCTCTGGGATGACGGAAAATGTCTGTCCAATTCACCTGTGTATTTTTTTTCTTCACAAATCTCCTGGACCTTTCACTCATGAAAATGAAAGGCGTTCAAACATCTGGACGCCTAAGATTATTTTGTTTCAAAAGGGAATTTGAGGCCCTCAAAATGACTGTATTACTGGGGCACTGTTCTGGGCACAGCATCTTAAAGGAACATTAATGCCAGTAACCTATACACATCTTTTCTTTTTTTTAATACCAAATATATTGACACAGTAAGTAATAGACATACATTTTGATATAGGTAAATTTAAATTTCAGTGTCTCACCCCCAACCGCTAATCACTACTTTTTACATACCACCCACCTCTGGTCTAAAGCCTTATTTTGTCCACGTTTGGATAGCCATGTTGTCTGGCCCAGACATTCAGCTGGGCCCCTTTGATTACACTGTTACCTTCTGCATAACTCCACATCTGTGAGCATTGCTCTTCATTCTCAGATGTACGACCTTTCCTACAGGCAAAATAAATAGAACAACTGTAGCTGTGTGGTCCTTACTCGGCTTTGGAAAAGGGCAAAAAATGCCTCCTCCAACATTTGATCTGGGTATCTTTAATATGATTAGCAAAAAACCCAAAAGCAGTGCTTAGTATCTTCCCAAAAAACTACAACTTTGTGATGATCAGAGCAACTCAAATCTATAGGCATCCATGCAAAATGTGTGCTTGTTTGTCTACCTCCCAAAAGTGAATTTCAACGTAACGTCACAATCTGTTTTAGCTACAGTGAAAGGCACCATTGGCTTTAATGAATCAGAAACATTGAACGTCCCCTCTATTTTAGGTGTTATAGCATGTGAAAGCTGTGTGACACCATGTCTGCTGCACTCTACTGGAGGTGTAATTTTAACAATGTTTTCCTGCAGAGCATTGCTGTTTCCCAGAATGCTGAGAGACCTCCACCAAGATCAGCCTGTGGCTTTTCTTCACCTGTTGACAGGTAAAGTCCTCCACTGACCTCCACTTACATCATAGAGCTGCATCAGGAATGGTATTCTCAATTAAAGATACAAATTTAAAGTTCTGATGGTGTTCTTCTGTTTAAGCTACTCCTCTGACATAACCTCGGGTTTGAGTGACGCCAATGATGGCCAATCAGATAGAGGCAACCAGGAAGCTGCTACTAGAGAAGCTACAAAACAGTTCAGGAGAAGAGCCCGAGCTCGTTTGAGAATCATTGGGGTGAGTTGGACCTACACCATTATAAACTGTACATGAGAAGACCTTAAACATGATTGTGTTCTGGGTCTTCAGGTTTCTGATAAGGTGGATCGGGTGGTTGAGTGTCAGCTGCAGACCCACAACAATAAGATGGTGACATTTAAGTTTGACCTAGATGGAGATAATCCAGAGGACATTTCATCTGTGATGGTGAGAACAAGAACCAATCAGAACAAAGCATCAGAACAGCTCTAAATTATCTTTAACGATGAGGTATGGGATATGTGATAGACTTTTTTTTTGCCATATTGTTTCAAATGTTCTTCAAATAAATTTAAAGTTTTGTAAAAATGAAAAAAAAAAACCAATATATTTTTATTGCCTCTGAAAATTACAGTCCCCCCCTAATAATTGGATCCTGTTCAAAGTATTAAAATGTCCTCAACCTGTCCCTCAACCCTCTTCACATAATTCTCTTTGCACATGAATCGTGCATTCTCTGCTTTGGAGCAGTTAAAAAAGAAACAAAGCCAGAGCCGGTACATGTGTTATCTCTGGCTCCTTCAAAGGCAGTTCGAAATCTGGGTGTTGTGATTGATGAACACCTGACCTTTAAAGATCATGTTGCCTCTGTTGCTCGTTCATGCCGCTTTGCGCTGTATAACATACGAAAGATCAGACCATACCTAACACAACATGCCACCCAGCTCCTGGTGCAATCTACTGTCATCTCCCGCCTCGACTACTGCAATGCCCTTCTAACTGGTCTTCCAGCGTGTACTGTGAGACCTCTTCAAATGGTCCAGAACGCAGTGGCGCGTCTGGTCTTCAATCAGCCTAAAAGAGCACACGTCACCCCTCTGTTCATTGAGCTCCACTGGCTACCGCTAGCAGCACACATCAAATTCAAATTGCTAACACTAGCATACAAAGTCCGAGATGGTACGGCTCCCATCTACCTGAATCCTCTTGCAAAGGCTTACGTCTCGGCCCGGCCGCTCCAGTCACCACAGGATCGTTGGCTAGCAGTGCCTACACCACGCTCAGGACAATCCAGACTCTTCTCATGCATCGTTCCACAAATGTGGAATGATCTACCAAGCACTACCAGAACAGGAGCTTCCTTTTCAATTTTCAAGAAACTCCTGAAGACCCTGCTCTTCAGAGAGTATCTTCTAAACTAGCACCCTCCCTGCAACCGTCCCCCCTCTCTACTGTCCACTCCTTGTTCCCTCCTCTCCATGATTGATGTCAAGTTGTTGTTCCATTTTTTAGTTCTTTTTAAAACGCAGAAAGGTTTTATTTACCTGCAACGTTTCGTTTGCGGCTGCAAACTTCGTCAGGCTGAGGCTGATGGTGGTGTCACTTCCTTCTCCGTTGTTGTTGTTATTGTTGTTGTTAGCCTCAAGGGCAACATGCCGATTATCACTTGTAAGTCGCTTTGGACAAAAGTGTCTGCTAAATACATAAACATAAACATAACATATGATAAATGGTAAATGGCCTGTATTTGATATAGTGCCTTCTAGAGTCCTGGAGCCCCCCAAGGTGCTTTACAACACAATTAGTCATTCACCCATTCACACACACACATTCGCACGCTGTTGGGGATGAGCTACGATGTAGCCACAGCTGTCCTGGGGTGCACACTGACAGAGGCGAGGCTGCCGAGTGCTGGCGCTGGTCCCTCCGAACACCACCGGCAGGCAAGGTGGGTTAAGTATCTTGCCCAAGGACACAATGACAGCGTCAAACTGAGCGAGGCTCAAACCTGCAGCCTTCCGATTACGGGGCGAGCACTTAACTCCTGTGCCACTGTCACCCCAACATACTAAAATGTTATACAGTTACGTGGGTGCATTAGGAGTTAGACATTATGACTCGTGGCATAAAGGTGCAATAAGTCGAAAACAAAACTGCATTCTAAATGGCTATGGCCAAAAACCAAAAGTCGATTAAAAGCGGAACAAGAGCAAAGTGCAATGATTCTGCATTTAAACAATGGCATCATGCCAGAGTGGCTCTATCTTTTCTTAATAGGCAAGATAGCATCATGTTTTTATGTTTTCTGACAGTTTCAGTTGCGTCCGGCATTCTGAATTCTGGAGACGTGACTTGAGTTGCAGTTGCGAGGGCTTTAAGAAAGGGGGCTGGACTTTAGAGTTGAGTTCTTTAATAATGTAGCTTATTTGAGGAGCTTTTCGACCTTAAATATCTAAAAGATAAAGATGTGGATCTGAAGGTTTAAAATTTCTTATCCTGCAAACCTGCAAGATGTTCAACTGTAAGGCAAGGCAAAGCAGCTGTATTTGAATAGCACATTTCATACTCAGAGGCAATTCAATGCACTTTCCATTTAGCAAGAACAGCACAATTAAAATACACACAAATACAATTTAGATTTAAAAATTAAAAAGAAAAAGACAAAGCTAAAGGATGAGCAGTAACAGTGCAGAAGGTGCCGTATAAGAACAGGCAAAGGCTGATGAGTACATAAAGTTAGATTGTAAGAATAAGATGTAAGAATACGAAAAAAGGCAAAGTTAAGGTGAGCAGTTACAGTTCAGAAGGTGCAGTATAAGTCGTTCAAAGGCTGATGAATACATTAAGGTGTTCAATTTTGATTTAAAAGTTTCTAGAGTTTGGGCACATTTGAGGTCATGAGGAAGCTGATTCCATCTGTGTGCAGCATAGTTGCTAAAAGCAGCTTCACCCTGTTTGGTTCTGACGTGGGGTTCAGCTGACTTTTTCCAGAGCCCTGCTGAGCATATTTACAGGAAGGAGATCTGACGTGTATTCTGCCCCCATGCCACTGAGTGATTTATAAACTAGTAGAAGTATGTTGAAATTTATTCTGTAGTTTACTGGTAACCAGTGTAGAGATTTAAGAACAGGAGTGATGTGTGTCTTGGTTCTTGTTAATATTCTAGCAGCAGCATTCTGAATAAGCTGCAATTGTTTTACAGCTTTTTTTGGGAAGACCAGTCAAAAGACCATTGCTGTAGTCCAGCCTGCTGGAGATGAACCAAGCCCCCATAATTCGGGTCTGGATATGAAGCAAAACAGGAAGTGACAAAAATTGCAGTTCCACCCTCATCCGCTGGGGGCTGGTGTCAGAAGCGAGCAAATCCTCATTGACTCCCATGTTAAAAATACCAATTTCACAGCAGAAATAAACATGTTTACAGCCTGGTACCAAAACATGTTTTTGGTTTACACTCATAACCACTCTGAGGGGGGTGAGTTTTTTTTGTCACTCTTCTGTTTAAATGTATTAAATGCCTAAAATTCTGTATAATTAATGAGCATCAGACCCACGTGACCACAGAGCTAGCTCAGGGGAAAGGCCTCAGTCTGAGCCTCGGCCTTGCCTGAAAAGTGTTCCGCCATTTTCAGTCTCTCAACTTAGACCATTAGTTGTAGCATTTGTGCATTCTTTTTCGGATATTATTTGTACAATTGCTGGACTAAATAACTTGCTGTGGCATTAATTGCACTAATAGAGCGTCCGAGGAGTCTCCACTTCATTTTTTTCAGTAAGTAAAATTATATTTATGTCGATGATTTTAGGTCACTGCCGCTCTTGCACTAGCTGAGTTTAGATTTTAACATGTACTGTTTAACCATGAAATTTAAATTTAGTAGGGTAAAACCCAGTGCTTTTAACATAATGCTGCATTTTTGAAAATGGGTTGAAATATGACATGTTGGTGGAGCTGGGTTCCAGCTACCAGTATAGTCTCCCTCCCCTCAGTGGCAGCTCGGCGCATCTCTGATCGCAGCGGCGCCTGTCTGCTGCGCGGGCTGCCGGCTTGTGGAGCTCTCGGATGGAAACCTCTGTGTTCCACCGGGTTTTACCCAGGGGTCAGCCCGGCTCATCTCTGACTCAGAAGCTCCGGTGTTGTGCACAGTTAACTCTGATTGTAGCTAGGTAGCTACCTCCATTAGCTTAGCTCCCACCTCCGCGTTAGCTTGTAGCTACATCGCTTCAGTTCAACGGGTGTCGTCATTTGATCCCAGCCTTACAGCCCCACCCTCAGCTCCACCACTTTTCCCTTGTCTGGGCTTAACAGAACCTTTGACACGGTCAAAATGGTGGTGGTGGCCACCTCCCATTTTGGCACAAAAACTTATAATTGGAACCTATGGACACAAATTGTCCAGTATATATGTCGATGAGATGAACGCATGAATGGGTTTCTCTAGGTCCTGTCTGGACATGAGACCTCTGAGTCGTGCTATTTGATGAAGATGATAAAACGCTGATCGAGTTATAGCCTTAATGTGACCAGTGAAGCTCAGGTCTAAATCAATTATGACATCAAGATTTCCAACCTGGGTCTTTGTCTTTATTCATCTGGAGCCAGGTTGAGCAGTAACCTCCATCTGATCCTTCTTATTTTCAAAGACAATAACTTCAGTCTTGTCTTTAACTGGAAGAAGTTTGACTGCATCCAGTCATTAACTTGCTCCAAACACTGATAGGGTCAGTCCAGGGGACTACAGTCATTTGGTGATAAAGCTAGAAAGATCTGTGTTATCATGCATAACTATGATAAGCAACGTTGTTATTAAGTATGACGTGACCCAGGGGAGCCTGTAAAGATTGAAGAGCAGTAGTCGAAGAACTGAGCCTTGCGGGACACCACATGTCATGGTGATCAGCTTTGATTTGTGATCACCATTGGAAACAACATAACCCCTGTCTTCAAGATAAAATTGGAGCCAACTATGTACTGTGCCTGAAAGCCCCACCCAGTTTATGAGTCTATCAAGAATGATGTTGTAGTCCACAGTATCAAAACCTGCAGTGAGATCGAGCCTCACCAGGACAGATGTTTTGCCTGAATCCATATTTCGAAGAATTGTATTTACTGCCTTGATCAGTGCAGTCTCAGTGCTGCGGTGTTGTATAACGCCTGACTGGAAACTATCTAGCAGGTTGTTTGTCTGTAAAAAGTTGTTCAGCTGGATCATAACTTTTTTCAATCATTTTCCCATTGAAAGGGAGATTAGAGAATGGTCTGTAGTTATTCATCACTAAGGGATCTAATTTCCTTTTCTTTAGAAGAGGCTTAACGGCAGCAGTTTTCAATGATTTAGGGGAAATACCTGACATTAATGGCAATTAACAATTTTCAGTACATCAGCTTTCAAACAGCTAAAATGTTTTAAAAAGGTTAGTTGGCAGGGTGTCCAGACAGCAGGTAGATGAGATTAAGGTATTTACTATGTCCTCCAGTGTTTTACCACTAATCACACTGAAGGCTGGCATTCTAACCAGATTGTTTCTGTGTGGTTGTTGCAGCGGTCTGTCTGGTTTTGTTGGTTGATAAGGAGGAATGAATGGCAAACCTGATGTTTATGATTTTGTCATTGAAAAAGGATGCAAACTCATTACAATTAGTTTGGGATATGAAATCAGGAGCTAACTGTGTTGTAAGGTAACCTCTGAACAGTAGCAAACAAAACACAGGAATTGGGAATATTATCAATAATGAGTTTGGAGAAAAGGGCTTGTCTCGCCTTATTTAATTCAGAGTTGTAAGTGCACAGCTGCATTTTGAAGGTTTCATAGTTATCTGGTAGGTTATTTTTTCTGAATTGATGCTTAGTTTACCTGCATTCTCTTTTCTGATTTGTAACAGATTTAGTGAACCTCCATGGAGCTTTTTGTTTGCCAGAGATAAGTTTGACATTTTCTGCTGCAATGGTATCAAGGACTTCAAGAGTTTAGCAGTTGAAATGATTTAAAAGTGAATCAGCATTGCTGTTTGTCAGACTTGTTGACACATTCATAAGTTCTTTAAAAACTGATGCAGTGTGATCACCCTGATACCTTTTTTTAGAACAACTGAGGTGTGATGTGTAGCAGGTGAAATTAATATCAGAAAAATTACAGAAATGGTCAGAAAGACCCACATCCTTAACAACAATGTTTGACACATCCACATCTTTAGGTAAAATTAAGTTGAGCATGTGCCCCAATAGTGTATTTGATTGTGGACATTTTGTTGAAGACCATATAATTCAAGCACTCAAAGGAATTTTTCTGCAGATTTGTCATTAGCATCATTAACCTGAATATTAAAGTCACTGGTTATGTGAAGATTTGTAGTCTATTGATATAACTCAGTGATGTTTTTTAGGAAAGGAGTGCACGACCCTGGAGGTCTGTAGGTTGCTAACGCTAATATCTTGGTTGTATCTTTCAGTTCAAAACAAGAGGTACCCAAAAGAGTCATAATTACCACACACTAGCTGTTTACATAGGAACAAGTCTTTAAAAGTAGTAGCTACACCACCAGCTCTCCTGTAAGACTGAAGCATGATTAGCTATGGGAAATTTGGTGGTGTTGATTCTAGCTGTTATGAGAACAACTATCAGTTAACCACATTTCAGATAGAAACATTAAATCAAGATCATGAGCAGATAAGATAATTTACTAAAAATCACATTAGTAATCACTTTACTCTGCATTCAGCTCCACAGAGACTTCATCCTGCCATCAGAGCGGGAGGGGTTCATCCTTCGCATGTATGAAATCATAAAGAGGGCGGAGCTAATGATGGACCAACAGCATCCTGCTGACTCAAACACGATATCTCACTTGACGGCCTCCATTCTACCTGAATCCCAGGTACCTCATTTTCAACTGAAACTGTTTTGTACTGTTCTTCCCAACAGAAGGATCTGATGATGTTTTAAGACATTATGTAAAACAGTAGAAATAATGTGGTCAGACTTTGACCATGACTGTATGTAAATGAACAAAGTATATATTCTTTTTAGTTGAACCTAGTGACAGGGGGGTTGTCCAGAACCATGTCCTCATCCTCTTTACCAGGTAAGAAAAAAAACATGGTTTTGTTTGCTTCAAATTAACGTAGAGGAGATGAAAAAATGATTAAAAGAGGATTTTCAATAAAGAGGAACCGATTTGATTCAGACCAGTTTTGGGGTTTGTTTTATGGAATTCTGATTCAGATTTTTTTTGTTTCTTCCTTTCAGACATTGATGACAGTGACCCCACCCAGTTGAAAGCTGTGGATTTCTGCATTGACACTGAGTCCACGCCCCTTGTCAGACCACTGAGGTCACAGTCTTTTCAGACCCCTTCAGGTAAAATATCCATGTTTTTTCTCCTATTCTTATTTAACACTCTAGTCAGGAGGACTTTGGACAGAACTATGACATTTCCTACTCATAGATGCCACTTTCAACTCACCTCCACAGTGGGACCTGTATTACTCCACTTGTAGAAGTTCAGAACCTAACTTCAACACAATTTGTTCTTGTCTAAAATGAGCCAAATCTTGGACATAAAAATTGTTTTGCTAAAGCAATAAATATAATTTTTCAAAAATCTGGAGTGCACCAGGAAAGTGTCTTCAGCTTTCAAACATTGTATCAATAATTAAAGGAGCAATGTGTAAGAATATGTGAGAATGTTTCAGAAATATGCTGGTGAAGGTTTTCAGTCATCCAGGTCATGGTAATCCAAAGGGGTTTGAATGAAGGCAACTAGAAATTGGAATGTGAGAAGGTCAAGCTTATAAACTAGCTGTCCATTGTTGCTTAAAAAGCAGAAACTACCTATGAATACCCTTCCTCCTGATAACCTCTACTGTGTGTGTGTGTGTGTGTTGGGGGGGGGGGGGGCGGCGCTGACAGTTTTACACACAACACATAAACCTAAAATACAATGAAACAGCACGGTCCCTACCTCTCCAGCTTGTATGTCAGATTTTTGGGGGGGGGGGGGGGGGGGCAGTTCGGGGGCCACAAGGAGGGGGCCGCCTACTGAGTGCCACTGGATTAGATGCAGGATGATGTGACCTAGACTTAAACTGTTTAAGCATTAGCCTTTATTCAAACCTCTTTTGATTACCATGACCTGGATGACCAAGAACCTTCACCAGCATATTTCTAAAGGATAGACCATCGGACTTTACGGCTACTCCCTTGAGGTCTTGGCAGTCAACAAGGACTTGGTCTAGAGGGTATTTTGGGTCCATTGAAGGCTGCAACTTCTGAAATTTACTCAGTTTAAGCTTAGCTTTGTCATGTTTGGAGGAAGGTACCTAACCCAAAACATGCAGAATGGAACACAGACCAAAAACAGATGGAAAAATTATTTATTCATAAAGGAGGAACTTAGGATTCACAGATAAGTCTGTGGTTGGAACTGCTATGACAGCTCAGCGTCTGGAGGAGGGAGAACACAGGTGAGCATAGGTTCTGATTCAGAAGTCCATTGTAGGCAGGCAGAGGTGTTCAGCAGAACTTACTGTGGGGCGTGTATATGTTGGCTGGAGGAGGGAGAGGTAGAGAGCCGGGGGAAGCGCAGGAGAGGGAGCATAGGTGGAGAGAAGCGGGGCGTCCTGGTGGATGGGGCACTGGGTTGAGATGAGAGGTGGGTTATGGAGGTTAGTGATATGGTCCGCGTGCTGAATATCCAAATCTTGAAATCCTGAAGCAGGGTAAAAATCCAAATATACTAAGAGCAAAAAACACTACGAATACTAAGAGCAAAAAAACACTACGAATAACATTAATCCTAGAAATACAAGAGATAACTCGAGTGGCTGGCTACTACCAAAACTGAGGAAATCTAACCCTAACCCTAACCCTCCATCCACCTTAAATAGGAAAACACCCCGCTGATTGCTGATCAGGAACAGCTGAGCCACTCCTTCTCCTGGCAAGAGATTCACAGATGGTTAAGAGAAAAGGAGTACTTACCCCGGCTCATGACAAGCTTCACCCAACCTAAACCAGCCTTGGCTAGAATTTAACCTGAATCCATGCAAAACAGAATTTGATTCTGGACTGATGTCTGAAAGTTTATGATGCTTTTTTGTTTCATTTATTCTACAGCTTCCTCATATCAGCTTCCACCTCCCCCTCCCCATTACTCCCATCCAGATTTCAACACTCCTTTCCTCTCTCATCTTCCTCCTGTTCCTCAGTATCATTTCCCAACCCAGCCATACTCTACCTACACCGCCCCCTTTTCCACCTCTAGCCCCGTCCCTCCTCTTACCCGTGTCCACAGCAACCCTTCCCTTCTCACCCCTACATCCTCTCCCTCTGCTCCTCTCCTTACTCAGTGGCCTTCTCCTGACCAGCCTTTATTTTCTTTGAACAATGTCCTCTCTGTTGCCATGAGTGTGGCTCAGTCACTCATGCCCCCACCAGGGGCTCCCAACCAGGGATTTCATCCCCAAACTCAGCCCCTGTCTCCCCCATTCCTAACCCCCCAAGCTACCCTATCACCTCCTGGATCTCCTTCTCTGGGCTCCAGTCTCCACCATCAAAGCCACATCCCCATCTCAACCCAACCAACCTACACACCCTCAACAGCACATGCAGGCTGCACTCAGGAAAATCAGCAGGGAGCACCAATCAGCCAGACTTCAGACTCATCTCAGGTATGGGGAAATCTAATCTAACACAGCTCTGTGGACTTTCTAGTGTATTGGTCTGGTGATCTGCTCCCAAAGTTCGTTTGGTTTTTCGTACCAGGATCTAGAGATACCAGGTTTCTGTGAGCGTCAGAAACTGAATCATTCATTCTCTTTTTCCTTCCTTTTAGCCCATCAGTCCCATCCTAAAGGCTGGCTTACCCCTGCCATCTACTGGTGAGTCCCTGCTGACATCACTAAGTAAAATCTCACTTGATTGAATAATTTATATACATTTGACTGGTTCACAGATTCGGAGAGAGTTTCTCCTTCGATTTTGACCAGAACTCCCAGTCACAAAGGAGAGCTGTCTGATTCATCCACCTGCTCCTCCACCTCCACCTCCTCGTCTACTTCCACTCTCCCTTCAGCAACTCCTCACAAACTGGTAGGACATGTCTCTACCATCTTAGAGAGCTATCTGACCTTTCTGAAACGTCTTCTCTTCATGTATGCTGACATCCACAAACCTCAAAGGACTTTTTAAATGTTGAATGCACCCTAGCAGCACAATTTTTATTCAGTTCTATTCAAGTTTATTTATAAAGCGCCAAATCACGACAAGAGTCATCTCAAGGCACTTCACACAGTAAACATTCCAATACAGGTCAGGGGTCTCATTTATTAAACATTGCGTAGAATGCTTACTAAAACCGTACTGAAGCTCAGCAAAAAAATTGTACTTACACCAAGTAGGTTTGTGATCTATCAAACATGGAGTATGCACAGCTGCATGCAATCTCTACTTCATACAGTAAATCATAGACTAACGAGAAATGCTCTCAGCTGCTTTTTAGTCACATCCTGCCCTCACCACGCCCACTCACAGCCATAATTGGTCAATGTAAAGTGCCTTGTGGATCTCATGCATATACAGAAGCCGGCTATTGCAGCGCTCCGCCAATGACGATGGCGACCGTAGATCAAGGCAGATCAAGGAAGTGCAATTTCACAGAAGCAGAAATTGAGGTACTTGTGGGTGAGGTGGATAAATGAAAGGAAGTGCTTTTGCAAAACAAATAAGAGAAAATCCACTGAGTGGCACAGCGTTGCTGAAGCCATCAACGCTGTGGGTTCTTCAGAGAGATCTGTGGCAGATATAAAAAAAATTGCCCAATCGGGATTCGATCCCCAGACTTCCGGGTGAGAGTCATGCACGCTAGCCAGTCAGCCAAAGAGAGAGCTCCATTGACCAAGTAGCCAGGGCACACAATCGATCGGGTCACAGTGACAGGACGCTCACACTGTCAAAGACGCACGATGTTCTGTCTCAATCCCCTGCTGATATTCAGCATTCCGTATTCTGAGCTTCAGGCTGTGTGTGTGTGTGTGTGTGTGGGGGGGGGGGGGGGGGCAAGTGATAATGCTGCTGGAATTCATAATTTTATCCTTCTCAGCAGCAGCACTGCGGGTACTCTCCATGTCCAAAATGTGCGTAAGCCAGGTCCTTAGTCAACTTAACGTTGCACACATTTTTCCGCAAAGTTTTCTTTCATAAATCCCAAAGGTTGCATGGAAAGTTGCCAATGCAGTTTTCTTACACAGTTTTGTGCACAAGCAAGCTTGATATATGAGGCCCCAGGTCATTAAGCCAATCAGTAAAAAGTTTCCTATATAAGGAACCAAGCAAATTGCATTGAGTCACTGACTGGTGTCAGTGACTTTTACAGCAATCCTCATTCTAAGTTCTAAGACAAAGCAGACACACACACACACACACACACACACACACACACACACACACACACACACACACACACACACACACACACACCTACCCTCCCACACACACAACAAACAACACACACACACAATGGTGATCTGAAATATAAATGTCCTCAGGACAAACACTGTCAGCATTTAGACTCAGGGTAAAAACAAGGTCTAGAGTGTGCCCCCTGGTGTGTGTGGGGCCAGAAACATGCTGGGTAAAGCTGAAGGAGTCCACAAGGCTGGAGAAATTGATGGCAAAGTGATCAGAGGGATCATCAACGTGGATGTTAAAGTCACCAACAATCACCAGTCTGGACAGCTTCACAGTGGAGGATAGAAAGTCACTAAACTCCTGAAGAAAAGATCTGTTTGGACCAGGTGGACGATAGACCACAGCACAGTAGAACGGGTCCTTACGCCTGACTTTAATCAACTGCAGTTCAAAAGAAGTGACCAGAGGTTGTAGAGCTACATGGAAGATGGTCTCTGAAAACAACAGCAAGGCCTCCACCACAACCAGAACCCCGGGGCTGGCCAAGAAAAGAATAACCACTCGGGCAGAGTTTAGTCAGACCAGAATAGTCAGATGTTTGCTGCCAAACTTCAGTCAGAAACTGAAAATCCAGGTTTTTAGAGAGAATTAAATCATTGAGCAGGAAGGACTTATTGTTAACAGAGCAGGTATTTAATAGAGCCATGCTGAGTGATGTAATGGGTTAATTTACATGTTATTTAATGAACCATGAGACGTGAGATTCCATAGGAAATATGGAATCAACCTTATGGATCTTTGGGCACCTTTAACCAGAAGATTGGAAATTTTTATTGCAGGGATTATGTAACAGCTTCGTATTAACTCAGACAACAGAAGAGAGTCAAGTTTTAAAAGTTTAAAGATTTATTACTAAACAAATTAAAACTGGACTAACTTAAACACTAAATGTATGGTGTTACTAAGGTGGAATGAGACAGAGAATGGTGTAGTGTGGAATGTTGTTCAGAACCAGCAAATCAGAAGAAACGATTAGTACTGGTGGGAAGTGAAGTTGATGTCTTCACGCTAAGCTTTGGTTAGATTCATAAACACATTCGACGCCATTCTGTCGGTCTATGTACCCTTAGCGGAAGTCCCCGTCTAGATCAGGAGGTGTAGAGGTCCAGCTTTGACCTTTGGACCCGAAGCTTGTAGAACAGCCGCGGCAGCTGCCCACCAGTCTTGAGATACTTCCGGGTCACGACAGTTTATCGGCATCTAACAAGACCCAAAACATGGTCGTGTTGGTTCAGCTGTTATTCTGAAAGGAAATGTTGCAGCAGGTGGAACAGCAACAGGTTTATCCAGTTTGTCGTTTGTTCTTTCGGCTGAAGAGGAGAGTCGCGGATTGGCCACTCCGTCAACTTCTCTCGAACGCTTTGAACTGGCGTTAAAGATGACGTGGGCATAGTTTTATACTTCGGATGTTTTGGTTTATGGTCAAATGAAAAGGTGACAGATTTACCAAGCACCACCAAAACCACGCCTTCGTCAGATCTGGCAGATTCTGGTTGGATCAGTAAAAGCAATGTGTCATGTCTTAACGCTACATGAGATCAGTCCTAGTGGAAACATTTAAAGTCATATTACTTATTATATTCTATAGGATTATAATGAAGTAATTAATATTATGATTTCACAGAATGGTCACATCTTATTATTGACTAACACTTTGTTTAATTAGCTTTATTAAAAATAGAGTTCTTTGATTTGTTAAAAGGAGAGTCCTTTTCTTCATTCTTCTCTTAGGCTGGAAAGGAAGCAGTTTAGAGCAAATGCATGAGACCTTGAGGCAATATCTCATGCAGATTAGTTCTATGTCAGAGGAGAGGGGGGGGGGGATGACTTTACGTGGAAAATAGTCATTTCATTCCGTTACAGTGAGGTGGAAGAATCAGAAACTACAGAAAAAGATGGAGTTAGTGGACTTAAATTAGCAGGGTTACATCCACGGTGTTTATAAAAACCTCTTATGGAGGGAACAGGAGGAGAAACCACTGAGGAATGAGGATAAACCGACCTTAAAAAACTTGGATGGAGAAAACTCGCAGCAACACGGCCTGGCGGGAATGCGGAAGTGGCACTCAAGTCGCCAAACAAAGGACAAAAGCTAGAAGATCACGCCGATGTTTACTAGATAAACCACGCTTTAAGAGAAGTCTTATTCTCACCTGGATTCCTGCTCGTTTACCTATTTTCCTCCGACTTTTTCCCGGGACTGGATAAACATCGCTGGAGGCGCCCTGGTTGGAATCGTCGTTTGGCTCTGGGCCAGTGCGCCACTCAGATAAACAAACAGGGAGGTATGTCCTCAGTGCATCTTGGGCGATCGTGAACGAACGGAAGGACAAAAGAGTCTGGCGATCATAGGAGATGGTAGCAGGGACACTACTGAAGAGGATCGCAGACAGGAGCAAAGTGGAAAAGAGGAGGTTAGTGGAGAAACGTTTGAAAAAGTGGCCAGTGACCACGGCTAAGCCAAGCACAGGCGCCATCTTGTTACCGACCGGAAGCGGTATTGAATCTAACCAACCGGTTAGGTTCATCAGGGTTAATGGATAAATATAAATGAGTATCATCAGCATAACAGTGGAAGTTTTTTCTGATTTGAAAATGTGCAAGTGTTTGTATTAATGTTGTATGTTTTTCCCAGGTTTCCCCTCCGATGTCTCCATCAGGCAGATTGTCTCCTACCCTTCAAGGTTAGATTCTCTCGTGTTTGCTTTAGTTCCACCTGTCCCAGAAGGTTAATTACAAACCCTCTTCTGAGCCTGATCTATAAATATCAATGTAGGTTTGAATTTTTTTAAAGGGGCCATATCATGAAAAGTCCACTTTTTAGAGCTTTGTACCATGTGATATTTTTATTCCTCATGAAAAATACCCCCAAACTCCATTTTGGCTGCATTGATGCATTTTCCTTTCTTAGCTGCAAGTTTGAAAACTTTCGGGGTGAGACCTGCAAACGTAAGGATGGAAACTAAGTGCGTCATCAGGCATTGCTCCTGCTCGTGAAGCTAGTCTCGGAGCTGGAACCCGCCTCCCCTGGAAGTAGGTCACTAATGCCCACTTTCTCTGAGTTGCGGGAATAGAGTAGATGATTTCATGCTGCAGCTGAGAATGTGATCTTCATGTCACAGATGACTGTTTTAATCTTCCACCGGTACCAGAGTGGATATTCTGACAACTTATTTCTGAATTGGGGAAAAAACACCGCCATAAAAGCTATGCCTCCTGTCCACAAAGACACACGTAATGGCCAGACCACGTAATGTGTGAATATATGTGTTAGGCGACTATAGTTTTATAACAGACTTGGTGGTCCAGTGGTTAGAGCACCTGCCTTGTGTACTGTTTTATACTGGTTTGAGTCCCGTTCTCAGGAGTTACTTTTTTCTTCATTTTTAGCTGCACTTGTCAGTATTATGTTTTCAAACCTTTACTGATAAACTGTTTAAAATATAAGGATTACTATTTATTTTACTTTTTTTGTTTATTTAGCCTGTGAGGTGAGCATCTAAAATGCTGCTTGGAAATTACCAAATTTGAAGATCCAGAGACACAAAATATTTTTGCAGAAAATAATCAATAAAAAGAAAATATAAAAACATGAAATTTGCTTCAGGTGGCTAAATAAATTACCGCAGACACTGGGAGTTGAACGGGCATCAGCAGATGGCAATACACAATGAAAGGCAGACACTTTAACTACTAGACTACCACAGTCAATCCAACAGTTATCTCACCTATAAGATGCTGTTGTAGGCACATTTTGTCGGAGCAGACATGGGCGGAGCTTCACTGAAACAGACTGTTCCATTTCCGGTTATAGATTCAGACTGACAAAAATAACCCCTGTTTAAAATAAACGGACATCTCAATAGTGCCATTGGTAATATTTTATCACATAGTGTACCTACCTTTGCTCTCAAAGATTGAAAAAGCACGATGTGGCTCCATTAATATGTTTTGTACAAATACACTGACAGAAAAAAATTTAGTCCACCTGCTGGTCCTGCAGCAGATCTTTCAGCAGAAGTAGCATTCTGGTCTTATTCACTTAAATTAAAAACACTGTGTTAATCCCAAAAAGAAATCAACTCTAGCATTATCATATTTTTTTTCTTCAGTCATTGTAACAGGTTTTAGCTGTAGTAAGGATTTTCTGTGTTGCAACAGATCTGAAGAAGCTTCTTACTGAAGACACTGTAGTCTGTGAAGGGTATGATCAGGGTTCTCTATCATGTTCTTCGTTTTATGAAGCCTTCTTTGTCCAATCAGCTCTTGAGGATTCAGATCAGTCCTGCTTGATGAGCCTTTTTTTATCAGCTTGTACAGTTTTTTACGATCATTAGCACTAGATGACTGCAAATGAGTTTGAACTCTCCACACCAGACTTAAATGAGATATTTAGTTCTACATTCATCCGTTACATCTGCACACTTGTGCAATGAACCAAAAGGGGAAGATATTTTTGTGATATGATTGGGTCAGCCCAGTGACAGTGTAGGAAACAACCAATCAGCCACAGTCAACAAGTGACGTAAAGAGGCGTATAAGGAAACAAACTCCTGCACTGTCCTGTGTCAATCAGGACGTGTATGTACTGGTTTTATGGGTTGTCAGACCAGTTTAAAAAATAAAAAACAAAGTGTCTGAGCTGTCAACCCAAATAGCACATCTGCCCAAATGCCCAGCATGCCAGATGGCCAGTGCATGCCACAGATGCATCCCAGTCTTTAGCCCCAAAACATCTTCGCAGAGTTACTTCAGCTTTTTTGACCTCTCAAGTTAATGTCAGTGTCTGTCCCCTGCAATCTTTACCATCCAAAAACAATATTACGCTATATTAAAAAGACACTGGTAGAGCACTAGGACCGAACGACCGCTTGTATTGAAGCCTGCTTCCCTTTAAACCCGTCCATAAGCTAAACTATTGGCTCTGCTGGTACTTGCTAACATGTGATTCCTGCCACCTGTGTAGCTGACCGTTCTGCATTTCTGACATTGCATAAAAAAGCCTCTAGACTGTAGTTTTATACATATTTTTTAAACTTACCGTAAAGGTCCCCCCGGTCCTCATGCCAGTTGTGTCTCTCCCACTTTTAAATTCAAAACTACGTCCATGCATGATCCAATCTGCCAAGAGCAGATCTCGCAGAGGAACTAATTGCTTCCTTGACATAAACATAAAACAAATTAAGAGTTTATTTTCTCTATTGGAGCACTTTATTTACTGTTGAAAGGCTGGAAGAGTAGAAGAGAGAGACATGGTGAACTCTCCAGATGTTAGCACAAATGTCTCGGGGCATTGCCCCGTAGCTTAACTGGGCCAATGACAACATTTTCAGAGTCAAAAGCAGCTAATGGCAGCTTGCATACAGCTACCACAGCATTGATGTACTCCCTTGGTAAAAACAATAGACACAAACCTTCAATACCTAAACTGCAAAAGCCTAAACAAATATATCTGTACTAAAAGCATAAATAACTCAGATAGTAATTGTTCTGGGTCTGGTTTTGTGGAAATATGCCTAATGTTTGATTTTCTTCTCTGCTTTCTTAGTGAAGAACCAAGTCTTCAGTGTTGGTCGCTTTGAAGTATCACCCTCTAAAGACATTCCCAATCAAATGAATCAGGAGCCCCACCCCTTTGACCAGGCCACACCCACCACACAATCGCCTCCTTCTTCCAGGAGAAACCAATCAATAAGCAGCACAGGAAGCAGTACAGGGGAGAGTGATTCAGACAGCCACCAACCAGTTATCGTCGCACCACCTGGTAACCATGGTAACCCCTCATGTCAGGAGGAGAAGAAGATGGGAAATCACAAAATAAGTGTCAGTTTGTCGGAGGAGTCAGCCTGCACCTTTGGTCTGACTGGTGGCAGCTTCAGCCAATCACGGAGCCGCTCTCTAACCTACAGTTCTGACGAATCAGAGGAGGACGAGATGTGGGAGGAGTTACTGGAGCTTCGACAGAGGTGACTGGCTCATTAATGAGTTTATTTTTTTATCAAGTCTGTTGATGTTGTTCAATATAAGACAGAAAGAAACAAAACCCAAATCAGGAAGGGTGGAACAAAAATGACCACATCACAAAACGTTCTGTTTCACTGCAGAAAAAAATGAAACTGATGTAGTTCAGGTTATGCTTTACTATCTTGTATTACTGTCTCTGATGTCTCTGATGAGCATGCCCAGGTTCCTACACTCACCTGCCACCCAGCTTGCAAAACACCCAAGCCTCCCCTCCCAGGACTGGCTCCAGGAGGTTGCACTGTTCTTCATCTACTGAGCAAGTTCATCTGCCGTACATGGTTGTTTACAGGGTCTTTGAATTGCTCTTAGTCTAACCCTTCCTTAGAGATCTCCTCACCATAAAAGACCATACCTGGGAATGATGCACAAGTCAGCATAGTCCCCAGAATAATAGGGGTACGCAAACCTCTCCATAGTGATGAGTTGATGATACAGAAGAGCTATTTAGTTAGAAGGTCATCGGTATCTATTGCTGTGGGAATAGGAACTGATGGAGGGTGTTGGATGATACAAGACATTTGAAAGTCGTTAAGCTGCAGAAGAATATCTTTGAGGCTTAGTTGTCCCAATTCAGTGATTACAGGAGCAACAACTTTGGCAATGAAAGAATTTGATAAGATCATGAAGGATTTTCTATTGGACTTGAGGAAGCAGACTTGCAGCTAAATGCAGGACTTGTTCAATGCAGTTTATGGGTTGAATAATGGGAGAACTGCTGATTTGTATTGAGGATATCGTTGGGTGGTGGATCAAATACTCCTCAATCCCTTTATCATGTCCTCCCCTGAGGAGGCAGCGTCTGTAGAGTTAACACTGTCACATTGGAAGAGGCCATCAAGGTAGTCTAAAAGCTCCAGAGTGGCAGAGTGCCAGGTGCCAGGGGTGGATGAGACTTGCACTAAAATACCAAAGGCTCTGGGTATTGTTTGGCTCTCATGATGGACATGCCTCTCCATGTCACTTGGAGAGCTGGAACAACACCGGTTGAGTGGCAGTCTGACAAGGTGGTCTAAATTTTCAAAAACTAGGACCAGAGAGAGTCTTTTATCTAAAGGGGATCACACTTCTCAGCCACCGTTGGTAAGTGTACTCAAGGCCACGCCTGTCAATAGAGGGGGACAAACAGGTTTGTTGTCCCCGGCCCTCCCAGGAAGGGGACCAAGAGTTGGACTCTGGACCCACAGCTGGGTTTTGAATCTGCAACCTTCTTCCTCTAAGGCAAGAGTGCTAGCCATGCTATTGTTTGTTTTGTTTTGTGTCACACCCTGTCCTGTCTCCCCATTTGGTTCAGCCTGTGTCCCTGTTGATTGCTCCCACCTGCCTCTTGTTTCCCAATCACCCAAGCACCCAGCCCTCCTGTATTTAAACCCCTCCAGTTCTTTGTCTCTTGTTGCCTCATTGTTCCAGTGTCAGCGTGCTTAATAAATCTATGTTCATCATTCCTATTTGCCTGCCTGTTTGTCTCACCTGCTTTGGATCCTCACCTTGTCTCCGCTTCGTCCACCCGAACCCGTTGATGGATCCAGCTGGGAGATTCTGCCTTGGGAGTGCCTGCTCCGGTTCCTCTCGTCTGATCACTGGCCGGTCCCCCCCCCCATGCTTCGCCTCGCCGAAGACGCCATCGCCGACCTTCGGCCGCGGCGTTCCTCCCTGTCCTCCCGGAACCGGAGGCTTGTTTGGACCGGGAGCTGCTGCCAGATCGCTCCAGTTTCGTGGGCAGAAGACTGGTGGTCTGTTCCCCCGGAGTTGGTCCGCAGCGTGGAGAAGAACGCCGAGCTCCACCGCAGCCCTGTGTCCCGGGGCAGAGCTGCGGACTCGCCGCTGCCCCTGCCCGATGCAGCGCCTTGGACCTGCCCCCAGCTAGGCCAACCGTCCCGTCACCGGTCCCATCGGCTGACGGAACCAGCCCAGAAGCTGACGGATCAGGCCCAGAAGCAGACGGTACCGGCCCATAAGCTGACGGATCAGGCCCAGAAGCAGAGGGGACCGGCCCGGAAGCAGACGGTACCGGATCCGGTCCAAAAGTCAGCGGCCCAGAAGTCGGCGGTCCAGAAGTCGAGGGTCCAGAAGCCGACTCCCCCGGACCAGAAGCAGACGATTCCGGTCCAGAGGCCGATGGTCCAAAAGTCGGCGGTCCAAAAGTCGACGGACCAGAAGCCGACTCCCCCGGACCAGAAGCCGACTCCCCCGGACCAGAGGCCGACTCCCCCAGGCCAGAAGCACACACCCCCGGACCAGAAGCAGACGGTTCCGGTTCCGGTCCAGAGGCCGGCGGTCCAGAGGTCGACGGTCCAGAAATCGAAGGACCAGAAGTCGACGCCCCCCGACCAGAAGCCGACGCCCCCGGACCAGAAGTCGATGGTGGTCGGCGCCTCTTCCTGTTCTGAAGTCGACGCCCCTTCCTGTTCTGAAGTCGACGCCCCTTCCAGTTCTGAAGTCAATGCTCCCTCGTGTTCTGAAGTCGACGCCCCTTCCTGTTCTGAAGTTGACGCTCCCTCGTGTTCTGAAGTCGACGCTCCCTCGTGTTCTGAAGTTGACGTGTCTGAAGTCGTCTCCTCTGAAGTTGACGTGTCCGAAGTCGTCTCCTCTGAAGTCGATGTGTCCGAAGTCGTCTCCTCTGAAGTCGACGTGTCTGAAGTCATCTCCTCTGAAGTCGACGTGTCTGAAGTCGTCTTGTCTGAAGTCGCCTCGTCTGAAGTCGTCTCTGAAGTCGTCTCGTCTGAAGTCGCCTCTGAAGTCGTCTCATCTGAAGTCGCCTCTGAAGTTGTCTCGTCTGAAGTCGCCTCGTCTGAAGTCGCCTCTGAAGTCGTCTCGTCTGAAGTCGTCTCGTCTGAAGTCGCCTCTGAAGTCGTCTCGTCTGAAGTCATCTCGTCTGAAGTCGCCTCGTCTGAAGTTGCCTCATCTGAAGTCGTCTCGTCTGAAGTCGCCCCGTCTGAAGTCGTCTCGTCTCGTCTGAAGTCGCCTCTGAAGTCGTCTCGTCTGAAGTCGCCTCTGAAGTCGTCTCGTCTGAAGTCATCTCGTCTGAAGTCGCCTCGTCTGAAGTCGTCTCGTCTCTTCTGAAGTCGCCTCTGAAGTCGTCTCGTCTGAAGTCGCCTCTGAAGTCGTCTCGTCTGAAGTCGTCTCGTCTGAAGTCGCCTCTGAAGTCGTCTCGTCTGAAGTTGCCTCGCCTGAAGTCGCCTCGTCTGAAGTCACCTCTGAAGTCGCCTCGTCTGAAGTCGCCTCTGAAGTCGCCTTGTCTGAAGTCGCCTCTGAAGTTGTCTCTGAAGTCGTCTCGTCTGAAGTCGTCTCGTCTGAAGTCACCTCTGAAGTCGTCTCGTCTGAAGTCGCCTTATCCACTCTAGAGGTCGACGCTCTCTCCACTCTAGAGGTCAACGCTCTCTCCACTCTAGAGGTCAACGCTCTCTCCACTCTAGAAGTTGACGCTCTCTCCACTCTAGAGGTCGATGCTCTCTCTGGTCCGACGTCTCCACCGTCTCCGGTTCCAATGGTGGTTCTGAAGGTCGCTCCGGTCCAGCCCGTCCAAGGGACTATGTCCCCGGCCCAGCCTGCAGAGACTATGTCCCCAGCCTGCAGAGACTATGTCCCCGGCCCAGCCTGCAGAGACCCTCATCTGCCACAGGCGCCGGCCTCCAAGGGCCCGTCGCCTCCTCATCTGCCGCAGGCGCCGGTCTCCAAGGGCCCGTCGCCTCCTCCTCTGTCCCAGGCGCAGGCTCCCGGACTCTGCTGGTCCCTGCCGCCTCTCCATCGGTCCCTCGGTTCCTCTGGGCCCTCCCTCCGGGTCCCCCTCCTCCCACCCTGCTCCTTGTTCCTGTGGGCGTCTGGGATCCGCCCTTTGAGGGGGGGCACTCTCACACCCTGTCCTGTCTCCCCGTTTGGTTCAGCCTGTGTCCCTGTTGATTGCTCCCACCTGCCTCTTGTTTCCCAATCACCCAAGCACCCAGCCCTCCTGTATTTAAACCCCTCCAGTTCTTTGTCTCTTGTTGCCTCATTGTTCCAGTGTCAGCGTGCTTAATAAATCTATGTTCATCATTCCTATTTGCCTGCCTGTTTGTCTCACCCGCGTTGGATCCTCACCTTGTCTCCGCTTCGTCCACCGGCGCGTATGACATTTTGTTGGTTGTTTTGATTTTCATTTTATTGGTGGTTGAGTTTCACCCTGTTGTGAATTTCGGGCTGATCATTTAGAGACCAAGTTCACTCACTTTTTCTATACTTTTGCAGTGGTCTCTAGTATAAATGAATGTCTTGTGAGACAATCTCCTTGGGAAAAAAAGCTCTCATGCTCATGTTTCGGGAAGTAGGAGTTAGTTGAAGCAGAGGGGAGCAGAAGACATCAGGACTTGGAGTATCATTATTTCCTGATATTTTGACAACTCACCTCTGATTGGCTAACTGCACTGTGACTCCACCACTTAATCTGTTCTCTTTGCAATGTTGATGTTTTATCTCAACAAATACCACAAGCATGAAGGTGTTCTGCCATTTTGTGTAGTTGCTAATGCTAACAGTTAGCTTCTACTAGCCAAGACATGCTCTGCTCTCTCCTGAACACTAAACAAATACAGCCTTCCCCATCGCAAGACAAAATGGTGGAGTTCATGAGTGGGACGTAGATCTTTGTTGCTTTTCTAATCCGAGCGTTTCCCTGTCGATTTTCTATCGACGACTTATGCAGGAAATAGAGGTAGAAAACTATTTTCACGTTTGGCCTGCATGTGAAACTCAGAGTGGCCAATAAAAATAACAAGTAAAAACGGTTTCTCAGTGAAACTGCTAAAACAAGTTTAACCAAGTCCCATTACAGTTGCCTCCTGCAGCCTTCTTGTCTGTCCAGAAAATATAAACATTTCACAGCCTTACTCTCACACAAGTATCTCTAACCAAGGCCTCTCTTAAACAGACACCTGGTGCAGGTGCAGAAGCTGCAGGTGAGTCAAAAGCGAGAAATGGAGGAGCTGTATCGGAAGAAAGGTAAAGTTCCACCCCCTGGTGTCATGTCTCCAGCGACCATATTGAACCACCGCCATCGCCGTTTGTCAAAGACTGGAAGCTACACCCCTAAAACCAGCTCGCAGATATCGGACCCATCGCGCCCTACAAGTAAGGAGATGCACTGCAGTCGGCAAACCAACATCACATAACTGTCTCATACTCACTGTGTGTGTGTGTGTGTGTGTGTGTGTGTGTGTGTGTGTGTGTGTGTGTGTGTGTGTGTGTGTGTGTGTGTGTGTGCGTGCGTGCGTGCGTGTGTGTGCGTGTGTGGACATGCTTGTGTTCCTGTGATTTGAAGGCATCATGAGGAAGAGTTCAGTGAGCGGCAGCAGCAGTGGATCTCAGGACAGAGTGATGAAAGCTGTGACCTTTGCCCCTGGACACAGCTGCATGGTGAGTTCATATTAAGTAAATTTCTCACTGAGATGAATAAAGTATTACTCTATTCCACAAACTGGGGTTATTCAATACCAGGCCAGTAAAGTGCCAGTATCCAGCACGTTTGAGTGGTTTCTCTGCTCCAACACACTTGATTCAGTGGTTGAATCACCTGGGCCCAGAACCGAATAGACCAGCTTTAAATTAACTGATGCTCAGCTCCATGGACCCAACTCAGTTGATACTGATCAGCTTCTTTAATTAGACTTAGTTTGAATGGGTCCATTATTAAAAAAAATATTTAACTTATTTATTTTTCATTATTCATTCTTTTATACAAATTAAATAATTTTCTTTCAATAAATAACAAAAAAATTTAAAATATATTTTTTGGTTTTTGTTTTCAATTTTTCACGATTCTTCCACTTAGACCTTGTTTTCTTTCTTTCATTTTTTTATACTCAAGGTGTTTAGTCACACTGCTTTTACATTCATTAACAGTTTGACCTTTGACCTCTGTGTTGCAGTGAGGTGCTAAATTTTGACCTTCTGCACATGATGCCTGAAGAAGAGTACATTTCCTGTTTGAGACTGAAATCAATTTTGATGCCTCTTCTCCCTGAGAAAAAGATCGTCTCTGATGAGCGTCAGTTGAAACACCTTGAGGAGGAAACGGTCGTAGGACTTACAGACTCTGTAACATGTGAATAAACTAATTCTTACATTCAGCATCTTGAAGAGAATTTCTCAGTAAATTTCAGAGGGATGATTTATGTTATGAATGCTGACTGAGAGATGCCACTTTAATGATGATGAACTCATAAAGTTTTACTTTTTAAACCTGTTTGATGATGAGATGTATTTATTACAAGTTTTGTCAGAACCAAACTGCTGAAGTTCTGTTTATTTATTCTGCTGGAGTCAGATAAAGCCAACCAACTGATTGGTTATTTAGCAATGTTTAATTTAGTGATGTTTGATTTCTGTTTTGAGAGATGAGAGTCTGTGCAAAACAATAAAATAAATCATGTTTAGTTTTAAAAGTGTGAATCTGAAATGAGTCAACCACAATGAGATCAATTGACGATGAAATGGGTCAAGGTCAGCTGGATTTTCTGGGGTCTGACTCTTCTTTGACCCGTGAAACATATGGTAAATGGCCTGCTCTTGCATAGCACCTATCTAAGCCAGAGGACGCAAAAGCACACGCATACACATTCACACAGATTGAGATAAATAGCCACAGCTATTCTGGGGTTCGCTGAAAGAATTGAGGTTACGACCTGATAGGTGCCTACGGTCCCTCAGACTATCCAGGAGGCAAGGTAGGTGAAGCATATTGCCCAAATGGCCTGTTTTTGTATAATGCCTCGGTTCAACAACCCTCCAAGGAGCTTCACAACATAATCAGTAATGCCCCAATTCACACACTCATTCACACACACATTTACATGCTGGTGGGGATGAGCTACAATGTAGCCACAGCTGCCTTGGAGCATTATCTCTTGTACTGCTTTGTTTTCACACGGAACAAGACCTCCCACACACATGCGCGCGCACCTGGCGCGCACACACACAGTCTGATGCGCAGAATACGAAATGCAGAAAATTAGCAAGGTGACAGATTGATACAGAATGTCATGCGTAAGTGACAATGTAAGTGTCCTGTCACTGTGACCCGATTGATCATGCGCCCTGGCTACTTGTACAAGGAAGATCTCTGTTTGGCTGACTGGTTAGCACGCGTGACTTTCATCCGGGAGTCTGGGGATTGAATCCTGATCGGATCATTTTTTTAATATCCGCCACAGATCTCTCTGAAGAACTCAGCATTGACGGCTTCAGCAACGCTGTGCCACTGAGTGAATTTTCTCTTGTTTTACAAAAGCACTTCCTTTCATTTCTCCACCTCACCCACAGGTACCTGAATTTCTGCTTGTGAAAGAGTGCTTCCTTGATCTGCAGTCGTGATCGAAATGCTGCAACAGCTGGCTTATGTATATGCATAAGATTCACAAGGCACTTTGCATTGACTATTTATGGCAGTAAGTGGGCGTGGTGAGGGCGGGATGTGACTAAAATGCAGCTGAGAAACATTCTCATTATTCTCCAATTTATGAAGCGGAGATTGCGTGTAGCTGTGCGTACTCCATGTTTGATAGATCATAAACCTACTTGGCGTAAGTACTTTTTTTTTGCTGAGCTTACGGTTTTAGTAAGGATTCTACGCAACGTTTGATAAATGAGACCCCTGGCCTTTTTTTCACCCTCTCTCTGTGCATAATTAAACAGAGGAAGAGTCTGGCAGGCCAGGCCAAGGGGCTTCTACCAGAAGTGAGCAAATCCTCATTGACTCCCATGTTAAAAATGCCATTTTCACAGCAGAAAAAAAAACATGTTTACAGCCTGGTTAAAAAAATCACTTTAGGTTTAATAGATCTAGTTTACATTCATGACAACTCTGAGGGGGTGATTTTTTGTCACTCTTCTGTTTAAAGTGTAATTTAATGCTTAAAATTCTGAATAATTAATGAGCATCAGAGCCACGTGACTTCAGAGCACATGTTGACAGTTCTGCATTGCTGACATTGCATAAAAGAGCCCCTTCTAGCCTGTAGTTTTATACATATTTTTAGCATACTTACCATAAAGACGACCCCCCACCCCCCCACCCCCCCACCCCCCCCACACACATACACACACACTATTTCAGTTTTTCAACTTACTTCCGATCTTTGGACGTTCTCTAGTTGGCATCTTCATAGAAAATGAGGGCAACAATTTGATTCCCAGCAGTTTTTTGTAGGTTACATTGTTGATTTAGACTCATGCTTTTTTATAACGGCTAATATGTGTAAAAATTGCTTTAGTTTATTCACGTACACGTTCAAATTAAAATAGTTATTACATCGTTGTTGTACTAATCATTTCCAGAGGGCGGCAGTAGACATCAAAGAGCTGGGAGAATTTGCTCTCCAAAAGAACACTATTACCCATAATGCGTTGCTTTTCCCGTTACTAACCATTCCAGTCCTAAGATGGCGGACCGGCGGCGAAGGAGGAGGCGCGCGTCTCAGGACAGCGAGGACGACGACGAGTCCGGTTCTGGTTCGGACAGCGGAAGGTCGGGTTCTCCCGTGACAAAGGCTCGAGGTCGAGATCCCGAACCTGTGGAGGTGACAGAGAGCCGGACCGAGGCGAAGAGCGACGTGGAGTCCGAGTGTGTGAGTAGCTACTCAGGCTAACTCCAGCAGCTAACGTTGGTCCGTCCATCACAAAGCTTGGAATTCGGGCTAAAAGTTCTGACTTATTCCGCTTCCAGAAAAACCTTAAGGCTCTCTAGAGGTACCATTAGGTTCGACGTGACTGTGGGTGATTAACTAGTTCATCAGTAAGGAGATGGGTTTTGTCGTTCATTCGTAGTTCGATGATCTGAGACGAAAAGGTGGCAGTTGAACCACATTTACTCGGGAACAAAATGTGACATAACACCGGCTCAGTCCCAACAGTCTCTCAGAACCGTTACTGGAGAATAGAGGATGGTTCCCTGAGGTCCAAGTGGATTCTTCTGCCGAACCAAGAGCTAAAAGTCACCCTGATATTCGCCTGAGTCTGCGGCTCCACGCTGGACTTCAGACCCGTGGTGGTTCCATTACATCTAAAGACCCTGTTAGTTCTGATTAATCACAGATTAGCCCCAGTTGCACTAAGGGGCGTTACGACATAGATAAAATCTCGTAATCACAAATCAGAATACTCTGATTCAGAAGATGCGCGAGGCTGGATTCCCATGACTGAGTAGCTTCACCCAGGCAGTCATTGACCCTCACCCATCAGGGGACTGAGGGCTTGACATGTCTCAAGGCCTCCGTGTCCACTACATTTTATGTCATTGGGGTACCACCCTTTAGCTACAGGCCTTACTTGTTCATCTGCATTACACTTGGTTACATTAAGATAAAATGTGTCAAATGAATTATTTAGGGGTTGATTTCTAAATAATTGTTCGTGAGGACATTATCACTTCAAAATGTATTGGGGATAAACATGTTTTGATACCCAGGTCTCATCTAAAGAAGATTTTTACCATCAAGTAAAACGTGCTAACGAGAACACTTCTCGCTCTTTGTTAAATGAACTAGTGTCCTGATTAAAAAATATTTTCCATTATTGTCATCTGTGTTTGTATTTGAGCCAACAGTAATAAGGAGCCAAAGTCTCCTACTTGTTCGTTTGGTCCATGGGTCCCTGGAACAAATAAAAAGGAATGCAAGTGAACGGGGCTTTAAAAGCTATGTTCTAATCTGCTTTGCAGTAAGCCCTGAATAACTTGTATGTTGTACTTGGAGTTAATTAAAAATGATTTGAGTTTCTTTCAACTGTCAGGTAATTTAAGATTTATTAGCTTGTTAAAATTCATAATTAAAATGATTACAAGTCAGACATCACATATGTCACTGTAAAATAATGAGGAACCTAGCGTCCCCTTCACCAGGAAAGAGTCTATCCTGACACCTAAAGGCAGCCAGATTCTTCACGTTGTCATTTTGATCCTGTTTGTCATTGCAGGAGAGTGAAGATGGAGCCGGAGAAGGTAAGAGCCTCTCCTGGTTATCCAGCTCCACGTTAGATTTGTTGTTGGTGATTCCTGATTTTATGACTCTGGCTCTGTTTTGTTCAGCTGTCCTCTCAGATTATGACAGTGCTGATCCGGAGGAAAACCGCTCCCATTCAGAGGTAAATCCAGCCTAACACAACTCCCAGTTTCCTTCCCTCAGACAAGAACTGAGTCTGTTTTTGACTGTAGGATTGAAAAGACGTTCAGATTGGTCAAAGATCTGGCACAACAACCTAAGGATGCCAATTCAAAGACCAAACTGAAGAAGAGATGTTTCTGAAAAATTCTTTTTCCAGGGGGTAGAGGAGGAAGAGGAGGGTTACAGTGAAGAGGAAGCTCCAGCAGCAACCAGTGAGCCCAAACCTTCAGTTGCTGTCGACCCAAAACCGGAGGAGGTGGAAGAGGAAGAGAAGGCTGAGGAGGAAGCAGAAGGACACAGTAAGGAGGAGCCCAAGGGGGAGGACAAGGAAAACCTCACAGGAGAGAGGCAGAGTGGTGATGGACAGGTGAGACTCAGGAAATCCAGATGGATCTGGTCAGCAGGTTCTGATGCATAAACAGCTTTTTAGCTCTTTGTTGTCTTTTTGTCCATGTTCATTTGGCTCAACTGCTCTGTTCCAGAGCTAGTCTGAGCTTCATTTGACATAATGAGAAGTTTTAAGAGGTGGTTATCATTTGGTTAAATTCTGATAAATTTCTGCACAATAAATAAAAAAATGGACCTATGTAAATTTTGTGTAATTATACATATTTCTGATATTTGTACAGCTTTGAGCAGCTGATATTAACTCATTCGCTGCCAGCTGTTTCCTGACCGATAAAGCCCTTCCCTGCCAGCGGTTTTTTTTGTGTGTGCCATTTTTACTGTTTTTTTAAGAGTCACAGAGCATTGCGCACTAGGATGATGATACCTCTTACAGCAGGAAGAATCCGCGCGTTTCGAGCTTTATCTGTTCTTTCATAATCCGTTAGTGAATTGTGATCTGCAGAAGCTTTTCTGGTTCGCGCCACACTTTTTTTATTTTTTATTTATTTATTTATTTGTTTTACAGCAGTGGCCCAAAAGGACCTCCTAACACATGGATTTTCTGCTTCCTGGTCACTTGATGTGTGCCGTATGCAGATGAAGATTGGCTTTAGAGCTGAGATGTTTGTTCTCGCGGTGTGGGGACTCGTTCCTATGCCCACACAGTAAAAAAATGCAAATGGCAGTGAATGAGTTAAACTTGGCCAATTCCATCTTTTCTCTAAAGAACTGGAATCTACAGAATTATAGATGGCCCGATACAGGAATCTGTCTGATACTGTGTCCATCTAGCAGGACTCAGAAAATCCACTTTAGACGGCATTACGCTAAGTGTTACCAGGAGACAACGGCTAACTAAAAAAATGAATACAGTCAAAGTGGTTTTATTAGTGCTCCTCCGTGAGAGCAGGGGTGGGGTGGTTGCACATGTTCCGCTGCTGTTTCTCACCAGTATCAGCTGATGGAGGGCTCTAGTTTCATTGCGCCATTCGTGTCAGTGGACACAGTCAGGGAGGGGGGTGGAGCATGATGCTTAGTCTGGCGGCCCGCCAAGCAAAGCGCTGGGGGAAACCCTGGTGTAAAATTGTACTATAACAAGCTCAGTGAAACGGCAAAGTCACAAACAGTGATCTGCGTTATAGTGAGGAACCACTGCATGTATATTCTCTCATTAGGTGTAAGTTTCTTACCGGGCTGGCTCTTCTGCTGCATCAACTCCGAAATGTTTTGGTCTCAGATGTTCATTTAGAGAAGTCGTATTTCCGTGCCATGCTAGATCGTTTTTGCATATCTTGCAGGTCACCCGTCTTTTCACGGCATCTAGAGTAAAGTGTTCCCATACTTTAGATGTTTTTGTTCTGGTTTTTTCTTCACTTTTATGGTTTCTGTTTTTCTCCTGTACCGTTTCATATTCCTCAGTGTGAGCATGCGCGTCAGCCATGTGTGTGGTACGTCATGAAAATCAAGGGTGCCTATTGGCTGATGCTTCTTCTGCTGCTCCACTGTTAGATCAGTGACTCATTACTGCCACACACTGGCTGCAAATTTAACAGCTTGTCTTAAAAATAGAAGACTTACAATAAAACGTGATTATAAAACAACTAGTCGAAGACTAAATAAGTTGTCAACTTTTCCAATAATTGATTATAGATTAGTTGTTTCAGCTCCCCTATACATACATACATATATATATATATATATATATAGAGAGAGAGAGAGAGAGAGAGAGAGAGAGAGAGAGAGAGAGAGAGAGAGAGAGAGAGAGAGATAGTTATACATAGATATAAATAGATATAGATATATAGAGATAGAGATATAGATAGATAGGTAGATATGTGTATGTATATATATATATATATATGTATATTTTTTTTTTTATTTTTTTTAATTCTATTGCAAGTGTATATTTGTTTTTCCAGCTGCGAACCCAGCATTGAATCTTAACAGTCATCAAAAGGTATTACATTTCACTGTCAAACCTGGAGCTATCCGTTATAAGAATGTGTGAACTTTGGTAATGTTATTTCATGTTGAAGCAGAGTTATGGTAAAAACTTTTGCAGGAGTCCACCAATGGTCCAGAGACAAAGGCTGGAGGGAAACCAGGTCAGCAGCTTGATGATGATGAAGACAGGAAGAACCCTGCCTACATCCCAAGGAAGGGACTGTTTTTTGAGCATGATGTCCGCGGCCACACTCAGGAGGAAGAGAGGTGAGCTTATCTGGTACTGGTCCTATATCGGCTCTTTGGAGACAAAGGCAGCCCGGGTCTAACAAAATCTCTTCTTTCAGACCCAAAGGGCGAAATAGGAAGCTGTGGAAGGACGAGGGCCGCTGGGAACACGACAAGTTCAGGGAGGAGGAGCAGGCTCCAAAGAGCCGTGAGGAACTCATTGCTATTTACGGTTATGACATCCGGAATGGTGGCGGTTCTGGAGACCGAGCGTACAGACAGCATAGACCCAGGTGAGTGCCGCTGTGCAGGTCTAACGGAAACCTATTGTAGGTTGACTTAAACCACTTTCACATCTGTATCAGTATGGCTGTGTCAGTTCGGGCTCGTACAGGGGGCTTTTGTTCTCATATAGTTTCCAAGGACTTCTCAGAAATGCGGAAATTCCCGGGCATGTGGGCTCCTGGGCATGTGGGCAGTGTTAAAGACGCTTAAGAAAGTCAGTGGTTGCCTCCTTAATCAGGGTGTCCCCGGGGTTTTAAAAAGTATTAAAAAGTGATAAATAAAAATAGTCAAATTTAAGGCCATTAAAAGTGTTAAATTTGGTCTCAGAGGTATTATTTTTTCCAAATTAGGTATTATTTTTTCAGACTATCAGGTGTCGTATTCTGAACATCGACATAGAAATATATTCCGAATGAAATGTTTTGAACGATTATAAAAATAAAACAAGCCGATTATTTGCTCCTCCCACTTGAGCTGCCCTGTTACAAATGAAGCGCTCCGTTGCCAACTTAGCGACTTTGATGCTATTTCTAGCAGCTTTTCAGACCCCCTTCTTGACTTTTTAAATCTAAAAGTACCTAGCGAACACCTCAGAAACATCTCTGGTAACCCTTAGCTACTTTCTGGATAACTGTCGTTGACATTTCCTGCTGCAGGTTAGCTAAACACTCCGCCTGCGCTCCGGACCGTTCTTCAGGACATTAGGAAAGGGAATGATGTAGTGATGTGTCGGTCGCTAAAGAAACGGCTCTCAGAGTCGGCTCCCTGTTGGAGTAACCAGAGTGAGTGACACACACTGTACCCGCGGGCTCCTGAGCAACTAAAAACAGCTAAATGTGCGCGTGCGGCGTGCTAAACACACATGCAGCTTGCCCCGATTGCTGTGAGACCGGGTTGGGGGGTGGGGGGTGCAGCTGTGGTTGGGACAATTATTACATTAACTGATGGACTTGTAAATACATAGTTTATAAATAAGGTAGAAATAAGTTCCTCACGCTGATAAATAATAACTAATCTCTCTGAGGACACGGTGCTAGTGCATGCTCCTACAGCACATTGACATGGCTAAATAAATGTTATGCAACATTTTGTGAACATCAATTTATTTGCATTTATTTGTAATAAATGCCACTGTATAATTCTTGCTGTCAGTATTTGCAAGATATTGGTATTTGGGTCTGTACTGGTTAGACTTAAATGAGTTAAACCAAGGTCTATAGCCCTTGGGTCATAAACTATGAGCTATGAGTATATTGGTCTTTTTATACTGGGAATCAGGAGTTCTTTTAGTGATCATCTTGTTTTTTGTTTATTTTTGCCCTGATTGTGCCCTGAGCAGTTTTATGACTGAATAAAAAAAAAAATCTACATAAATTGAAAAATCGTCTTAAATAATCGAGATCTCAATTTCAGTCACAATAATCGTGATTATTATTTTTGCCATAATCGAGCAGCCCTGCTTTAGCATATCCGGTCACATTATGTTGACGTCATATTCAGTGGTTCTGCATCATTTCAGGCCCCGTGGTCAACTGTCTGAACCGCTGAACAGAAGTGCCTGGCTTATTTTCTAAGTAAAATAAATATGCGCAATACGTTGTCAACATCAGTGAGTCTCTAAGTCTATTCTTTTTGTATGTTATATATGTTAAAATATGTGTAAATAGGTCGCTGATTAACACTTGCAATTTAGTGTTGTGATGGTTTTAAAAAAATTCTGAAGGTAGTAAAAAAGGTATTAAAAAGTAGTAAATTTTACTTAAGGATTGCTGTATATACCCTGTTAATAAGCTAAACAAAAGTGAACATGAGCTGTGTTGCTTGTAGCGTGGTGGATTGTTGCTTCATATTTTTGAAATGATCATTATGATGTAATATTCCATATAAGTATGAGTTATCAATCTGATTGGTCTTTGAATATTTGATTTAATATTACCTTAGGTTCTTTGGACTATTCAGGGAGCACACACTTCATGTTAATTCAGACAGTCAAGTATATAGTTTTTACAAATTAATATATTATTCCACAATAATATATTTCTAAACTAATGATTATACATGACAAATTATGAATGAAAGGATGGTTGTACAAGATAACAGACAATGAACAAAATTATGGAATGTAAGCTAGATGTTTGTAGCAAAACCTTATTAAGTATCTAAGAAATAATTGTGATGTCTGGGTTGTAAAATCAGTTTGACTGTATGGTTTAATAAGCTAGAGATTATTTGTAAACTCATCCTACGCCATTGTGCGGATCTACGAACCCTTTGTGTTGAAGGCCCTCGTGTGATTCAGGGGGTCAAGAGGTCGGTATAGACACTGCAGGTAGAGTGGACCTCAGGGTAATGGAACCCATAGTTCAACTCCGAGCATGACCCGTCTGCTCTGAGGTACCTTCCAGGTGACGGCAGGAATCTGGCGTATCTATTTAGCATCTGGTACACTTGCAAGTGTTGCAGAGAGGCTTTGAGTTTGAGTCAGAAAAGAGGGTGGTTCCAAATGCTTGCTCACCCGGCCTGAACCGGGAGGCGGCAGAGAACTGACTAGCCCAGGAAGTGATCTCTATTTTTATTAATTGTTGTTGACAAATTTGTACAAATCATAATTTGACAAGTTTAAAAGGTGTTACCAAAAATACCTCAAGAGATCCCTCCTTCCCTCAGATACTTAGAGAGGTAATTTCTTAGTGTGAAGTGACAACGTTAAACAGATTATGGGAAGCACAAATGTTAAATATTAATAATATTAGAGGTGTGACTATATTGATCAATTAAATTCTTAAAATCAACAAATACTAATCTGGTGTAATTTAAGATCTGAAATAAATTATTACAGGAAAACTAAATATTCATTTTAACCCATCATGCATTAATGTAAAGTGTAGGACACATTATTCAAACAACAAATTATAGACTATAAACAATATTGTCTACATTATTGAGACCAAAATAACCATGTATGTAATGTTAATATATCATAATTATGCAAGTACACCCTTTAGAATACAGCAATTAAAAAATGGACTGTCCAGAACTAAAACTTCTAAATAAATGGGGCTGCATGGTGGCGCAGTGGTTAGCACTGTTGCCTCGCAGCACGGAGGTCGCAGGTTTGAAACTCGGCTGTGGCCTTTCTGCGTGGAGTTGCGTGTTCTCCCCATGCATGCGTGGGTTTCCTTCGGGTACTCCGGTTTCCCCCACAGTTCACAACATGCCTTATAGGTTATAAATTGTAAGTCGCTTTGGATAAAAGCGTCTGCTAAATGAATAAACATAAATAAAACAAACAAAATTTTTTAAAAAGAACTCATCTGTTAAAAAATTTTGCACCAAAAATAAAATGGACTGTGTCTTTCCAAAACACTAAATATAACGGCCCATCCAGTGTCAACAACCAAAACTGCACTTCAGTAATGATAAATGTTAATAATAGAGTTGTACATTTCCTAACCTCGATATATTGAGGCTGGAAAAATTGAGTTTATTTTCATTTATCGTACAGTTAATTCATTTACCGTAATTTCCGGACTATAGAGCGCACCTCAATATAAACCGCACCAAAAAAAAAAAAGGTTTTCTACACACACACGCCGCACTCAAATACAAGCCGCGGCGCAGCAGCCACATGCAGGTCTCCGGCGCATGCATGGCCATACCATAAGATAATTAGACAGAAAGATGCTACACGGAGGTATTTCGTTGTTGTTTTAATTCAACAAAATGAATTTTAAACACAGGTGAACGTGCCTAGTCTGGCCTGCCAGACTCCTCCTCTGTTTATTTCTGCACAAAGAGTCTGGGAACTCTCCTATTCAAATAACCCCACCCTGTGAGAATTCTAACCGAGCCAATCAGCGCTGATTATCGTACGTCACACACTCTACGCAGAGTTTGTCATAAACATGGTGACTGAAGTGGAGTTCGCTGCGGTTCTTTCCTTTGTTCTAAATGACTTAAACATGTCTTTAAAACCACAACAAGCAGACGCGCTAAAAGCCTTTCTTCTAAACAAAGATGTTTGCGCTGTCGCCATACTCCATTTTTACTACAGCTAAAAAAAACTGCAGCGTCGCGGACGTCACACACGGCGGCGCTCAGTTTCTCATAAACAACGCAGACATCAGTGGAGTTTGCTGCGACTCTTTCCTCTGTTCTAAATGACTCAAATGTCTTTAAAACCACAAGTAGAAGTGCTAAAAGCATTTCTTCTATAAAAAAAAAAAAGATGTTTGCGCCGTTGCCAGACGCTATTTTTTTTACTACAACTAGAAATCTACCGCGTTGTGCGGCACAGTCGGGATTTCTGTCTTTTTTCTGATTGGTCATTTTTGAGCTGCCTAGTTCCGCCCCTCAAGTGCCTCTCTGCCTGTGAGTTACCAGACTCATTCTCTGTGCAGAATTAAACAGAGGATGAGTCTGGCAGGCCAGGCTAGAACGTGCCTGCAAGTTTAGAAAAGAAAACAGCAATGATAGCATTCATATTTCTGGATGGTTATAAAATAAAAACAGAACTGACATGTTATTACCGGTGATTTGCATGCATGTTTAGACGAAAAGAACAGTGCTGACACGGCATTAATAAGCCCTGGATGATTACAGGGTATCCGCGGGTCCTTAAAAAGTCTTAAGTCTTAAATTTTCTTTCCCAAATTTAAGGCTTTGAAAATCCTTAAAAATGACAAATAATCCTTAAATACAGTTTCCAAAGGTCTTAAATTACCAAAGTCCCAATAAACAAGATTCTTTTATTTCTATAAAACTTTTGTGAATTTCTAGTGTTCGGCATTTTTTGTGTATGATATTGGCATAAGCGGAACCGTGCACATTCAGTTGGTTGTGAAAGGGGACTATTTTAAGATGAGCACGTTAGCTGGTTAAGCTAGTGGGAGCTTGCGCCATGGGGAGCAAGTAACTGGATGGCTAATCCCACATTTGCGACGTGGTTAGCACCGGTTCCAGGCAATAGCTGGAAATTATAGTTTAAATTTAATTTAAAAAAATAGCTTAAATTTTGTCAAAGTGGCCTTCAAAAAGGTCTTAAAAAGTCTTAAATTTGGCTCCCTTAAACCTGCAGTTACCCTGTGATTAGAAAATAAAAACTGCACACAAAACATGCCTGGTTAGTAAATAAAACACACTTGCCTGCCAGAAAACGTCATTCGCTCTCGTCTTCCTCTTACGCACTATTAAAGTCCTCTTCTTCAGTGTCGGAGTTGAACAGCCTCAGAAGAGCTTTGTCACATACCTTTTCTGTGGTGATGTCAGTGTCGCTGTCCGTGTTGCTGTCATCATCCCCGGGTGAAGCTGGCTTGAATGAGTTCTTCCCGCTGCTGTCTCCAGCGCCGAACCATGGATTCAATTCATGCCAAGCTTACGTGCTTCAGCACTGTTTCCCTCCTTTACTGCCAGATCGATGGCCTTCAACTTAAATGCGGCAACATATGAACTCATACGTGTAGTTACCATGATGAGGGGGTATGGATTTGAAAAAAATTCTTCGTCGTGCCGGCTGCTTGCAAGTGCTAAATTAAAATGAGCACTTTCTTCAGTTTCTACTTTTGACTTCCACCTGTTTCACTTTCTGCTAAAGCGCCCCCTGGCAGGTGAAGGAAAATCTTCAGTAAAGCCGCACCTCATTATAAGCCGCATGGTTCAAAGCGTGGGAAAAAAGTAGCGGCTTATAGTCCGGAAAATACGGTATTATCATTCCAGCCCTACTGGAGGACACATGATGAACATGATTTGTTAAAAATATTGGCTCAAGTTCATTTCTTCATATCGGCACCACGGTGCCAGATTGACCTCTATGAAGAAGTTTGGTCTGTAAGTTAAAAGTTAACTTCTGGTAATTTATGATGAAAAACTTCGCCATTCGGTATGCTGCATGCTTTTGGAGACTCTGAATCGTGCATGAGGGAATCCCATGCTGGCTGATTCTACTCGCTAGTCGTAGGGGGTTGGTGTGAATTTCAGTCAGTCAGTCCGTAGTGTCACCACGGTCCCAGCCGGGCCTCAGAGTAAGAGGTCTGAAAAGAAAGTCACCGCAGAACGGAAAATGCACATATGACCCAGATGTGAAAGCCTCATTAGTGTTCAACTGGGACATGTTTCTGTTACTGCAGCATTCCTAATGTGGGTTTCCATGGTAACTAGTCATAATTAGAGTTCGGCATCATTTTAATTTGAACAATTCCAATTCAAATTCCTCATTGTGATTCCGGTTCCCATCGATTGCGATTCTTTCATGACCACAGGTCCTACTTGATGAATTAATCTTAACTCCAACATGGATTTTAATTCTATGAACGATAACATAACCTTCATTTAGACAAAAACACATTTTTGAGAAAGAAAAAAGGGACTTGCAGCTAAATCAGTGTGTTTGTTTCTGACCAGAAAAAAACTGAGGATTCGGTGCTGCACACGGCTCTTTGCAGGCAGCAGAGTAAGAGCAATGGACAGCTGGTGTGATCAGCTCTGAAAAGCATTGATCAGAATTTGCAGATCACGTTTATTTTTCACGGAGATCTGCCGCAGATTCCTCTTCCTGTCGGCATACTAGGAACCGAAATAAAAAAAACTTTGAATGATTCTGGGAAGAACTGACAGTTGGTCCCAGTTCCAGTCGATGCTCGATGCCCAACCCTAGTCGTAATGAACCTGCAAGGGGTGTCAGAGCTAGAACCCTTTTGACAGAGATGAAGGTTTTCTGCTCTGTTGGGTAAAACAGTTATTTTTGTCTCTGCAGACAGAGTTTGTCTCCCAACAAGGACAAACGGTGGAGAGACGGAGGAGGACCGCGGCCGGCCCGATCCTGGCAGAACCGAGAAGGAGCTGCTCCAACTTCTTCCGCCCCGCCTTCCTCTTCTGCATTTCCTCCTCTTTCTGCTGGTCAGCGCATCATCAACCCTGCCAGACTGTCCACCTCCCGCAACAGGCCTCCCCACCAGAATCAGACACACTCTTCATCCCAGTTGGAGTTCAGGAGTTCTGAATCATCTCAGGCTCATGCCAGAGAGCGTCTTGGTCCCAAAGCCCAGTCTGAGCCTGCAGGAGAGAGAGGTTTAGCCAGCAAGGTTGGGCGGGGTCCTGTAGGAAGAGGAGGCTCTGCTGTGGTCATTGAGGATGTTTCCGTCAGCCAAGAGGGCGCAGGAGATGAGGACCTGAGCTCAGTGTCTGCAGCAACAGCTGCTTCCCCGCAGGCAGGTACATACCGGTCACCCAGGCGGCAGATGCAGGACCAACGAGGCATCACAGACAGATCTGCATCTGGATTTACTTCATCTACATCTGACCCAGCGTTACAGTCAGCAACAGCCAATCAGGAGGCATCTCCTCCCACTGAACGGCAGGTGGAGCGCAAATCATACTCACTGGCTCGCAGGACTCGCTCACGACCCTCGGACCTGGGCAGCAAGCAAACCTCCGTGGAGGAGTCCACATCTGGTGGGAACACCTCCTCCCCCAGCAGTGGGGGAGGAAAGAGCTGGACAGGAGGGGGAGATGGGTCGAATCAGGCAGCAGAGGCAGGGCTGGCGGAGCTGGACCAAGACGTGGCTCGACTCAATCTGACCCGGCAGAACTGGAGTCAGAGTCCGACATCGTACATGCGCACAGAAATGAGAGGTAAGTTCTGTTTTTATCTGGAATAGTGCTGCAACTAACGACTATCTTAATAGTCGACTAGTCACCGACTATTGAAACGATTAGTCGACTAATCAGATAATTATAAAATTTTTCTTAAATTTAGCATGAGATTGTTTTAATTATGTGAAAAATGATAATAAACACAAGAAAGATGGGTACTTCAATGGAAAATGCATATTTTACTGAACTTTGCTGCTGACAGGCCAATTCATACTAAAAGTAAATAAAAAGGCCCTGTCTAACACCAATTAGGCACAGTGCTCAGTCAGTATAGACATAAATGCATAAATAATATTAAAATACTTTTGTCAGGCACAGTCAGGCATAACATTAAATCTCTTTTTAAAAGCGAAAATAAGTTTAAAAAATGTATAGTAAGCATCCAAAACAAAACGTATGGGCTTTCGTGTTATTTAAATCTTACCGAGGTGAGTCGGACTCGGTTTCATTCAACTGTCCGACGTGCTTTCTCTTTAAGTGTTCATGCATCTTCGAGGTGCTGCCGTGTTACGCAAGGACTGCTTTGCAAATAATGCAGGAGGTAATCTTTTTATTCGCCGAATCCAGGCTAGAATGCTCCCAAACTTTAGATGTTTTGGTACGCGTAGCTGCTGTGTTGGACGCCACCATTTCTGTTCATTGACGCTCAGCAGAGAAGCTATTGCACCTGTGCGACTCGGCAGAGATTGTAATGAAGTGAGATGCGCCACTCGGTCGGAAAAAACACGTCTGGCGACAACGTCGACCAATCGTTGCGGGCCTAATCTGGAATGTCCAAAACATTCAGTTTTCTGAAGCAACAAACCCCAACGCTGTCAGATTTAATGACCAACTATATAACTTTTTATATATAATATATTTTTAAACCATTTTCTTGAGCCAGCATGTGTTAAAATGACCCTTCACAGGGTGAATGAAGTCACTCATCCCCTCCGCTTCTTGTGGGCAGAATACCACATTTACAACTTGAGCCTCTCTAGACCGCTGCCTTGACGTCTCACAAAATAATGTAACTGACGAGAAGCAGAAACTCTTCATGGCAGAGCCTGGAAAAAAGAAAAAACATTGATCTGGAAAGATCGCCCAACCACAATAGGAGTCAAACAAGAGTCTACATCAGAGTTTTCTAAATCACGAGCGCTCAAAGAACTCATATTGGATTCAGACCTAACGATCATTCTATTGCGCTTGTGAGTACAACTCTGTTTAGATTGTGCACGTTTTAACTTTGCCCAGTTTTGTGATTATTTCTACACGTTTGTCAGGCGTTAGTAACATCACATCTCGTTCCGTCACTGATCATGCAGTCACTCTACAGCCAACTTAAGCTCTGTGAAACACACATTGACACTGTCTCATCTTTACCCAGGCCCCAATGGATCATCAGTGCACCGTGCTGCTGGCATTTCAAGCTAAAAAAACAAAAACAAAGTCGTCTAACAGTTTGCCGGGCAAATCGGCCAGTCTTCTTGGCTAGTCGCTCATCACTTCTAGAGTAACGTGTTTATCACCCAGTGCTCTTACTTCCATGTTTGGGTTTGCTGACATGCTACAGCCTTTCCCTGTGGTCACATGATTCCTCCACTCAGGAGCTGTCTTCAGTGTTGATCATGTGATTTACCAAAAACTCTGTTAGTCAATAGCACAATGGCTAGCTGGCGTGTCTGGTGATGGAGTAGGGCTGAACTTTTATCTAGAGAGGTGCTTTATAAAAAAACATGTTCTTGTTCTGCTTCAAAAACGCAAGGAGGAAATCTGAAGGTAGAAATAACTTTCAAATGTATTAAATAACAAAAATGCACAGTTTTCCCTGCATTACCAAGGCAGGCTGGCTGCACGTTTTTCTAAGCCATCTGATAGTTTTTCCTCACTAAAACTCCGATATAAAGCCTAGCGTATGCTGCGGTCAGCTCCGTGAGAGAGACACGCATTGACACGTTAGCTTGTCTGAACTAACGTGTGCCATCAGAAAAATTCTAACAGTTTTTAAAAGAGAAGTTGAACTTTCAAGTCAACTAAAGTGCACAACTCTGCACTCGCGCTGAAGAAGCATAAACCATCGGCTCAGATGTGGGAGGAGTCTCTCGCCCTCACTCACATAGAGTCTCTCTCTCTCCCTCCCTCTCCCTCACTCACCTATGGTGCCATTATCGGCTCTAGCAGTGCTGTGTGGAAAAATAAAATGGGGAAAATGACCTAAATGTGCAGCTGTGGAACTGGGCTTGACTCCTCCCCCGCGCTGGCTGTTTTTGGTAACACGGGGGAAACCACGTAGGAAAAAAAAAGTTGACACAACAGATCCTGGATCAGTCAGGACTGCTTTTACAACAGTTGCTTAAAATGTACGCTAAAGGGTGTTAAATGACACTTAAAGCTAGTATGCCTTTAATTCCATCAGTGGAACTAGTTCAAGAACAAGAACCAGGTGAAGTTCTGGTTGTCTACCAGGAATATAAACAAGTGAACCGAGCTGTCAGCTGGTTTAAAGCTCAGATTCCAAATGAAAGACTGGAATCGTAAATCTGATCCTGATCTATGTGAATGTCCGATAGCAGGGTTTGTATTTGTTCATTTATTTATTTTTATAAAACCTGATCTTAAACATCACTCATTTAGAACCTTCTGGTCTCACGTTGTAATGTAGAACGATTAGCTTGTGGTTAGAAGCCACCCTTCCATATGACTGTGTGTCTGCAGGTCCGCTGCACATGGCTGGGTCGCCTCAGTTCCCTAACATGGAAGAGATGGGCGTAAGCTCCAGCCGGGCTAAGCGCTACTCGTCTCAACGTCAGAGAGCTGTTCCAGAACCGGCACCAGCCATGCATCTAGGAGTGATGGAGGGACACTACTACGAGCCCAGTAAGATCCACACCAGAAAGCAGGAGCTGTAGCAGAAATGTTCTTTATAATTCTGTCCATATAACTGAGTCATCTGTGCTTTCTGTCACTGATGGTTCTGACTCCGGCTCAGATGTTTGAGTCTTTGTGAAGCTACAAGGTGGACTTAGTCAGGTCTGAGCTAGTTTCGGAGCCTCAATCCAAATCAAATTGGTTTTCTCTGAGTGAATCGTTTTGATTTAGTCTGAACCCTGTTTTAGACCATCAGACCTCAGGCTGAGTGTAGGGCTGCTGCAGACTCATAGTGATTCAGACAGGAACAAGTGGAGTTGATCAGCTGCATAGTGATATTAAACCGTAGCATCAAAGGGTTCAAGATCTGATGCGATTTGTAGTCGACATAAACCGGGTCACTGTGTACTTCTGCAGGATAAAGTTTAATAGCTCTGAATTTTATTTATTTGTGAATAGAAACCAGAAACAGCTGCTCGGCTTCATCTGAATCACCTCCTTTGTCTCTCTCAGTGTCGTACCAGGGACCAATCTACACTCACAGTGATGGTGCTGCCTCCATCCCACCACAAGGCATGCTGGTCCAGCCTGACATGCACATCCCTCATCCTGGTCAGTATCTTCAAATTGACATTTCCAAAGTGTTGGGGTCAAACACTCATCCTGATGACTCTCTGCAGGTCTCCATCCCCACCAATCAGCAGGCCCCATCGCTAACCCAGCTCTCTTCGGAGGCCCCCCTGTTTCGCTGTCTCCAGGGCAACCACAGCAACTGCTGCCACCACCATTTTATCCTCCACCAGGGGTCATGACCTTCCCCTACCCTACCATTTACCCAACCCCTCAGGTAAACCCTCATCTGAATGCATCTGTAACGCTGCAAAAACATAGGTTTAACTCTTGAGTGTCTGCTTCATGTTGCTGTGTGTGTGTGTGTGTGTGTGTGTGTGTGTGTGTGTGTGTGTGTGTGTGTGTGTGTGTGTGTGTGTGTGTGTGTGTGTGTGTGTGTGTGTGTGTACACGTGTGTACGTGTTCAGGGTCAGGCACAGGTGACCTATGGTGGCGTGACATATTACGACACGATGCAGCAGCAGGCACAGCCCAAACCTTCTCCTCCCCGCCGCACCTCTCAGCCTGTCACAGTCAAGCCCCCCCCTCCAGAGGTGCCCTTTGCCTCAGAGTGACTCCGCCCCCTCACCTCTACCACACCACCCAGACTCAGCCCCTACCTGGCCTGATGACTACAGGTGAGTTCAGGCTCCATCTGCTGCAGCATTACATGATGGGAAATGATCTTCTCTTTAGAAGGGGGGGGGGGGGATGATGAAGAACAAGAGTCTGCTTCTAGACCTGCAGAAAAGGGACACACAACAATACAACAGGAGCAAGCTATGACTGTGTCATTGTGATGAAGAAATATAAAATCAACATTGTTTTACTGAACAATCACGATAATAAATCGCAGTGCATTTAGTGCCAACCACAGCCTTAAGACATGTGTTGAACGTGCCCAAGTCCATACTTGTGAGAGCACCATGTGAGCACCTGTGTGTGTACACACGCTTGTATATGTAAGGTTTCTTTATAGGAGCGTCCAATAGAGAGAGTGAGGGGCCACAGATCTGCCCCCCAAAGATGTGTAGGAGATGGAGGGAGCTCCACGTCCCAGAGATCCAGGAGCTGCCCCAGAGCACAGGGACCCCAAGGAGACTGACCAGAAAAGCCCCCGCCCCCCTCGAGATGCGCAGAGGATTGCCCCGGGGGGCCACAACCAGCAGCCGGCATAGTCCCGGGAGATATCAGCGGCAAGCCGTCAGGCCCACCCCAGCGACATGGGACCCAGGGACGACCACCCCCGCCGGGGACCCAGCAGAGCCCAGGGACCCAGATCCCACCAGGCAGCCACCGGGATTGATCAGGCAGACGCCAAAAATCTTAAACCCCCTGACCCGGGAGCCACGAACAGTCAGGCAGACCGAGGCACCGCACTCCGCACCAAGTGTGGCAGGGGGAGGGGAGACACATATGTAAATCATCAAAATAAGTCCCGGGAGAAGGGAGGAGTCAAAGGCCCCACCTGACATATACAGTCATACACAGTCACACACTCCCTCCCTCATGCACATACAACCAAAGACTTAGAAAAAAGCACGCCGGACACCCACTCATGCTCCCCATACACACCCTATTCACTCTGGTCCCGGTACTGCTGCACATGGGGCACAACCATTACCGGTTCCCAGAGTTCGACCCTTTCTGCTGGGGTGCTGATTCTCTGGTTAATAATAGGGGTGTGTAATCTTAGGTACCTTTTCATTTGATTTCGATTCAGGGTCCTTTGATTTGTTTATCATGGTTACCACGGTTACCACTCGATGCATTTTGTCTCAGTACTTACATCACAGCTTTTTGATACTATCAGATTAATTCAGCACTTGTTAATTCAAATTACCTTTTACTCCACTATATTTATGAAGGACTGAACAGGTTTGCATGAAATCTACAGGACAGACATAAATAATGAAAATAAAAGTAAACGTGTCAGTTTTGTCTTTTTAAACCAAATCAGCTGAGAGTCGCAAACCAGAGCGATGCAGAGATGCAGAGCTTCTGGTCTTTAGGTGAAAACACATAACCGCGACACAGTACCACCACAGACTTGACCTTGTAATGACCTTAAGCTCTCCGGTGCTGCCTCAGCTTTGCAGTAGAGTAAAACGCCGAAGTTCTATGACGAGGCTGGAGATGCGGGAGCGTTTTGTTGATTCTTTCTCGATTGTCTGCTGGTTAGGAGGAACAAATACCGACTTCTTCTCCATCTGACCCGGGATGGAAACGTGTAAGGTGCTGTCGTATGTCTGTAGCGTTGCAGTTGAGTTTTATTTTAGTTTTACACAACTTTCCTTTAACCCTCCTGATGAGTAAATCTCACACTCAGTGGCTGAAGCTAATAAAAAAAGCTTCCGCCATTGCGGTTTTGTTTTTTCCCCTGGCCCGTCAGACTAAAGCGTCTGGGCATTCCTACCACGCTTTGCAGCTGTCCTTCAGCATTACTATCGATTATGAACGTAACGTTTATGAATCCATTTTGAGTGGGCACAGGTCACATCGCAATGCATGGATTAAATGGTGAATCGGCTCACCACTAGTTCACGTGTGTAATTGTGACGAGCAGCAGCCTCAGTCAGCAGAAAGTTTTTCATATTTCTTCTGATTTGGTGTCCATGATGGAATCATTTATGTGACGCACAGACACCTTTAGCATGGATCAAATGTTTCTTTAACATTGGATCGACCAAGTAGAAAATCTATCTGCCTTAACCCTTTGATGCATGAATTATGAAATCTTCAACCATGATTTTTTAAACAATTTTCTTCATTCATTTTTAGGTGCGAATGAAACAAATTTCAACAAATATCTTTTGTAATGCTTTGTTAATTTACAAATAATTTATTACATGTCCAGCTCAGTGGACAGCGTGCATTCTGAACATGAAATATGTTGGCTTGACTTACTGAAGTCCAAAGGGAGGGGCTCAAATGCAATAAAGTCTTCAACAGCTGTGCTTAATAGCAAAAATAAATAAAAAAAAACAATTTTGAATACCTGTCCACTGTAGTGACCATTATGCATCAAAGGGTTAATCTGTTTAATCCAGAGCTGTCTGGTTCTGATCTGATGCTGACCCGGGTCAGCTCTGGTTCTTTTCTGATTCTGGTTTGTTTCTTTTCTGGTTCCACTTTTAGTCTGGCATTAGATCTGATTCCAACCTGGTTCGAATCCTTTTGTGATTAGGTTCTAGTAAGTGCTGGTCTGGTTCTGGTCCACTTCTGATTCAATTCTGATCTAGCATTTGTTTGGTTCTGGTTTGTGCCAGACAGAAAACCCAGATTTCCTTTTGTTCAATAGACATGTTTACTTTCTGTTTGTCTTCAGATTGGTCTATTTGTAGGAGCAGGGTGGGAGTGTCGGAGAGGAGCAGCGGTCCCAAACAGTAAACAGAACCAGTACTGAGGAGGGGGGCAGACGAAGGTGCAGATGGCCCCACAGCATCGTAACTGGACCTGGATTTTTGTTTTTCCCTTCCTTTGGTCTCATCCCTGAAACTGCCATCTCCTGCCGGGTCTCAAGTCTCAGATGGATCAGACCCTCAGCTGTTGATCTTCTCGGTGGCGATGTCTCAGTTAACATCTGTTAGTGGTTCCTGTTCAGTTTGTCTTTGAGTTGGGTGGATCAACGGTTAGACAGTCGGCAGGAGTCAACAGCTCCACAGGAACAGGTCGCTGGAACCAGTACCAGGACGTTAACTGGATGAAACGGAATGCAGGGGTTCTGTGGATTCAGCCACTTGGAACAGTTACGTCCATCTTTATCAGGTCATCTGTGTTCCTGGATTCATCTGATTATATTAACGTTTTCCTGTTTTACCTTTGGGGTCTGTGTCAACATTCAAACTTTCTAATCCAATCCCTGATTTTATTTCGTTACCATAACGACCAATAAGTGAGATTCAATAAGTGAGATTCTGGATCCGAACGGATCTGAGATCTGGAGTTGTCTTTAGATTTATGAACATGGTTTCAGTCACTGCTTTACCAAGAAGATTCCACAGAAACCAGCTGTTAGTACAGCTGTTGTCTTTGATTGAAGAGGGGATTAATGTTGCTGTAAATAGAAATCTAAAGGTGTAAATAGAAGCTTGGAGAGACAAAGTGATAAACATATTAACAGCTTCAGATAAATATATCGTCTGCAGGGACCTGGAATGTTAACGACTGATGAATATAATATGTAGAAGTACAGAAAATACTTAGGAGGCTTTCATTGGTTGTTAATTATACAGTTTTTCATTTGAAACTTTTTATTTTTGGTAGTTAAAGCTGCAGCAGTATCTGTTTTCATTTATTGAACATTCAGACCGGACCCCTAAAACAAACCTTTTATTTGTTCAGCAGGAATCTTACAGATTTGACGGTTTTCAGAAATGTCCTTCTGTTTTTAGTTTCTTTTGAACTTCCTGTGAAATGTCTATGGTCTGATGTCAAATTAAAGTGTCTTCTGTCAGAAACTAGTCATCTGTCTTTTCTATTAACAGAAGAAAAAGATGGTAGGTCATGTGACTTATTATTGCAGTCAGATAGCTGTCTTCATTAAAACTTCTCCCATCTGATGTACAGAAACTCCCGAGTACAAACCTCTTCATGGACTCCCGCTGTGGTGTTCTGGCTCAAAACTCCTTTCTTCTTTCACAATGTTCTTATTGATATTTGCTGCATTGGTTCCAATCAGCTGTTAAATCTCACAAATTCTTTTGTGTCAGTCTGGTTTCCATGGAAAAATTGCCAAGCATCCTTTAGTTTTTCATTGACAGTCCATCAGGCTGGAGAAGAACAGTTAGCCGATGCACAGAAACAATGAGTCAAGTTCACATTAAAACATTTGATTTTATTTCTACAAGCTGCATGTGACCCAAATACCAGAGAGCTGTAAACCACAAGCAGACACTCAAATGCTGTTTAAAACCTCAGACTTATTAGCCTGGACACTACTCTTGAGTAGTGATGGATTTTAGCATTTACCTCTACTTTTGGTCTTTACATTTTGTTCTTTACCAAGAGTCTATGCTGCTCATCAATGCTGCTTTATTAATATTTACAAGCTGCAGGGGGCAGGCTTATGTAAACTAGTGGCCAATCAGCTTACATGCAGCCTCATACCCAGCAGCTGGATTTATTCAAATGAACAAAACCTTTTCCTGCTTATGAGCACATTTGACCTCCTGATGTAACTTGACAGCAGCTTTAGTTAATTAAGTCCATCAGCTGAGAAGTACATTTTGTTTAAATAGCACTCATCACAGAATCGCAGCGCTTCACACACATCAAAACATAAGGTCGTAAAATCATAATGATCTTAAAACCAGGAAAACAGTCATGAAATTATTAAATGATCATAAATATAAAACAAATGAAAGATGATTATAAATTTGAGTTAAAAAAAAGAAAACAAAAGGTTTAGGTTAAAGCAGCTTTAAATAAAAGGGTCTTCTACTTTTTAAAAGTGTCCAGACTGTCAATCCTACGTAAGGATAAAGGAAGTTCATTCCAAAGTTGAGGTGCAACAGTCTGGAAGGAGTGATCACCTCGACTTTTATATCTGGTCTTTGGAACTTCTAGAAGGTTCTGGTGGTTGGACCTGAGGGGTTGGAGCATAAAGCTTTAACAGTTCAGTAATATAGGGAGGAGCTTGACCACGTAGAGCATTGAAAGTTATAGTCAGGATTCTAAAATGAACTCTAAAGTTAACGGGTAACCAGTGGAGAGACATTAGAATAGGAGTGATGTGAGCTCTTCTGTTTGCTCCAGTTAGTAGTGATGTGTTGGTCGTGAACGAACCGGCTCTAAGAGCCGGCTCTATTAAGTGAATGACGGGAGCCGGCTCGTCATTGAGAGCCGTCACCCCCCCCCCCCCCCCTGCTTTGGTGAAAGCCACAGGCGATTGGTCAACATGTGTAACTGCGTGTCCAGACTATCCACACACAGGGTCGGCTTTGCCGACAGGCGACATCATACTCAGACACACACAGCAGAGCACATGCAGGCGGAGGGAGACGAGAGGGAATGAGGAGGGGGGAAAAGGCGAGAGAGAGGAAAGTGCGACGAAGACGGTGAGAAAATGAGCGACAGCTGCAGCTTAGACATCCCATGGGGTTGAGATTTCTTAAAGTGTTCAGTAAATAAATCCATATAAATGATAAATATTTGATATATTGCATTTTTTGCATTAGTAAATCATTTTACATATAGTTTTGCATTATTTTTGGTGATAAATATACTTTACGCAACAGAAATTCTGAGGAGCCACTCGGGAGCCGAAAGTGCCGGCTCTTTTTGGTGAGCTGAGCCAAAAGAACCGGCTCTCTAAAAAGAGCCGGTATTCCCATCACTAGGAGCCTTGCTGCAGAGTTCTGGACAAACCGAAGGTGGTCAAGAGCTTTTTTGTTAAAACATGCGAAAATGTGTTACAGTAATTTGGACGGGAGGAGATAAAGGCATGAATAACCATTTCAAGTTCATGTTTTGACCAGTGGCGGCTCCAGACATTTTTTTTCTGCAGGTGCTATGAAGGAGCTAGTCTTTTCATTGAGGGTGCTATGAAGGAAGTGGTCATGCGTACCTGTTGTTCTCTAAAACACCTTCAGCAGATAAACATGCATGCACAACACCTCAACAACACCTGAAACAATCATTAAAATACATCATAAACATATGAACAATCACTGACTTGTCATCATAAACACATACAGCCACACAGAAAATCATCTATAGTGTTGCAAGGTTAGCTAATGTTAGTGTTAGCATTTCCAGCGGCAAAACCCTCGAGTGCTGTGGGCTGGCGGTTGAGGATTGACTCTCTTCATCCAGATCCATATAGGTTTTTGTGGGTCTGAGATCACTTCCAAAGATTCATTCGTTTCTGACTGAACCTGTGGAAATTTGGGCAACAAAAACCGATTCATTTTGCCACTAGCTCTACCTTTCACTTGTTCGCAGGTGGAAAATGAGGTCAAAGGTTAACATCAATTTCCTGTTTTGGTTTAAGTTTTTACTATCTATATAATAATTTACTGATAATTTTTGTTTTGTATGTTAAATATTATCACATCCACACGTTAAATTAAAATTAAATTGTAAAGAAAAAGAAAAAATCTAATACTTACTTGGGGATGCAATGACTAATCCAGGGGTAGCTATAGCTATAGCACCCTCCTGGCGCCGCCACTGGTTTTGACACCAATCTTCACAGTTTATTTCTTAAGTGATATATTCAGTTTCATACCAGCATTTTTGATTGGTCTTCAAGAGAATATAGGTGTCGGTGATGGGGGACATCATGAAAAGAATCAGTTTTCTGTCCAAGAGGGTGTGTGTACAGTAAAAACAAGAGTGGACCTAAAACAGAGCCTTGGGGTACCCCATAGCACAGATCAGTAGAATCTGACATCATTTGGTTTATAGACACTGAAACTTCTGTTAAAAAGGTACAATCTAAACCCGTCAAGAACGAGATCCCCACCAGTCACAAAGTGTATTAATTAAGGTGCTGTGATCAACAGTGTCAATGACTAACAGAGAAAATCTGTAATTCCTGTTGGTTAGGAACAAGAAGCTGTAACAGATGGGCCAATCAGAAGGCAGCATTCTTCAAGTCACTTCCTGCTTTTATCAAATCATTTGTATCAACCATGACCGGCTTTTTGGGGTCAAGGCCAGGTCTTGAAGGTCCAGACCAGCTCTAGGGGTTCCATATCAGGTCAAGGAGGTCTTAACCACCAGTTGGAGATTTTAGACCAGCTGTTGTAGAAGCTCCACACCAGCTTAGGTTCTGAGTCACAATATTACAAAACAGAACAAGGGACCAAAAATTAATGAGATAACCCAAAACTATAAACTGTTCCCAGACTGAACTGTGATCCACAGAGGAGTTGTCAGGTCACAAACTCAGAATCCAGGATATCATGGAGCTCCAGTGATTCAAAAGGTGTTCTGGAAGTCAGTAATTCGGGAGGTCTTATCGTGGACCCTCGGTGCAGTGGGATGTCTGATGGAGGGTTCAAGTACTTCAACAGCTCTGTTTGAAATCTGTTGTGATCGTCCATCAGGATCATGTGACAGTTTAGGTGCGTCAGAAATCTCATACATAAAATTTTGTGTTCTTCAGCTGAAGTCTCGCGGTGTTTTACAGCTCTCAGACGTCAGGGATATTTTCGTTTCCATCAATTTCACACTCTGAAAGTGAAAATGTGTGCGCGCGCCCGAACAATATTAAGAGCGCGCAACTGCAGTAGATATGCGCGCGGAGAAACTAGGGAGCGCGCACGCTCCCCATCACTTCCCATCTCACTAATTCAGCAGGAGGAGAGGAGGGGGGAGGGGGAGTTCTCGACGGCGAATCGGTGATCCGCGGGGACCGAGAGGCTGGCGGACCGTCCGAACCTCTGCAGCTTCCGAACCGAGGACAGCGAGACGCGGCCACAGCCCAGAAAACCTACTGCACTTAAACGCAGCGGGCCTGGCTGCTTCTCCGCCGCCTCCTCCTCCTCCTCCTCCAGGTGGGCGAGGAAGGTTCAGGAGGAACAACCGTCGATCGTTGATCTGCCTGGATTGACCCGATCCGAACCGGAGAGCCGCAGCGCGAGCGGGAAAGCTGCATTTGGGGTTCACGTTCCTGCTTTAGTCACCCACTGAGCGTGAGTTCGGTGGGTTCGGTGCTGGAGCTCCGCGTTTACGCGGCGGCTGCAGTCATAGAGCAACGGCCGGGATCAGCTGCTGATCCAGAGCAGCAGTAGCGCTGCAGAGGGTCCGCTCACACCTGCGTGCACCTGCCTATCCCGCCTTGCGGGGCCTGGATGATGTAGGAACCCACTGGCCCTCCCCGAGAACCTCTGCAACCACAACAAGCAGCGCCCCCACCCCGCCGCACCCCAGGTCCAGCCTCCCCAATCCCTGGAACCAGCGACCCACCATGCCGGCGGGGATGAAACCGCTAGAGAAGTTCCTGAAAAAGCAGACCACGGCGCTGACCCGGGCCGGGGGCTTTGGTGGGGTGGCAGACAAGTCCAGCGCGGGCACAGGTGCATCCCGCAGGAGGGCCAGTCTATCCCGGGTCGTACCATTCTTCAGGGAGACCTCACCTGAGAGCGGCCACGCGCGGGAAGTCTTTAGGTGAGGAATAACACCCTCCCCCTTTTGTGTGTGCGCGCGTGTGCGTGTTGGGGTGTTTAGGGGTGTCTTTTTAATTAGCAGGGTGTTACAGGTGTATTTAGTCTCTGATTCTCATTTAAACACGCACGCACGCACGCACACACACACACACACACACACACAAGCAGCACTTTTGAAATGAAAATGACATCTTTGCTTGCATGCTGGGTCAGAGAGAGCCATTGAGAGGTCTGCACAGCATCACTGCCTGTGTGGAATATAATTATATGCAATCAAAATAAAACTTAGCCAACAAATCAAGAACTGAACTCACTGATTTAAAATTTCAACTCACTGAGCTGAGTTCCTGTGCTGATCTCCCTGACATAACTGGCTGAACTCTCTGAAATAAAAGCTGAACTCATTGGTCTAAAAACTTGTGTAACCAAGCTAAAGGCTTAATTCCGAGCCTGACTCTGTCATGGGTTTTCACGACATCCCCCAAATGTCTAAAATCAGCCACCGTTGTACCTGTACCCACGTCTCCTCCCAGAATGACAGCCCTGTATCCAATGGGGACGAACTGCTTTGAACAGCTTGTTCTCTCTCACACTGATAAGCCATTCCAGCCATGATGAACCCACACCTTTCAACCTGCAGGCCCAATATATCTACAGAAGATGTCATCTATCTGAGCCACCTGATGCGATTATGCTAGTAGTTCGTAGCTCTACCTTCAACACTATCATCAACATGCAGCCTATTTACACCAACTTGGCCTGAATTTTTCTCTCTGCTACTGGATTGATGATTTTGTCTCAGAATGTCCAGAAAATGTGAGACTGGGACTCCACACATCTTCCATGATCACCCTACGCACCGGCACACCACAAGGATGTGTCCTCAGTCCAATCCTGCACACTATGTCCTTGTGTTCAACATCATAGTGAAGCTTGCAGATGACAGTAAGATAGTAGAAGACAGCCTCTGGTGGACTCTCCAGACAGACAAGGCAAAGATGAATTGAGATGAAGCATCAGTGGGTTGTTGCATCCAAATGGTGCCATTTGTTGGTTGTAAGTCTAAACAAAAAAACTATATTATTATTTATTATTGTTTATGTAAGGGCTGCGCAGTGACGCAGTGGTTAGAGCTGTTGCCTTGCAGCAAGAAGGTCCTGGGTTCGCTTCCCGGCCTGGGATCTTTCTGCATGGAGTTTGCATGTTCTCCCTGTGCGTGTGTGGGTTCTCTCCGGGTACTCCGGCTCCCTCCCATGGTCCAAAAACATGACTGTTAGATTAATTGGTCTGTCTAAATTGTCCTTAGGTGTGAGTGTGTGTGTGCATGATTGTGTGTCCTGTGTGTCTGTCTTGCCCTGCGATGGACTGGCTCTCTGTCCAGGCTGTACCCCGCCTGATTGCCCGTTGACCTCTGGAGATAGGCACCCGCCTCCCCCAGTTGTTAGAATCTAAATGCAGCTCCTTTTGCTGGACTTGTCTCTTTTGTGTTTGTTCTGGTCCAACATTCATATCAAATATGATTTGATTTACTGACTTCAGATGAATGTTATGGTAGGACCACAGCCTGTAGGGGGGTTTCTGTCGGATATGTGTTTAAGCATCATGTCTTAACCCTTTCCTTGCCCTAACACATCTTTCCCAATTTCACACTGATGAGATGAATACAAATAAATAACTGATTATTTTTTCCTCAGTCCTGACAGTGAGGACCCTCATCCCTGGCCCTCAGCCACAGGAACCGGCCTGGTCTCTGTGCCCAACAGCTCCAACGGTTCTGGTTCTGGTTCTGTGGGAGGAGACATCCGTAGTCCGTCTTTGTCCAGTGATGAACAGAGCTCCGAGGCTAGCTTGATCACAGAGAGCAGCAGCTGTGGGGGAGGAACACCTCTACATCCCGATACCCCTGACAACCTGACTCTCATTGTGCTCGACAGCGTGACAGGACGACGCTCTGGACATTGTTCAGGTAAGACCCTCACCTGAGTGAAAGGTGCGTAATAAACCCGGTTTGGTCCAGATCAGATCCACTGCAGAGTTGGATGGATGATTGATGGGTGGACTCATCAGAGATAAACCGATAGCAAATGGGTGATTAATTAATGCACAGCAGAAGAAGGATGGATGTAAGATCTGAATCAGCTCTGCCTCTTGGTCTCTGACTTCTGTAGAAGAGAATCTGGTTCAAGTTTTGGATTCAGATTCAGTCCTGGAAATAGATTTTCATTTTCCACCTCAGATCACACGTGTGTGTGTGTGTGTGTGTGTGTGTGTGTGTGTGTGTGTGTGTGTGTGTGTGTGAGTGTGTGTGTGTGTGTGTGTGTGTGTGAGTGGTGGTTATATAAGCTTGGTCATCTGTGTTTATGCCAGAGTTTGTTCCTGCCAGAATCTCTGGCTGTATGTGTGTGTTTGCGTGGGAGTGTGTTGGTTCTTGTGTGTTTGATGCTGTAAATTGTGTTTGTCTCTGTTTCTAACAAAACCCGCTGATGCTTTTCTCATGAATAATTAGAAAGTTTTTCATTGGTTTAACAAACTCTCAGAAAGGACTTGCATGGTAGATTATACCAAACATCTCATGAGACTTTCACACTTTTATAAGTATTTGTGGAACATATTGGGGTAAAGAGCCTCTCAGCTCACCCTTTCTTCCAAATGGGCGGCTGCACCCATCAATTTAAGCTCAAGTCCTTTGCCAGAAATCTTGGAGTTTTAAGGGTAAAGTCAGTCAAAGCAGCGATCTAATAGAATCAGTGATGCACCAGAACCTGTGATTCTAAAACTAGACTGAACCAGTGATCCAGCGGAACTCGGGGCTAGATGTATTGCCTAAATGGAACCAGTGATCTAGTAGAACCTGTAATGCATCAGAACCAATGAATGAGTAAAACAAGTCATTCTGTTGACTCAGTATTTAAGTAGAACTGGAGATTCAGTAGAACAGTTGATCCAATAGTTATCCACAGAAACCAGTGTTTGCCCTAGAAATGTTTCCGACTGTGGTGCTAGTTGACTGTGTGGTGGGGTTGAATTACAACACGTCTCACCTTGATGTCAGTGTTGTTTTAATTTAAACATCGTCGGCATTTTGTAGACGTGGTGCTGGAATTTTTGCGAAGCACCACGGTAGAACCTATGGAAGGGAAACACTGGATTCTTGATTCCGTAACTAAAAGACCAGTGATCTTGTAAATCCAACCATCTTTTAAAACCAGCGATCCAGTAGAACCAGAGATCTTGTAAAACCTGACTTTCTTTGAAACATCTAATCCAGCAAAACCAAATATCTCGTCGAACCCTTAATTCTGTAGACACAGTGATTGTGAATGGGTCAGTAATTCTAGAATCAGTGATCCAATAGAACCATTTACCAGTAACCCTGCTTAACCAAGGATGTGGCAGAACCATTGAACTAGTGACTCAGCAGAATCAGGGATTCACTAATGATCTAGTGGAGTTTGTGATCTAGTACAGTGATTCTGAAGTAGCCATGATAGCTATCAAGTAGAACCCGATTCTCTACCCACAGATTATCTGTCAGCAATGATACAGCATAACCAGTTTTGAGTGTAACCAGTTGTGTAGAACCAGTGAACACAGCAGAACATCAGCAATATTGTTGAGCTTGAAGGAAGCTGAAAGCTGAAGTAGAAATACATTAATGAGAAGTAAAACATCACGACAGAAGTGTGTGTGTATGTGTGGGTCAAACTTTAAAGATTTACACAACTGAGTGTTTATGCCCAACCTTCTATTGAGGACATCACACACTGTGATTGGCCTCCAGAAGCTTTGTGGAACAGTTTAATCTTATATTATAAAAACAGCTGCTGAAGATGAGATCTTCATCTGAGAACATCTCTTCCCAACAAATTCACACAGCTGCAAAGCGCTAACGCACAAAAATACACCAACAACCTTTCTCTATGGCAACATCTGTGTCTCACCCCTTTATATTTTCTCCCTGTATGAACACCTGATTTGTTGGTAAAAAAGAAAAAGAAAAAAACAACTGTGAGAAAAACCAGTAAGTTACATAACACAAACTCGTACACACAATAGGCGTGTTGAGGCAGGTGTTTGGGTGAGGCAGCACCATGCCTCCTAGCTCAGTGTGTGTTTGTATTGAATTTCTTGGTTTTCAAGTTCATTCATTTCAGAAACAAAAATCTCATTCTTGAGAAATCAGTATGAAGCAACATACCACAAAATGTGCGTGTATCTGGGAACCACTAACTTACGATGAGGGAGGAGTCTTGAGTGCCCTAATGATCCTTAGAACTATGTTATTTGGGGTGTTTCGCCCCTGGTATGTTCTCCCAAGGTGAATCGGCCATAGGTGAAGTGCGAGATAAAAAGTGGATCAGAAGAACTTTCATGATAAAAAGAGCTGGATACTTGGCCAAGAGGCTTACCAAGTCCTGTCACAAAACCAGGCCATAGTTGGTCTTACCTTGACAGGTAGTGTAGGCTTCTTGGGAGGGGTCTGACTCATTCGCTGGAGTTGCTTTGAAGGCGACTTCTTGTTAGCCTCCGAAGTCTGTTGGAGTTTACTCTGATCAATGAAAGTGTGGCCTCCTTGTTCGTTTTTAGGTTGAGGAATGGGTCCTGGCTGTTGCGCTAGATCTCAGCTCGGAGTAGCCATCCTGTTTGGAGGACCCGGGATAATAGATTGGGACTCCATTATCCTGCTTAGGGACTTAAACACTCACAGGAGCTGTAAAAGCATGATCTCCAAAAATGACAGGGAGGAGTGACCCACCTGTCTGAACCTGAGTGGGCTTTTGATTTTGGACTTCTGTTGCAGTTTGGCTGAAACAAGCACCATATTTGAACTTAAGGATGCTAATCTGTACCAGAACATCCTGAGCCACAGCTTGATGTGCAACGTAGTTGCCGTGTCATTCTACCTTTAGCTGAGTGTTTTGGACACTTGTGAACAAAGAAGCGGCAATGTTACCTGATCACCACCTCGTGTTAAGATGGATCAGATGGCACGGGAAGATGCTGTAAATACCTAGTAGACCCAAAGCTGTAGTGAGGGTCAGAAAGGGTTTCCACTCCCTACTCTGACATAACTTTGACCACATTCTGAGGGCATTGGGGCATATTGGGTCCAAATGGACGTTCTTCCTTTTCACAATTTTTCAGGGGGTTTTGCTAGCTGTAGCCACAATTTACTGATGGCAGGCCCGGATGTTGGTGGGGAACTGAGTTTGGTGAAAGGAGCATCTCATATTTGCCTTTTGTGGGTGGTGCGGTCCTCTTAGCTCCATTGAGGTACAGTCTTTAGCCTTAGCTGCAGAGGTTCGCTGAGTGTGAAGCATCTGGGATACTGTGTGACTGCAGGCAGCAGCATCTATGAGAACAGCATTCAGCTTTTCTTGATATCTATTGATTCTACCTAATTGTTCACACTAGGGGAAAGTAAATCTTTTGTGACATCATGTGATTTGTTTGTGACACCTTTTGTCACACAATTGTGGAAGATAAGATCTGGCAAAGCTTTTATTCTGGAGCTCTGAATTTACTCAAGTTGTTTTCATTGTCCAGAAAACAGGATGAAAACCATCCTGTGGTGGGTTTGCTGCTGTCTGTCTGATAAGCATCACAATACCAACACACTTTCATAAATATTTATCCTTTGAAATCGGAACTAAAACCCAGAATTAGTGAAAAACTGAGTCGATCCTCAGTTTCCAGAGGTTCAGGATCAGCCAGGAGCTCAGATCAGATAATTTTATTACCTTTCTTTCTTTTTCTTTTCTTTCTTTCTTTTCTTTATTCACAGCCCATTTTCATAACATTCCTGTACACAATATACACAATATCACTCTACTACATAAATTAGATCTGTGAAAGGGACTCCAAGAAGCTGAAACAGCTTATTTAAGGATCCCATGATGATTAGATTACAATAATGCATTCTCATAAACCTGCCTTTTATCAGAAAATCATCAGAAAAAAAAGAAAACAATTAGTCAAATCAAACCATACATACCACAGAAAAAAAATGGAGTCAATTAATATTCAATTAAAATTCTAGCACTCATTTGATGTCAGCAAGATATTGCCACTATGTGTTCATACCATATGCATTTAACATTTCCATCTTCAAGAGAGTTTTAAATTTACTAATTATTTTAAATTTCTTGATTGCTTCACTCAAGTTATTCCATGTTTGTACTCCTCTGGATGTAATACAGTGTTATTTCCTGTTGGTTCTAATCAAAGGTGTCTTATAAATAAATGTTCCATGTAAAGTATAATTTCCATCCCTTAGTTGAAACAACTTCTGGACACTGTAAGGGGCTTCCTGGTTAAGTATTTTAAACATAAGTTGTGCTATTCTATAGTTAACAAGATCAGAACAGTGAATGAGTATGTTGTCTATATTCTGCATTAGCCACTATTCGTATTGCTTTTTTTTGTACAGTACACAGAGGTTCTAAGTTGGTTTTGTATGTAGTGCCCCATACTTCTACGCCATATATTAAGTAAGGGACAATAAAAGAAGAATATAGGGATAGCAGAGAAGACGTATTGATAACCCTTTTAACTCTATACAACATCGCTATTGATTTCGATATTTTTGTCTTAATGTAAGTTATATGTGATTTCCAATTTAATTTATCGTCTATTATCACTCCAAGAAACTTGATTGATGTTACCCTTTCAATTTCAATATTATTTACCCTGAGTTTAGCATTCAGATCATTGTGTTTATTTCCAAAAATAATAAACTTTGTTTTTGGCAAATTTAATGTGAGTTTATTATCATCAAACCAGGTCTTCAATATTGAGAGCTCCTTATGTACAGTGTCCAGAATCTGATTCAAATTCTCCCCACAACAAACTAAGGTAGCATCGTCTGCAAACAAATGGGTTTAAGCTCCGTGCATGCCTCCCTTAAATTATTTATATACAAGATAAACAAAAAGGGCCCCAACACTGACCCCTGGGGAACTCCTC